CACATTTTACCCGCATCGTACGTGCCGCATTTCGTAAAGTGCGGTAGTCATCTGAATTTGATGGAAGCATTCTGATAAATTCATAATTAAAACACAGCGTGTGAGGCGCGTGCTGGTGCTCAGTGTTACTAAATCGTAACGATTTTTCTACCACTTTAGTGACAGTGGATCTGCGTTCCGCATTTTTAGAATCTACTACAACAGTTCCCATTTTCCTCATTCATAATGTTTATACACCTCACGTCGAAAACAAAAAATTGTGTGTGTCAGCTCCGACGCACGACTGGAGTTTACTCCTTAAGTTCGATAGTCTAACCAGACGCAAAAAGAGTTTATTTAACTTAAAAAAGATTGATACTGTATGAAAGGGTAAATTAACAAATTAATGAAAATAATATACATATAATATAAATATGTATTTATTCATTTCATATACATTTATTATAACTAATCGACGAAATATTTACATTAAACTTTTTACAATATTCAATTTCAGCCCCTCTAGCATGACCACCGAAACGGGATATGATAAAGCGATATATCGGCATTAACTGTCAGACTACTGTCAACTCCATAGTAGTCTGACAGTTAATGCCGATATATCGCTTTATCATATCCCGTTTCGGTGGTCATGCTAGAGGGGCTGATGTGCATAAATATATCATTAGGAATGTTGATAAATTATGTAATTATTATTATCAGACTATTATCATTTTTTAAATATTAATGAAATCAACATTGTCTGCATTATTAATTACAGTGACAAGTGGTTTATGGTAACTAAAATAAGACACATGGACGTTCGTAGATACGTGGTTGACGAATCTTGAAAATACCGCATCAATGGTTGTACCATACCTCGTTGTCCCCATTGCTCTCTCAGAAACAATATCTAAATTCAGTTCAGATTTAAAAAAAAATATTAATGTCAATCCGTCATCTTTGTTTGTCAAGGTTGCGCGACATAGGATGCGCACCAAAAACGTAACGAGGTCATTCATCGATAGATTTTACTCCTCACATTTTTCTCATACCGGGCCCTTATATATATCGATTCTTAAGGAGTAAACTCCAAAAAGCAGTCTTCAATTTGATCGCAAATATCTGAAAAATCGTTGATCATCGTCTACGTCGTCGTCGCTTCGAAATAGCGTATGATATTCACTACATTATAGTCTATTTCAAATACGATGATATGGCTAACACATCCTCTTTGACAGTTATAGAGTCGTGACTTCATTTGACACCCTGCATATCCAATCGATTATATCTTAGTACTTATGACAATTGATTCAAAATATAGATTTATACTATATATTAAATTTTAGTTATTTTTAGTTAGATATTGAATATTCAAGTCAGTTTCCTGAGGAGAGGGAAATAATTTTAAATGATATATTTATTACTTTTTGAGAAGTTATACTTTTCTAATAATTGGGCTAAAATAAAATTAAATGTAATTTTATAATTTTGTAATATGTGATTGCTTTTATTTGATGTCAATAAACCATATATTTATTGTATAAATATATAAAAATATCTACCAAATAAGAAAATTTGTATAATGTTATGAAACAAACAAAAATTTATTTAATGGATTACTTTATTACTTTAATATACTACAACCAATATCACTTTCTGACGTCGTTTCATCACTGTCTGAAGATCAACACTGCAAGCATGAGCTCGCGCGGACGGGGGTCGACCCGGGGTGAAGAGTTGAGTATAATTACTTAAAATTACAACTACGACACGAATCTGTTAATTTTGCAAATCGTGAACTTCTATTATAAATTGTCGGTACAATTTTTCATACACCTTTTATTGTGTTTACGAATATTATACACTGTTCTTTTCTTTGGAGTTTCGATTATTCACGATTTTCATCGATTATATAATAAAACCTAAGACATCTCTGGTTTTGAGGATCATAGGACGTAACCTTGTTACGTCACATATTTATTAACATAACATAATAAATAAAAAAAATGGTTGCCTGTAAAGTCGGTTTTACTGGCGAAGATTTTACGTGACAACGTCTTTTTCTCGGTAGAATATTTATTGATATGAATATAATTAAATTGCACAATAGGAACAAGGAATTGAATGAAAATAAGAATTGCACAAATTTTAACTATAGAAATATATTTTGTTTACTAAAACATTGTACATGTAAACTTAAACTTAACACGAGAGACTCATCGTAACGTTACCGAGCGTTACACTTTTTCATAAGTGACTCTCAGCCGCAACCTAATTTAAGACGTTGTCACGTCAAAATGTATATGAAATTTTTCTAAACTGAAAAAAAAACATCGTGAATCTTATTAAATCCTTATTAATGTACAGTGTGTATTTTTATCCAAGTCAAAATTTTCTTTAACGCAAACATTTACGTTCTGTGGATGTTTCAGGGGTATCATCGTATTTGAAACGGACTTTAGTGTCTTTTCTTTTTAAATTAATGTTGTGAATCCAGAATATTATTTTTCTTCGAGTTTCATTTTCTTCTGCCTCTGCCAATAACCAGACTATTGTAACATTTTTTTTCCTTAGCTCACTCCTGTCATTGCACCGTTTCACATCGGAAATAAAGAAAGAAGTGCAAGAAATTTTAGCTATACCAATACTAAAGGTTTGCGTGCGGCGCAAATGTTCAAGGCTTACGGCGTACGGTGCTGAAATATGTGCGATCACCTTAATTTGACTCGTTCAAAAATAAATGACAATAATTAAGCAACAGTCGATTTGTAAAAATCAACTGTCTCTTCAGAAATCCTACTACGATTATTCAAGGGTCAAGTCAAAGCAGATTGAAGATGGACGTATATATTTAAGATTTCAATGAGAGCTCATTGTTGTAAAAATAACCAGTAGCCTGTTTTTAAAAGACACTTATTAGTGTGTACTTCTTTCCCGTCATTGGTTTTCACCATGTTTTTTTTTTGTTTTACATTAGACCTGTGTAACATATGGACGCTGTCCTTGTTAAATTCTTGTGGCAGTTCCTACGGCTACTAAGATGTTAATTACATAATTTGATACCTTGACAAACTTGCATGTTGCCTTATTCTATTGCTATCACTGAGAATGATTTAAAAGTTGATGCAGTATTAACTTGATTGAAACTTATAATTCATTGTTTTTTGTGTTTGCCGATACTGATGGTTACTTGTTTTTATTCAAATTATTAAGGGTATAGAATCGTCTCTATTCTAGCATGGTTGTATTATGATACAATTACAATATATAAATTTGTGAAAACACTGGTTTTCATGGTGTCACATACTGTGTAGTCCTCCTGGTTTCGATTCCCGGTAGAGGCAAATGATTTTGTCGTGAATACATTGCATTTGTACTTGATTATTTCTATATCTATTGTATACATTTCTACAAGAATATACTTTGTAATATGTATATAATTTATATAAACTTTGTAATACAATTATATTTATTGCAATCAGTTTACCATAGAATCTCATAATACAAGCCTTTTAGTGTTGTTTTATTTTATAATGTTGTTAGTGTGTAGTAGTACAAAGTTAGATTAGAAAAGAACCTCTAGTATAAAATCAGTAGCAAAGTTTATCAATCTGCATAGCTACTTATATTTTTTAATTTAGGTTTGTAGAAATGAACTTCGTCGAAGCAATTTCTTTATGCAAATAAATTATTAGAAATACATATTTTAAACTAGTTTGGTTTTCAATACACCTGAATCTCCAATCAAAATTTATTTAACACAAAATAAAACCGCATCGAAGCAAGGAACATTGTTTCAGTATTATCTATACTTATAATAAATCTGTAGAGAGGTCAATTCTGTACATGAAATATATTTTCAAAATAACTATCAGGGGGTGATTAGTGATCGATACTGATGCCAAAAATGCAACCAGTAAAATTTTTGTCTGTGTGTATGTTCCTTATAGAAACAAAAACTACTCGACGGATTTTAACCAAACTTGGTACAATTATTCTTCATACTCCTGGGCAGGTTATAGTATACTTTTCACCACGCTACAATCAATAGCAGCAGAGTAGTGAAGGGAAATGTTGGGAAAACGGGAGAAGTTACTCCATTTTTTAAGCTTCCGTCGCGTGTGCAGCCTTAATGGTTAAAGTTACATAGAATATGACGAAAATATTCTACATAAAATTGTCTAAAAAATATCCCGCAACAGCATATGTCTATCTTTTATGGTTGACTCGCAATAACACGTGTAATTATATAAATAAAGTCATTGTTTATAGCACAAGCCTGAGAAAAAAAACTATAGTTTATACACTACAGCTCTACACCGAAGCGAAGCGAGGGCGGGCCACTAGTAAACAATAAAATTACAACCTACATAAACTCGGCTAATATTCATATGTGTATGGCAAATTTTGTTTGCTCTAAATCAGCTTCTTCAGAATGTGATGTCCTAAAAAGTACCGACTGTCCTCCCCCTCTATTAACTTATTTTACTCCACTCATTGAAGCTTGTTATTACAAGATTCGGTGGCGCTGTCTCCAAGGCAACCAGCCCCTTTTCTTCCTCCTTATTTATTAGAGGGTATCTGAATACCTATGCCTATGCACAATTTACACAATATCTGTTGACGGTTGAATAACACAGTTGCTACTGCTATGCCCGAAACCTGCTTGACTTCATGTAGGCATCATTAAAAAAAACTGTTCGGGGCCGTATCTAGGCCACCGCACATTTTTCGCTTTATTTAACGTTTGATCATAGAAAGTTGTAGATTTTGGCGGGAAATAGATACAAAACGCCCGGTTGCGCTCTCGGTCGCAACTGTTGTATAATTTTAGAGAAAGGAGATTTGTTTTGGTCCACCTCCTCTGTGGGGTTCGTGGCATTTCATATCGTGGCACGTCCGTTTCGTTCGCTATTATTCGATGGCTATGTTGCCGTTCTTCGGCAGGCAGGGCTTCGAGCTCGATCGCTCGCCGCAGGGCCGGGTGGTTGGAGGTGCTGAACGCAGTCAGTCGGCCGCGCAACTCGGTGCGCGACGTTCGTACTCGGAGGGCACTGTGCGCGTCCCCTTGTCCGGGCTTCGTTCATATCATAAGTGCGAAGGAGACAAACGCCACGTGAAAGAGCGAGAAACGCATGAAAGAGACTGCGCTATGGCAGTGTCGCAACCTCGCCCACCTGACCGTGTTGACGCCGCGCTCGAAAAAGTTGCGCCGCTGCGCTATTTGAAGGCGCACGAATGTGCTCGCACGGAGCGTGTCGTGACGCGCTTTTATCTTAATCCCTTGTCTTTAAAAAACAGTTTATTGAGTCTAAAGAGGAAATTTGCTCGTGTTATTGAAGAAAACGAAGTTCTTACGCAGCCAATTCAACGGTATGTTAACATATTCCTATTTTTGTGTCAGTTTTTGTCTTGAGCAACATTAATATCTTAGTTCTGTAGTAATTAGATAAGACGTAGCTTGCATCTGTAAGCTGCATAAAATATGTGGTTTTCCTATTTCCCAATAAAGTTACATTACATAGATTTATATTTGCGTTCATCATGCTATGTAATTGTTAGTATTTAGTCGCCATTTTCTACGTCGGTGACGAATACCGCCGCGCTGCCGTCCTCGTTTCCGCCGACCCATTGTAAACCGGACTTTACTACTGTGCTCTGAAAGATGAATATTCTTACCGAACTTTACCTTTTCTTTAAAAAGAGATTCATTCGCTATGATTCACAGTAGAATTAATATTATTTCGTTGTAGGTATACATCATAGTACATGGTTAGACAAATTGTATGTTACGGAAGACGCCCTTAAAAGTGTTGAAATGATGACAGATAAATAGAATATAGAAGTACGAACTCGGCAAACCAAATTCTGTCATGGACATTGACTGTTTGTCGTTTTTTTTTCAATTTATTAGTTACCAAGTAGCCGAGATGAAAGTTTCACAAAGCGCATTTTGCGCCGCCAGTTCGATGTAGTTGGTACTAGGCGTGCTGTTATCGATTTGTGTACGTTTTCCGCTATAAATAAGAGCTAGTTTGTGTCATCGCGCTCGCCACGGGACCGGTTTCTGAAAGAAACCTGTGCTCGCTTGCCGTGCTTAAAATCCAAATTGAACGCGAGTGCTTTTCAATAGGTAGGCGGTTATAAATAATCTACCTACCACTGTGCTTACGTTAAAAATGCAGGTTTGAGAGCGTCCTGATTGTGATCAACTTGTACGTATCTATATGTCAAGATTTCATTGATTATTTAACCGACGCCTTGGTGTTGACGTCACGGGTATCCATTTTGGTCCGTTGTCTTTCGATGGAAGAAAATTCAAATGTCATTAGTTTACATCACCTATATATATATTATAACCTAACCAACATAGGTATCTACTTGCTGTGTCTGCATTGGTGTTACGTAATAATTTTAACCGGTAGGTATAAATCTTGATTACTTCAACATATTTCGTAAATATAACATAACCTATTTAGGTATGTTTGATAACCTTCTAACTACTTTGTTACCTTTGTAATTGATAAAGATTTTTTAAGTTTTCACATTCCCACAATTTTATTATTATCGATCATGTCAGAATTCTTATTAGGTAAAACTATTGATTTTTTAATAAGATCTAATGCAACATTTAACAATGTTTTGAATGCTTTAGGTTACTTCTTTCATATTTCCTTTTTAATTTTATCATATTTAACTTGATATCAAAGCAACACTAAAATTTCCATGTGTTAGAAAGTCTCAATAATAGAATCAATATTGTTAGTTAATCATACAATATTTAATTTATTTTCTCTGGTATTTACTATACATCAAAATGAAATAAAAATTTCAGCACCTCTAAAGATATTCTTCGCTTTTCTCATATGCTGCCGTACTTTATGTAATTCAATCATGGTATAAAATTTCTTACAAAATGTTACTATTCTGAGAGTTGATTTACTTATATAATTGCAACTTGTTACTACAATTTCAAATACATTTCTTGTAAGGGTAGGTTCTCAAATGTAAGGGTAAAAGTTTAGAAATAAGCATCCTCGTTAGGGGTTTGCGGAGGGGGGCAGGGGAGGGGGTGTGGAACCCCCTTATTCAACCCCCGTCTGCCGGAGATTCGTAGCTTTTTCAGAAAAAAAACAATTGTAAACATAACCTCAAAATAAAATATGCATAAAAAGCAAGAAAGAGATGAAATGTTAGGTTATGGCTTAGGGGACAAACACCACAAAAGCTTTTTTTTTATATAAAAAAAATACAACTAAATTTAAGGTTCATACTTGCAATTTTTTTATAAATCTAACCTATCAAGTGACCTACAGGACTAAGACCAGTAAAACTATACTTCCAGGGCCCAAGAGGTGATACTCAAACTTTATTTGTAGAAAAGGTCTCTTATTTTTTTTTATCCGCTTCGCCGGCCGCTGCCGCGGCACGCTCGCTTCGCTCGCTCGGCTCGCGCGTTATGGTCACAATACTAACCTAACCTAGTGTGAAGTATCACCACTTGGGCCCTGGAAGTACAGTTTAACCCTAAGGTCAACTATATAAAAGCTTCGAACGTCTCCGGCGCTGCCGGAAGTACAGCCCCTCCGACCTTGCGTAACAAACCGCAGGCACTCCTTGCTTACCTACGCAGCTACTACGGCCCAGGTTGTGGGTCCAGAATTCACGACGTCGAAGCCATATCAAAAACGTTCAGTGTCCAAATTCGTAGCCAAAGTGAGTCGTAGTGCAATCCAGTCCGGGGGGCGCGCCAAGATTAGTAAAAAGGCTCGAAATCACTCAAAAGGAAGCAGAGTAACATCCACAGAAACCGAAACGTTTCGTTTCACGTTGTTCCGATTACTTTTTGCAAGTCGTTTTACTTTTCTTCTCATTAAATGCGTTGCGTTTCACTGAAAAAAAACGTAGGTACCTCTCCGGCAACTAAAATCGATGTCAGGAGTTTCAGTAAAACCCCCTTAGCCCCCCTTCCCCCCACAGCGTCAGTTTTCCCAGAACGAGGAAGCTTATTTCTAAACCAAACCCGATATTAGGTTAGTTTTTAAAGAAAATATTTTTATTGAGAAAAAAGAAAATATTTATATTACATATATTATAATAAGGTAAAAACATTATTTTTAATCTTGTTCCCAGTGTACAAGGTCCAATCCAGTTCAAGACACCTTTTATGATATCAGCTTTCAAGTCTTTGTTAACACTACAAATTTTGTGATTAGGTCTACACAATATAATGCTTAAGTATGTAGATAGTTCCAAGCTTATTGCTACTTTTAATACTTTTAATAAGGTGTAATGTAATATTATCTGTTATTATTTTTACCCTTAAATGTTTGGTCTATCAGTGAATATATTCATTAGATTCCCTATACTGTAACTATTAAATTTCACTCCACATATAAACACATTGTCCTGAACAATAACTAAAAAGTAAAATGCCTGTAACTGTTTTACTTTAAATTTCTATTACAATACCTTCAATTTAACTCCAAAATATATTTTTTACTATCTTCAGCCACAAAATTATGGATAGAGTTAAAGTTTTGTGTATTACTATTTTTCAAATGTCAAATGCAATTATTGTAATAGAGTTCAAATTATACAAATAGTATATACCAGTAATACCAGTCAAATCTTTCATATTGCCTTGTAATAATCTCTTATTATTTACATCGAAGGTACACATGCTAGCTGTGCTTTCTGTTTTCACTCAAACATCAATAAAATCAATTTCTTCTATGGACTTGACACAGGGTTCTTCTGCATTTTAACTTAGTCGCTCAGCAATCTATTTGATTGTGGGATTGTTAAAATTCCTTTAAAATAAATGAATAAATGTTAATAAATCTCCAATCATGTACTTCTATAAAAACCATGCACACCTTAACATGCAAATCAAGATGTATTAAAAATAAAATGAGCCAATCAGTTTAAAGTACAAGTTATTCTGAATTCCTTAAGTGCTTGATAGTAAAGTATATTTTTCAATAAAACTAGTATTTTATTTGCAATGATATGCTACCCATAGCTGCTTTGATAAATATTCAAGGTTAAAGTCTACAAAAGCATAACCTTGGCACACATGCCTCGTGCTTGGTTCAATTCGAAGTTAGTTTCTTATTTTGAATGCCTTTATTGGAGAGAATAAAAACAACTTGGTTCTCAGAGAAGGTGTTGCCATGTCTCAAGTTCTACGTTTAATCTCCATCTATTTATAGGCAGACTCTTTGTCTGCCTATAAATATTGAAAACAAGCCAAATTATTATAGAAAAGGAGAAATACTAGAATAAAAGTATATGTACCTATTGTTGTTTATCGGTCTTTACAATTTTGTGGACTTTTACTTTGTGCAATAACATGTTTAACTTCATATTGACAATAAGACTACTTCAATCGAGATTAATTTAAAGGAATATGGGTCCTCTAGTAGGCCCCAATTCTTGTGTGATCTGCCGAATCCGTTATAGGTATTAATCCCCCCAATCCCGTGGCTTTCCTCTGTGGGTCTGAACCACTGCGTACGAGGGGGTATATTGAATCTGATCATTGGAAGCGTCTTACAGTTCACCAGGCGTAAGACGTGCCGAAAATGACCATACAAATTACTGTACAGATGGCCACAGGTCAAGTTACCCAAAACTATCTTCACTAAATTTCTCAAATTTTGATATTTATGTAGCTTTATAGATTCGCTATCTGTTGAGAAATTTTGACAGTGTGTGGTGCAGCGTTGCCAGATTTCTTTTTGCCAAATCGGGATTTAGAAACTTTTTGAGTGAAAAAAGCGGGATTCTTTCGACGAAAGCGAAAAACAAAGTTAAAAAAAAAGTATATAATAAAAAGTTATTGACATTAAATTTTGATTTAAAAATCGTGACGTCTGGCAACGCTGGTGTAGTGGCTGTTGGTTTGTACATATTATTCAAGAAATTTGTTTTTTTTTTTTAAATATAAATAATATTTTTCTTGGAGGATTCTTATTTTCAGCATATGTCTATAAATACGATACAATTCATCTTCCTAGAACAATTTCATAGTTTCCTCCCCTTCAGTCCAAACTTTTGATCGCGAAGATTGTTACTAAGACCACGTGAAGTAAAAAATTATACACCAAAACGATATTTACGGTATCAACAACACTAACTCCTCAATATTTAATATTATTTTGAACCTTACAATGAATTACATAAGATAACATTGCGTCAAGTTTTCATGGTGTGGTAGGAATTTCTTGTGCGTTAAAAGTTCATATTACGGCTATTAGTAGTAAAAGAAAATCCTAAAATACTCCAACTCCTTTAAATTTGTTAGCCCTTTGTTATTAACAAAAGAAGAATAAGCTTGGAAGCAGTGTTTTGTTTCTGGTCATGGAAAATCAAATCTTATCTCGATAATTTGTTACCTCCAGCTACTCTGTACAGCTGTTAGCACTTAAACTTTTGGACACCTTCATTCTCTCTATAGCAGCCACCACTACACATTGAGCCTTCCTAGTAGATAGTCCAAGAACCTAACTTTAATCCTAGCTAGAATACTTGCACCAACCATCCCAATAGGTAGGTGAATGTGCTTTTCTGGTGGCTGATAGTCCCAGCTTGAAGATTTAGCACATATCTTACCAATGGGGAGATGAATAGCCTGAAGGATGACCAAACAGTGTCTGTATGTAGATGTCTTATCTATGATAGGTACTGAGCTTTGCTTTCTTCATGTTCCAGGTGAACGTGGAATGGGCTTGTAAGCCATGATGAAACGCACCGCCGTTACGCGGCTCGGGCCGGACGAGCCCGCCGCCATGACGTCGCAACCAGCACAGGTAAGATCTATAAAATCCGTAGTTTTAAAGTTTTGTTTTTAAGTTCCACTTTTAAGGGACGGTCATATCAGTATAGCTGTATATGACCGAATGTAATTATGGTATCGCCGCAAGAAAGCTATTGCTATGTTGACAGCTTAATGACGATTTTTTAACCATTAGTTACTCCGTGTTTTGTTTCTGTTCATTGAATTACACCAGCTTAATATGGCCACTATTCTGATGCAAAAAATGGAATTTGGTGACGCATTTCTTTGTGAAACTATCTGCAAATGTCCGCAGTTCCCCACCTCCTACAACCCGGGATCCTTTAAAAGAAGGGACGTGAAGAAGCACCTTACAGGCTGACAACTAACTCCACGTATCAGGTTGAATAAAGCAATGTGAGACCGTTAAAAAAAAATTGCTATGTTAACAATAATAGGTTTATTTTTCTCGAATCGGTAACTATGATTATTGTAAATTGTAAAGCTTGATTTTTAAATAAACATTTTGAGCAGAAATAACTAATTTCTTGTGAAAATATATTGAGTATCAAAAATGTCAATATTGGCGGATAGGTCAGATATTGCGATCCCTAGACCAGCCAGCTTAGCCAGAGATTTTCGTAAAAAGGCAGGACAGGACACCCTTATTAAACGAGAGTTATCTTAGAATACTAAAACAACAAAGTTTTGTTGTATTTAGAGATTCGATATTTTTCTTATGACTTAAATGTCGGGTCTAGCAAGCAAACAAGCAACCAAACGCCTTAGGTTCGAGTACCCCATTATGGTATGGATGTGGATGGTAACATTGTCTAATTAGAATGTAGTGGAAAGTAATGTGTGGGATTGGGAACTTTAAGTTTAGGTTTAAATACTAGAGTTAAGACTTAAGTGAACCGCATTCGCAGTTTATTTGCACTTTTTTCAACAATTTCAAATTGTACAGATACCTATCTGGACAATTACATTCAGTATTATAAAATTTATAAACTTAGTTATCTTGAGAATTACCATATCTGCCAAGCAGGTATAATGTATTGTGGTACTAAGTTATTAATCTAGCATAATCGATTGATGTGAATGGATCTATTTTGAGGTTCCTTATAAGAAGTTAAAATAACAAGTCCTCATTTGTACTTGGACCCCATTTTTTGCGTTCACGATAATAAATGTTCAGAGAGGCCTTGAATTTTTTCGCCAGCTTTTTTTGCTGCAAAAAGTACGAGATCATACTGCGTAGAAATGGAACGTTAAATTTTAGTTTTTACAATTAAGATTAAGATTTTTTCTCTTTTTTTTCTAGTTTTTAGAAAGATATGGTGTCCGGCTCCGTACATTAATTTGCCTGTAACATCTTGCTCTAACTAAAGAATTGAATTATGATAAAAAATAATAGAGAGCTGTAGTTCCATTATTCCGTAATGAAGAAATAAGCTATACCTATAACGTTTATTTAATAGTGTGCGTGTAAATACGCCATTCTGCTACAGCGCACGTAGCCTTTGTTAGCAGCAAAATTTCCATGTTTCAGCTTACTATGTATTGTAGGTATTTTAACACATTTCATCACACAAATATTATAAAGGCGAAAGTTTGTAAGTGTGTATATTTATTACTTCTTCACGTCTAAACGGCTGGAGAGATTTTAATAAAATTTGGTATGGATTTAGCTGACATCCTGGATTAACACATAGACTATATTTTACTGCTGAAAAATGTCCATAATAAACAGAGGGTACCTCCGCGGGGCACAGCTAGTGAATCATAAAATAACATACCTGATGTTCCTCAGTCATCCAATTTATCAATTTTGTATGAAAGCATTAAGGATAATGCCAAAAATAGGCTCGGCGTGGACAAGATGGTTGGCAAACAACTATTGTACAATATTGTTTTAATTATTTTTAACCACTTTCTATAACCGTAATATAGTGGAGTTTCATTTATAATGCAATAAAATTAATGAAAATAATACGATCACTTCCTTCTATTAGTTATCTATTGGCACATGATTAGAGGATTCGATCCCGGGATCCCGGTCATATTTTAGTCTCGAAATTTTCGGGATTAAATTTAATGAATCCTGTGATTTTCGGGATTGATATTTTTTTTTATAAGTCAATAAAAATGTGCCTGAAACGAATCGCGCTTACTTTCATTTGACGTTTTGACGGCCATCTTGTTTACACAGCTGACTTCCATTTATTTTTGCTAACGACCGGTACCGGATTATGTGTAAAAGTGTGTAAAAATTCTGCTTCACGTCGTGTAAGTATTGATATTTTTCTTGTTAATAGGTGATAATCAATGAATTTATTAAAAAACAACCAATGCATTAATGTGTCTGAGTAAATATAGATGACAAACAACGAGTGTTATTTTCTGTAGCTCTTAGAGGCTATGTTTATGTTTTACATAGACTTCAAATGTCCTTTTCATTTTTGTTGTTAAACCTATAAGAAGTAAACAATGTCATTATCCTAAGAAAGTTTTGATGTCAAGCATAAAAAAGATGAAGATGTATCGTCAGTGTGGAGTCATTTTTTAGTTAATAAAGCGGGTAGCTCAACACAATGTAAGCGTTGCTTAGCTATTTTTAATAGACCTAAGAGGATCAACCAAAGGCCTACATCTATCTTCAAAACATTCCGTAAAAGTCGATTCTGCTAAAGCATCTTCCTCAACGGGCCAAAATAATGAAGGACCACCTATTGTATTTTTTTATAGTATATCTAAAGAAGTCTTAAGAAGTTGTTTTTTTTTAAGGTTGTTGTAAAATAAACAAACTTTGCAATTCTGTAAATAATTTATACAATAGTTACATGTTTGATGAATGAAGTGCCTAGTTTGATTATTTTTTAGAAGAAAGTATAACATTGTTTTGTTTTTTAAAGATTTAACTAAAGGTTTTAAATAAAAAGTTGATTTTGATATGGTTTACTGTCTTTTGGTTACCACTTTCTATTATCAATAAAATCCCGGGATTAACTGTAGATCATCCCGAAATCCCGGGATTGGAAAAATCGACCGGGATCGAATCCTCTACACATGATCGAAACGGATGTAATTGGTCGAATTTAAGTTAGCATCATGTTATGTCAGCAAAAACGCCTAGGATTGGCCGGGTCTAAGATGAAATTTGCAGACAAGAGCTGCTTTCCAAGCCTACGCTCCAGATGCAACAAATGTCAATTTTGATAGAGGTTTCATACATTTATGTCAAAATTAAAACGTCAGAGTGAAAAGTTGCACTTGGAGCGTAGGTTTGGAACGCCCCAAGCTGTCAAAAGAACACTCACTGCTTCTTTGTTTAGACATTTGGTATTATGCATGTGACATCGCACGCCATATTTCACAATATTAATTTTTCGCGGCAAAATGTCTGTCCATGTTAAGCCAAATTCCCATGCAAAGTGGGCATAACCCTTTCATCAAAGGTTTTTTTTTTAATTTACTTTTAACTAAATTAACTAATAATAATGATATTTTAGTTTTTATAATTGGGAAACCAGCTAAGGAAATAGAAAATAAATATATTTTTAACCAACTAAAAAATGTAAATGAAAATTCCATGCAACTAGATGCGTATGATCAGCTATTAAATATTGGGCGAATGTTGCCTTTATTTTCGTTGGAACGTTGTCTTAGATCCTATTATTAAGATATTACCGATGGGTAATATCTTTATACTCTTTTTGTATTACATTGTACTTATTTGCAAAAAATGTTGCAATGGCGCCGCGTCGACATTTCATCGACGTCTCGCGGACGCTGGCACAACGACGAAGCTTGAACGATGCCAGTGTAGGGGGTCTCTAAGATGTCAAGTCAACCTCTCAAGTTTCATTCCGACCATCTTATTATTTAAACTAGTTAGATCAAACTAAATTTGCTACCTACTGAATACTGAAATACATACACCCTATCACTTGGGATGCTCTGCCGATTCCATAAATAAAATGGCGTCGAGAGATTCATAGTATTTTATATCATAATCGCAATTCTCGCGTGATATACAATTTCATACACGCGAACGTAAAGGGACTTACACTGGAGCTGTTTGGCAGCATCATAGTGTTTAAGTCATTGCACCCACCTTGATTGCGTGCCAAAGGTATTGCCCGGTTAGGGCGGTCCATGTTAACGTTTGGGCATCGTCCAATGCTCGATGTTCGTACGTGACTGTCCGTATAGACAACACCTTAAGGCTAACCTTTCACAGGCCATACAGCGTTTGTGCGTCACAATAAATCGTGAATTTAGTTTGATCATTACTGGAGACTGACTTGTAACATTTTGGGTGTTAGTAATATCGAGGTGTAACACAAATCAAAGACTGGCATGTAACGTTAGTTTGTAATGTATCATTCGCGACAAGCGCCGCGTGCTTCACTCGACTGTCGGTTTTTTCGCGAATTCCTTTTGTGTGTTACATTGGTTACAATAATGTAAATTAAGTCAAGTCAATTCATCGCTGGTGTAAATCGTAAGAGCAAACCATCTCGTTTTGCACTCTCAATTTTCGATACCTAAATTAACTTTACATTCTCCCATTATGTACTTTAATTTGATTTGAAAGGCACAGAAGGCATCATGCATGAACAATTTGTATCTAATTAAAATGTGGATAACGTTATAATAAATAAGACACGGTAATAATTTTCCCTCTCTTAGGTAGGGGAGGCTTCTCCGATAAATCAATCAACATTAGTCCATATTCCGATTTGATTTCCGGGCAAAAATTTAAAGGCATCACCAATGCTAAATATAACGTCTCTGAGGCGTGCTTATCAGAGAGATGTCTTTATTTTACCTCTCAGATCTGCTAACCACGCAAGGGATAAGTATATATGGTATGAATGTAGTTTATATATTATTATTTATTTAATAAATCTTTAAGCTCCAGTTGTAATGTAAGAAGTTGAGAATACACCAACCGTAGCATCGCAATCGCACCGCGCCGTTGATAACCCGTGTGTTTACTTACAAAGTTTATCTAGCTTCGTGTATATGTACACAAAACATATTATTCCAGGGCGGCAAGTATCGGTTTCATTCGATAAAACAAACTTAAAAGCAAAGTATTTACCCGGATAAAGTAAAAAAAGAAAATTAAAATAACGCACTATCCGCGTCCGGTTTGTGTAAACGGTAATAAACCTACTTTCTGCCTCCCAAAGTCCTGAGGTCGAATCCTTTGCCCCCTTACTAATAAAAGATAAATAAGTTCAGACTAGTTATTTTGTTCAATATTATCCACTCGAGTGCCATTTGTAATTCCATAAACAGAAACAAAACATAAAATAACTAATCCAAGCTTATTCTTCGTTGATTAAATTAGGGGTTATGGGTTTAGTTTCTTTGTTTGATGTGCTTATGTCTTGTCCAGTCAAAGGTGTTTTACACTTACATAATATTATTAATTTTCCAAATAATAAAAGTTATAAAATTATTCATTACAGACATTTCGACCTAAATTGGAGCAGTTTCAGAAATTAAAATATGGCAATTACCTATCTTTCATTGTTTGCTAACGCCGAACCTCAATTGAGGAGTGGCTGTGAGGTTAGCACGAGAATAAACAATAGTACAAGTTTATTGGATTAGGCATTATCTATATTCGTACAAATACACTTACAAATTACCACAAGCTGTAAAATTTTGTTTATCTATGATGATTATGGTGAACCCGATACTGCACTTGGTACGACGTAACGTCTTATAGTACAAATAAAGGAAAAATTGCGGAAACCGTAAATTTTTAGTTACAACATATAATAAAAAATATTTTGGAAAATTTTAATGTTACTACCTCTTTTCTCATGAACGCGTTGAGGTATTAACCCTCGGTGCGCGGGTCCGACTCGCACTTGGCCGGTTTTTTTTGCCACATCGGATATGTCCACGTACGCATTTGAAAAATTTTGACCTGTAAGTAGACAAAAATTCATCAAAATCGGTTCAGCTCTATAATAATTTATTATTAAATTGTTATGGATGTGTTACATAAATAGCGATAAAAAGGCGCGAAATTAAGTCAATCCAGAAAATAAACCAAGGCCGCCTTCGGTTCTTGTATACGGAAAGGCTATTTCAATGAAGCACGCCTCTTCTATTTTTGTTAAAGCTGAATCACCGAAGTTTTAGTACTCAATTCGCTTGGCATAAGATCAAAGTTTTTTTCCTGCAATGTTGACACAAGTATGTTTACATAGTTTTTTATAAAGAAATAACATTACTTGTGCCCTCATAACGGCACGGCATAACCTTTATGACCATCAAAGAAGTAATACGGGTCTGATAATTGTAAAACCGACTGTTTCGGAAGAACATTTAATGTTACTACACTCATTTTGTATGGAAGGCCCACGTAGTGTTAGCCTATGTTGTAAGCCCATGTTATTTAATTTTTAACAGACTTAAAAAAGACGGAGATTCTCATTATGTAGATACGCCACTATAGCGAGTGACGTATCTTTAATCCGATGTAGGCATTAAATCCCCCCAATCCCGTGGCTTTCCTCTGTGGGTCTGAACCACTGCGTACGAGGGGGTATATTGAACCTGATCATTGGAAGCGTCTTACAGCTCACCAGGCGTAAGGCGTGCCGAAAATGACCATACAAATTACTAAACATAAACCACCGTATTATAAAACGTAGACTAAAGTTATACCTGGACTACAACTGATGCTGTATTCTATTTGCTAAAAAGAAGACGGAGACAACTTTTGGTTTAAACCAAGACTACCTTTAGTCCGCGTTTTGGAATAAAGTGGCTAAATCTCTTATAAAAACTAGCTAGGTAGAAGAAAAGCCTTTTGATTTTCTTTCGCTCCTTACCTAATACAACTGGGTTTTTGTCTTAAGTTGTGGGAGACGTATATAAATAGAGAAAGACACTTATTTAGTTAGTTTTCAGTTTTTTTTTGTGTTTCTCGATAAAATTGGTCGAGTTTGTTTTTCGTGAAATCCCCTTGAACCGTGTACTTCAGTACTAACTGTATTTGTGACTCTATAAAGTAACAGAAACTAAGAAAATCTGTATGAGAAGAATACTAGAAAGAAATCAACAGCGACCTTCTCACTCCATAAAATAATAAGGTTAATCTGTGTATTAAGAGCCAGTTTCTTCGTAAAGTGACACATTTACTTGGTAATTTCAGGCGCGTTCATTTGCAAAAATAAATGTTTAGTAGATTAACTAAACTTATGAAATAGAGACACATATACGGTAAGCATTATTTTATTTAACGCTTGCAAACCCGTTATTATGATATACGAGCTGTGCCCTGCGGAGTTACCCGCGGTTTATTAGGGATATTTTCGCGCAATAAAACGTAGCCTGTCTTAATCCAGGGTGTCGTTTAATTAAAATCTCTCCAGCCGTTTAGATGTGAAGAACTAACAAACATACACACTCACAAATTTTCGCCTTTATATATATATATAATATTAGTGTGATTATTGATGAGAATGGAATCGCGTAAATTATCATCGAAACATCTAAATATTTACACGACTGCTATCAGTAGGTGTTTATGAATTGTGTATTATTAGCGGATGTTTTCAACTTCATCTGTGGACAATAATCCCATACAAACTTAAGTAGGTGAGTAAATATTACATACAGTCTGACAGATACGGTTTATAATTATTAATCTAAAGCTTTTTTTTCTTACAAATAATTTCACGCGGTCCAGGCAGCTGCTGGGACTTAACTCGTACTCTCCGCTCTCCGTGCGGATGCACTGACCAATTCATTATGCTACCGCGACTTTAATGCTCGTGTCGAGATTCTCCTAGCATTTCTTACACTATATAAGCTAGCATGTATAGTATGGATATGATGATGTATTTACCTTCGGAAAAACTTATCCCTCGTATCGTATGTATATGTGATTGCGTAAAAAGCTGACTATGTGTGTGAAAGCAAATTCGGGCAATATGATATTGTTTCCCATAGGTAATTAAAACTCGACGATGCAATTTATGTATGATAAGCATAAGGCAGAAAACACAGAAAGAGTTTAGAAGGGTCTTGTGGACGGGGCAGGCGCACCACATTTATGTATGAGAAAATTTTACCAAAACTTGGTTCTGATTGCGTCGTTGCTCTCAGGTGCGAGTGAGTCAAACGTTCGATGTCGCGTCGTTTGATTGGCTATTATCTATTAGGTGGAAGTGTAATGGGGGCGAGCCGGCGACATCGGTTCCCTTACATTCTCTTATTAACCTCTTTCTGTGTTCTGTGGCATAAGGTATTCGTTGATACATAGAATTCTAATTAAGAATAAAATGATAATAATGAAAATGTTTCTATTGTCACAGATCCAGCAAGCTGGAGCAAGCAACATGCACACTTTGGCGCAATCGGCACAGCCGCAACAGATTCTTGGTAAGAAATAGATAAATATTCTGCTATTTGAAGTTTTATTGCTCTGTCAAGTACAGCACATTTATATATATGTTATTGCTAGATTTTTTGATTTATAGAGAAAGCCAGAATAAAGAAAGATATGCCAGGCGCATGGCGAATTATTTTATGCTATTATAGGGAGTGATTTCTAGTATTTCTCGAAAAAAAACTTCTGATACATCGTATATGATGCAGATAGGATAGGTTCTTGTTTTTGTGTAGTAATGAAAATTTCTATCTAAGTAATGTACATATCTATTAACAGATGACTAGGTAACTTCAATAACATAACCAGCCAAGAACCCAGCGCGTGTTTCTGGGAACTATCAACTACAGTTAATTAATTTGCCGCGGCGTCGAGACAATAATCTTTTGGTCACCTATCCTTTAGCAGACCGGTGCATAAGCTCAAACCGTTGTCTTTAATAAACTTGCTTTTATAAGGTTCAGTAGACGAAGTGACGCATAATTTATTATTGATTTTATTAAACAAAACGGTGCTTACGGTATTATCGCGATTCGTTAGCTAGCACTTTAGATAAAAGATTAGTGATATCTGTGTAAAACAAAACAAATAATATTGTTTTATTGTGATATAACATTATGTTATTGTCTTATTGTTAGGTAGAAAATAATCAAGAGAGATTAAAAAGGGAAGAATGAGAGAGTTTTGGTAGGAGACATAAAATTTTGGCAAAGTATTAATAATTATATGGTTGGGATATCGAAGCTTGAGATATCCTCAGGATTGCCAATTAATGGCATAATCGTAGGTCATACATGCAACTAAAAAATCAGCAGAGGGTGCCCTGGAGCAGTCGACATATAAACGAACAAATGTTACTAAGAAACTTTTGCAATGCTTACTCGTGGGATTGGTAAACAAAAATTAATTATCTCGAGCTCCTCCGTGTTTCCGAAGCCATGTTTCGCCGTCGGTTCCGGCTGCATCTGCACTCTTCAAACCCTCGGATCAGCATTCGGCCCCCGTGGTTGATCATGACCCAATCTCCCTTTTTTCCACTTCCACAGGGAAGGCCTATGCACCAGCAGTGGGGACATTAATAAGCTGATGATTATGATAAGGATCTCGATGACGCAAAAGTGGTTATCGCGTTCGGCTGCGATCGTTGAAGTTAACTTTCGCAGTGGTCATTGAATGGGTCACCAAAAATTTACTTTCGCGAACTCCTCCGTGCTTCAAAGGCATGTTAGCTGTTGGTCCCGGCTGCATCTGCATTCGTTAGCAATCACCAATCCGGACCAGGGCCGCGTGGTGTGTCAAGGCCTATACTCCCTTTTCTATCTACAGGAAAGGTCTGTGCCCCAGCAGTGAAGTCATTAATAGACTGATGTGGATGATTTAGTTAACGATACGTTTAATTCAGTTAGGTGTAAACTGCGATGCCGATTCTTTTCTGGATATTACGTCGCACTTCGTGTCACTATTTTAATAAAATAAAATAATAAACTCAAAAGCTCTCGAAATGAAGATATGTAATTCTGAAATAATAAAAAATATATCTTCTTTTGTTCTCCAACCCATAGTATTTGCGAGTACATTAGTTCCCATCAGAGTTCATAATCATAATAAAATGGATTAACCATAAATAATTGGATTAATCTTATTATGAAACTGAAACTAGCAGCCGACATTCTCTTGAGACAAATATTTTTTTTTTTCAACTAAAGTATTAGAGTATCTTGGCTGAAATTACACCCACTATTTCTTCACCCTAAAAAGAAGTTCTGGGAAAAATTTCATCAATTTCGTATGTGTAGGAGATGAGATAAAGCTTTTTTATAAAAATAAATAATCTTTCTCCTGAGAGAAAATATTTTTTTACAACTAAACTATTAGAGTATCTTGGCTGAAATAACTTCCACTGTTTTTTCACCCTAAAAAGAAGTATTGAGGAACATTTCAGCAATTTCGTATGTCTAGGAGATGAGATACAGCTTTTTAAACAAAAAAAAATATTCTCCTGAGAAAATATTTTTTTACTACTAAACTATTAGAGTATCTTGGCTGAAATTACTTCCACTGTTTCTTCACCCTAAAAAGAAGTTTTGAAGAAAATTTCAGCAATATCGTATGTCTAGGAGATGAGATACAGCTTTTTAAACAAAAAAAAAATATTTTCCCGAGAAAATATTTTTTTACAACTAAACTATTAGAGTATCTTGGCTGAAATTACTTCCACTGTTTCTTCACCCTAAAAAGAAGTTTTGAAGAAAATTTCAGCAATTTCGTATGTCTAGGAGATGAGATACAGCTTTATAAACAAAAAAAAAATATTATCCCGAGAAAATATTTTTTTAAAACTAAACTTTTAGAGTATCTTGGCTGAAATTACTTCCACTGTTTCTTCACCCTAAAAAGAAGTTTTGAAGAAAATTTCAGCAATATCGTATGTCTAGGAGATGCGATACAGCTTTTTACACAAAAAAAAATATTCTCCCGAGAAAATATTTTTTTACAACTAAACTGTTAGAGAATCTTGGCTGAAATTACTTCCACTATATCTTCACCCTAAAAAGAAGTAGTGAGGGAAATTTCAGCAATATCGTATGTCTAGGAGATGAGATACAGCGTTTTAAACAAAAAAAAAAAATTCTCCTGAGAAAAAATTTTTTTTGAAACTAAACTTTTAGAGTATCTTGGCTGAAATTACTTCCACTGTTTCTTCACCCTAAAAAGAAGTTTTGAAGAAAATTTCAGCAATATCGTATGTCTAGGAGATGAGATACAGCTTTTTAAACAAAAAAATATTCTCTCTCCTTTTTAGGGTGAAGAAACAGTGGAAGTAATTTCAGCCAAGATACTCTAATAGTTTAGTAGTAAAAAAATATTTTCTCAGGAGAATATTTTTTTTTGTTTAAAAAGCTGTATCTCATCTCCTAGACATACGATATTGCTGAAATTTTCCTCACTACTTCTTTTTAGGGTGAAGATATAGTGGAAGTAATTTCAGCCAAGATACTCTAACAGTTTAGTTGTAAAAAATATTTTCTCGGGGTAATATTTTTTTTTGTTTAAAAAGCTGTATCTCATCTCCTAGACATACGATATTGCTGAAATTTTCCTCACTACTTCTTTTTAGGGTGAAGATATAGTGGAAGTAATTTCAGCCAAGATACTCTAATAGTTTAGTTGTAAAAAAATATTTTCTCGGGACAATATTTTTTTTTGTTTAAAAAGCTGTATCTCATCTCCTAGACATACGATATTGCTGAAATTTTTTTCAAAACTTCTTTTTAGGGTGAAGAAACAGTGGAAGTAATTTCAGCCAAGATACTCTAAAAGTTTAGTTTAAAAAAAAATTTTTCTCAGGAGAATATTTTTTGTTTTGTTTAAAACGCTATATCTCATCTCCTAGACATACGAAATTGCTGAAATTTTCTTTAAAACTTCTTTTTAGGGTGAAAAAACAGTGCAAGTAATTTCAGCCAAGATACTCTAATAGTTTTGTTGTAAAAAAATATTTTCTCAGGAGAACATTTTTTTGTTTAAAAAGCTGTATCTCATCTCCTAGACATACGATAATGCTGAAATTTTCTTCAAAACTTCTTTTTAGGGTGAAGAAACAGTGGAAGTAATTTCAGCCAAGATACTCTAAAAGTTTAGTTTTAAAAAAATATTTTCTCAGGATAATATTTTTTTTTTGTTTATAACGCTGTATCTCATCTCCTAGACATACGAAATTGCTGAAATTTTCTTCAAAACTTCTTTTTAGGGTGAAGAAACAGTGGAAGTAATTTCAGCCAAGATACTCTAATAGTTTAGTTGTAAAAAAATATTTTCTCGGGAAAATATTTTTTTTTGTTTAAAAAGCTGTATCTCATCTCCTAGACATACGATATTGCTGAAATTTTCTTCAAAACTTCTTTTTAGGGTGAAGAAACAGTGGAAGTAATTTCAGCCAAGATACTCTAATAGTTTAGTAGTAAAAAAATATTTTCTCAGGAGAATATTTTTTTTTTTGTTTAAAAAGCTGTATCTCATCTCCTAGACATATGATATTGCTGAAATTTTCCTCAGTTTTTCTTTTTAGGGTGAAGATATAGTGGAAGTAATTTCAGCCAAGATACTCTAACAGTTTAGTTGTAAAAAAATATTTTCTCGGGAGAATATTTTTTTTTGTTTAAAAAGCTGTATCTCATCTCCTAGACATACGAACTTGCTGAGATTTTCCTCAAAACTTCTTTTTAGGGTGAAGAAATAGTGGAAGTAAATTCAGCCAAGATACTCTAATAGTTTAGTTGTAAAAAAATATTTTCTCGGGAGAATATTTTTTTGTTTAAAAAGCTGTATCTCATCTCCTAGACATACGATATTGCTGAAATTTTCTTCAAAACTTCTTTTTAGGGTGAAGAAACAGTGGAAGTAATTTCAGCCAAGATACTCTAAAAGTTTAGTTTCAAAAAAAATTTTTTCTCAGGAGAATATTTTTTTTTTGTTTAAAACGCTGTATCTCATCTCCTAGACATACGATATTGCTGAAATTTCCCTCACTACTTCTTTTTAGGGTGAAGATATAGTGGAAGTAATTTCAGCCAAGATACTCTAATAGTTTAGTTGTAAAAAAATATTTTCTCGGGAGAATATTTTTTTACAACTAAACTATTAGAGTATCTTGGCTGAAATTACTTCCACTGTTTCTTCACCCTAAAAAGAAGTTTTGAAGAAAATTTCAGCAATTTCGTATGTCTAGGAGATGAGATACAGCTTTATAAACAAAAAAAAAATATTATCCCGAGAAAATATTTTTTTAAAACTAAACTTTTAGAGTATCTTGGCTGAAATTACTTCCACTGTTTCTTCACCCTAAAAAGAAGTTTTGAAGAAAATTTCAGCAATATCGTATGTCTAGGAGATGCGATACAGCTTTTTACACAAAAAAAAATATTCTCCCGAGAAAATATTTTTTTACAACTAAACTGTTAGAGAATCTTGGCTGAAATTACTTCCACTATATCTTCACCCTAAAAAGAAGTAGTGAGGGAAATTTCAGCAATATCGTATGTCTAGGAGATGAGATACAGCGTTTTAAACAAAAAAAAAATATTCTCCTGAGAAAAAATTTTTTTTGAAACTAAACTTTTAGAGTATCTTGGCTGAAATTACTTCCACTGTTTCTTCACCCTAAAAAGAAGTTTTGAAGAAAATTTCAGCAATATCGTATGTCTAGGAGATGAGATACAGCTTTTTAAACAAAAAAATATTCTCCCGAGAAAATATTTTTTTACAACTAAACTATTAGAGTATCTTGGCTGAATTTACTTCCACTATTTCTTCACCCTAAAAAGAAGTTTTGAGGAAAATCTCAGCAAGTTCGTATGTCTAGGAGATGAGATACAGCTTTTTAAACAAAAAAAAATATTCTCCCGAGAAAATATTTTTTTACAACTAAACTGTTAGAGTATCTTGGCTGAAATTACTTCCACTATATCTTCACCCTAAAAAGAAAAACTGAGGAAAATTTCAGCAATATCATATGTCTAGGAGATGAGATACAGCTTTTTAAACAAAAAAAAAATATTCTCCTGAGAAAATATTTTTTTACTACTAAACTATTAGAGTATCTTGGCTGAAATTACTTCCACTGTTTCTTCACCCTAAAAAGAAGTTTTGAAGAAAATTTCAGCAATATCGTATGTCTAGGAGATGAGATACAGCTTTTTAAACAAAAAAAAATATTTTCCCGAGAAAATATTTTTTTACAACTAAACTATTAGAGTATCTTGGCTGAAATTACTTCCACTGTTTCTTCACCCTAAAAAGAAGTTTTGAAGAAAATTTCAGCAATTTCGTATGTCTAGGAGATGAGATACAGCGTTATAAACAAAAAAAAAATATTATCCTGAGAAAATATTTTTTTAAAACTAAACTTTTAGAGTATCTTGGCTGAAATTACTTCCACTGTTTCTTCACCCTAAAAAGAAGTTTTGAAGAAAATTTCAGCATTATCGTATGTCTAGGAGATGAGATACAGCTTTTTAAACAAAAAAATATTCTCCTGAGAAAATATTTTTTTACAACAAAACTATTAGAGTATCTTGGCTGAAATTACTTGCACTGTTTTTTCACCCTAAAAAGAAGTTTTAAAGAAAATTTCAGCAATTTCGTATGTCTAGGAGATGAGATATAGCGTTTTAAACAAAACAAAAAATATTCTCCTGAGAAAAATTTTTTTTTAAACTAAACTTTTAGAGTATCTTGGCTGAAATTACTTCCACTGTTTCTTCACCCTAAAAAGAAGTTTTGAAAAAAATTTCAGCAATATCGTATGTCTAGGAGATGAGATACAGCTTTTTAAACAAAAAAATATTCTTCCGAGAAAATTTTTTTTTACAACTAAACTATTAGATTATCTTGGCTGAATTTACTTTCACTATTTCTTCACCCTAAAAAGAAGTGTTGAGGAAAATCTCAGCAAGTTCGTATGTCTAGGAGATGAGATACAGCTTTTTAAACAAAAAAAAATATTGTCCCGAGAAAATATTTTTTTACAACTAAACTGTTAGAGTATCTTGGCTGAAATTACTTCCACTATATCTTCACCCTAAAAAGAAGTAGTGAGGAAAATTTCAGCAATATCGTATGTCTAGGAGATGAGATACAGCTTTTTAAACAAAAAAAAATATTACCCCGAGAAAATATTTTTTACAACTAAACTGTTAGAGTATCTTGGCTGAAATTACTTCCACTATATCTTCACCCTAAAAAGAAGTAGTGAGGAAAATTTCAGCAATATCGTATGTCTAGGAGATGAGATACAGCTTTTTAAACAAAAAAAAATATTCTCCTGAGAAAATATTTTTTTACTACTAAACTATTAGAGTATCTTGGCTGAAATTACTTCCACTGTTTCTTCACCCTAAAAAGAAGTTTTGAAGAAAATTTCAGCAATATCGTATGTCTAGGAGATGAGATACAGCTTTTTAAACAAAAAAAAAATATTTTCCCGAGAAAATATTTTTTTACAACTAAACTATTAGAGTATCTTGGCTGAAATTACTTCCACTGTTTCTTCACCCTAAAAAGAAGTTTTGAAGAAAATTTCAGCAATTTCGTATGTCTAGGAGATGAGATACAGCTTTTTAAACAAAAAAATATTCTCCTGAGAAAATATTTTTTTACAACAAAACTATTAGAGTATCTTGGCTGAAATTACTTGCACTGTTTTTTCACCCTAAAAAGAAGTTTTAAAGAAAATTTCAGCAATTTCGTATGTCTAGGAGATGAGATACAGCGTTTTAAACAAAACAAAAAATATTCTCCTGAGAAAAAAATTTTTTTGAAACTAAACTTTTAGAGTATCTTGGCTGAAATTACTTCCACTGTTTCTTCACCCTAAAAAGAAGTTTTGAAGAAAATTTCAGCAATATCGTATGTCTAGGAGATGAGATACAGTTTTTTAAACAAAAAAATATTCTTCCGAGAATTTTTTTTTTTACAACTAAACTATTAGAGTATCTTGGCTGAATTTACTTCCACTATTTCTTCACCCTAAAAAGAAGTGTTGAGGAAAATCTCAGCAAGTTCGTATGTCTAGGAGATGAGATACAGCTTTTTAAACAAAAAAAAAATATTGTCCCGAGAAAATATTTTTTTACAACTAAACTGTTAGAGTATCTTGGCTGAAATTACTTCCACTATATCTTCACCCTAAAAGAAGTAGTGAGGAAAATTTCAGCAATATCGTATGTCTAGGAGATGAGATACAGCTTTTTAAACAAAAAAAATATTCTTCTGAGAAAATATTTTTTTACAACTAAACTATTAGAGTATCTTGGCTGAAATTACTTCCACTATCAGTCAAGATACTCTAATAGTTTAGTTGTAAAAAAATATTTTCTCGGGAGAATATTTTTTTGTTTAAAAAGCTGTATCTCATCTCCTAGACATACGATATTGCTGAACTTTTCTTCAAAACTTCTTTTTAGGGTGAAGAAACAGTGGAAGTAATTTCAGCCAAGATACTGTAAAAGTTTAGTTTCAAAAAAATTTTTTTCTCAGGAGAATATTTTTTTTTTGTTTACAACGCTGTATCTCATCTCCTAGACATACGAACTTGCTGAGATTTTCCTCAAAACTTCTTTTTAGGGTGAAGAAATAGTGGAAGTAAATTCAGCCAAGATACTCTAACAGTTTAGTTGTAAAAAAATATTTTCTCGGGAGAATGTTTTTTTGTTTAAAAAGCTGTATCTCATCTCCTAGACATACGATATTGCTGAAATTTTCTTCAAAACTTTTTTTTAGGGTGAAGAAACAGTGGAAGTAATTTCAACCAAGATACTCTAATAGTTTAGTTGTAAAAAAATAATTTCTCAGTAGAATATTTTTTTTTGTTTAAAAAGCTGTATCTCATCTCCTAGACATACGATATTGCTGAAATTTTCCTCACTACTTCTTTTTAGGGTGAAGATATAGTGGAAGTAATTTCAGCCAAGATACTCTAACAGTTTAGTTGTAAAAAAATATTTTCTCGGGACAATATTTTTTTTTGTGTAAAAAGCTGTATCTCATCTCCTAGACATACGAATTTGCTGAGATTTTCCTCAAAACTTCTTTTTAGGGTGAAGAAATAGTGGAAGTAAATTCAGCCAAGATACTCTAATAGTTTAGTAGTAAAAAAATATTTTCTCAGGAGAATATTTTTTTTTTGTTTAAAACGCTGTATCTCATCTCCTAGACATACGAAATTGCTGAAATTTTCTTCAAAACTTCTTTTTAGGGTGAAGAAACAGTGGAAGTTATTTCAGCCAAGATACTCTAATAGTTTAGTTGTAAAAAAATAATTTCTCAGTAGAATATTTTTTTTTGTTTAAAAAGCTGTATCTCATCTCCTAGACATACGATATTGCTGAAATTTTCCTCAAAACTTCTTTTTAGGGTGAAGAAATAGTGGAAGTAATTTCAGCCAAGATACTTTAATAGTTTAGTTGTAAAAAAATATTTTCTCTCAGGAGAAAGATTATTTATTTTTAGAAAAAGCTGTATCTCATCTCCTACACATACGAAATTGCTGAAATTTTCCCCAGAACTTCTTTTTAGGGTGAAGAAATAGTGGGTGTAATGTCAGCCAAGATACTCTAATAGTTTAGTTGAAAAAAAAAATTTATTCTCAAGAGAATGTCGGCTGCTAGTTTCAGTTTCAACAATTTATTAAAATTATATTTTTAGGAGAGGAGATAAAGGTACCTAAACTTGTCACGTTAATTTTTAATATTATTTGTAATTTTGCAACGAAAAATTCTAATTTTTAAAAAATATAGGGCCCGGACCCTATCTTCTATGTTTCGTCCATGTCGGCTGCTAGCTGGTGGCTGCTAGTTTCAGTTTGATAATCTTATTTATCTTCTATATCTATTTAATATAGCAACAACAGTGCAACAATCTTTTTGCGATGTATGCCACTATTACTAAACGTCACGTCCAATATGGCTGAAGGTACCGTTGAAGGTATGGGTTACTTTAATCAAAACTTTGCCCCACGAAATCGCATCACAGTTTCGTGTGAAAGCCCTGAAGGCTGTCGTCGTGACATTAACTGTACCCTTAGTTCGAGTTTTAAAACTAGGATAGATTTCGTGAGCTTGCACTCGTACTAAGGGTACCGATTTTATTGTTTTCATTTCAATACAAATAAACAGTGTTTAAATTCTTTCATGAAATCATTTGCGTCTTCTTAAATTTTAAGTATATTTGGTTACTTTTCACCAAAATGGGCATAGAAAACTATGATAGTTTTCGTGAGCTCAAACTCGTACTAAGGGTACTACTGATGGTGATGAATGTTTCGGTCAGGTGCGACGGCGATGCTGTCCGTAGGCGGTGTTGGGGTTGGAGTCGGCGTGGGTGGGTTTGGTAGACCTGCCCCGCGCGCCGCGCCGCCCGTCATCAACTACCTGAAGGCGGGCGCCGTGCAGTACGCCGCGCCCAAGCAGCCCCCCGTGCCGCCTAGGCTCAAGGTAAAGAATCATTACACAATACACACTACACTTTTAACACTACACTATTAGAACGAAAAAAAATGTTGCGAAGTACAAAACAAATGTTGCTAGATAACCTGCACATTCCCATCAGTTCTTCCCCAAAGTTCTACACTTCACACTCTAATGTTCATCTATCTAAGTAGTGAAATGTACAATCCACTTCAGAGTCCTTTTTTACGACTCTAAATACTCTGTGCTTTAAGATCAGGGTAGGTATGAGCGAGTGAGACTTCTTCACTTTGTAGTATATAGCTGGCGTCTACTTCAGTGCTATTCTGTAAAATTATCACGCGTCATTACCAACAGGCGGGTATCTGTTTATTTGCACACTTGTTTCATGTCGGCACTTCACACGGCTATTTGAAAACTTGTCAACAGTATCTCCTGTTCACATCCTATAAAAAAAGAGTATGTTACAGACAACCGAGTGTCAAAATGTCAAATACGAATAGCCATGTGAAGTGGCAGAATCACAGGAAACAATCAAACCTTCACCTAACTTGTCACCAGCAGAAGCATTTGTTCAAAAGTGGTATACTTTTTAATGTATTCTCAGGGCCCGATTTAGAGCTGTGGAGGCCCTGTGGGGTAACGATGGGGTGGGAGCCCCTATTTTAATATTCAGAACCTGGTGCTACTTACGATTGGCACCCCCGGTGACCCGTCGAAAATCAGTAATTTTTTAACTCTGTTGTCAGTCTTAAATCCCTGTGTATACTACATTCAATATCATTTTATGCTACATGTACTCCTTTGTTGACCAGACAAATGTTGAGCCTCCGTACCCGCAATTATTCGAGCACCAGCCCCACCAGCCGCACCACGGGCCCGGGGGCTCCAGGGCTTCGCCCCCGCCGCCCGGCGCGCAGTTCCAGCGCCTCAAGGTCGAAGACGCGCTGTCTTATCTCGACCAAGTCAAATACAAGTTTAACACGCAACCGCAAGTCTACAACGACTTTCTGGATATCATGAAGGAGTTCAAGAGTCAGACGTGAGTATAATTCTCTAAGTCAAATACAAGTTTAATACGCACCCCAAGTTTACAACTTTACTATTAAAGTTATCCAAGTTACTTTCTGGATATCGTGAAGGTGTTCAAGAGTCAAACATGAGGATAATTCTCGGTCTTAACTCAACCGAGTACAATACAAGTTAAACACGCAGCTGCAAGTCTACAACAACTTTCTGGACATGATGAAGGAATTCAATAGTCAAACTTGAGTATATTAATACTAGATGTTGCCCATAGAAACTTCAAAAAAGAAAGATTTCTGCAATAAAAGCTACTATAACTATAAAATAACAACTGTCCTTTTTCGGTAGTCAGTATAAAGGACGCAGTTTGCATCGATTGGTGGGATGATGACATTGCAGTCATTGCGGCCAGATCAACATCTTAATTCTCTATCACAAGATAGTAATGGTCAATCATCCCCTTCAAATAACATTTTCGCAACAAAAAGTATCCTATGTTCTTCTTGCAAGCTTTAATGTCACAAAATTCAAAATATAGAAATAAAGATAAATAATTAACGCTTGTAATAACATCGTTTTTTTTTTATAAAACTCACGACGGCCAGGTAGCAGACGGGACTCGAACCCGTACCCTCTACCGGGCGAATGCACTGACCATTATTAGAGCCGCGGTTAGCATAATGGTCAGTGTATCCGAGAAGAAATCTTTAGATTGAAACATCTAACAATTAAATGATTAAAAAAGTAAATACTTATATAACTTCATTAATATCTTATTAAATCTCAGTTTCAATTATCAACTTCCAGTAAAAAGTAAGGTTCTGTTCTTAGCAACAGTTGTTCTTATAATCTAAAAAAAATATCTAGTCAACCAAGTTCTAATAGAAATGTTTTTTACTGGATTTTGATTATTGAAACTGGCCGTAAATATGGATAAGTGATATTAACCTTTGTAATATTGTTCCAGCATCGATACACCGGGCGTGATCACACGGGTTTCGAACCTGTTCAAAGGGCATCCAGAGCTGATAGTCGGCTTCAACACCTTCCTACCGCCGGGGTATAAGATCGAAGTGCAGAGCAATGGACAGGTGATTATATTCATTACTAGTTTACTTACAATTTACTCAACGTAATTAGATGCTTATAAAAAAACATAATTTGCAGCTTCTCATTATTGTGAATGTAGTTATGTTTTCTTCAATGTATAGATATAAAAAGAAAGAGTATGTTGAGAAAAATTCTAATATAACGTATCCCTTCAATTATTATTATTTAAGTTCAGGCTTATATTAAGAAATTTTTTAAATTTTTTTTTCACATTAACATTCAGTTTAATGAATTTTCTAGTAATAATGCATTGTTGACGACTTGCTCCTTGTAGATACACCGGCTCTTAAGGTCTCCCCTACTCGAGCGGTTCCAGGATCGAATCCCGATGGACAGATGTTTGTGTGATGAATACGAGCATTTGTACTCCAGTCATGGATGTTAAAATGTATTTCTATAAACATATACTTATGTATGTATTTTAAATATAGTATATGTATTCTATCCGTTACCCTAGTATCCCACAACACAAGCCTACACTGCTAACTTTGGAACTAGGCTTATTAGCCTATACCCTATTGGTTATTTGACAAGTTTTAAAAAATGATCTCACGTTATTGACTAATGTTTATGGAGTCCGTAAAGAGTAGATATTCATCATTCTGTTGCGTATTTCGGTAATAACCAAATCAAAAATTCCACTTTCAAGTTGCCGCGAAAACGTTTTTCTGGACAATATGGCGTCTTACTAGTGTGTGACGTCACACGACTGTTATTAAAACGTCAAACGATACAATGTAATGTCACTTTAACCGGAAGTTTACTTGCGTGTGACGTCATTTTAGGCTCTGCCAATCGCAAGCGTTTTGGGTCACATGACAATAGAAACAAAAGAAAACTAACTATTATGCGCTTACCACACGCACAAGCTTCACCACAGTTTGGCCTGCGCAAGCATCCCGCACGAAAAAACTGTACACTTTGTGCGTTACCACACGGCACAGTTAAGTCCGCGCAAGCCTCATTCTTATCGAAACAATGTAGGTAGTATGTATTAGGCATGGAAACAATGTAGGTAGTATGTATTAGGCATAGGTATTTAGTTGCAAAATTATGTTATTACCTCTTTCATTTTATTTATCATTCTATCGTAGGCGTCGTTCTTTTTATTTCGGTCGGAATAATCTTTAGATTTAGTTTTCCAGAGTGCAGGCAGAGATTTGTATAAACTAATTAATTCAGACGTGAATTCGCGATTGTTGTACGTACGCAAATCTGCCATTTTTGAGTGACGATGACGAACGACCTCATGAAACGACGAGCGAGCCTCGACACAAAGTACACTCGACTGTGGCTTGAACACTGAACGCCCAACCACACGCACAGACAAGTACGCGCAGGCCGGGCTTGCGCAGGCAAAATTTCAAGCAAGTCGAAAAATGCGCAGGCCGCGCTGTGGGGTTGGCGCGTGATACAGTTTTACCAACCACACGCACCGTGTTCCGTGTACAAACCGGCCTGCGCAGGCAAAACTGTGGTGAAGCTTGTGCGTGTGGTAGGCCCATTACTGCTAACAATTGGCACTTTATTTTTAATACTGTCAAATACCCTATTGGTGTGACTGTTGGAAATCTTTATATATATAATTCTTCTGTGAGTGTGTATGTCACTGAACTTCTCTTAAACGACTGGACCGATTTTGATGAAATTTTTTGTGTGTGTTCAAGGGGATCTGAGAATGGTAATTTTCATCAAAATGGTCCAGAATGTTTTAGCTTATTAAAAAAAGTTTGAAATTTTCAAATTAAAGACGTGTAGACAGGACAACGTCTGTCGGGTCCGCTAGTATTTATATATATTTGTTTGTACAGGTTTCCGTATCCATGCCCTCTCCGGGCGGGCTGACTGCGGGCGGGGGAGCCCCCGTACTGTTGGGAGTACCTCCACCGCAACCGCATCTCGTGCAGTTGCTGCCAGTACCGCATCAGTGAGTTGCTACATATTTTTCCATTGTTTATTACACTAAACAACGCCTATTCACAATTTGATACCTACATATTGTTTTAAACTTTCATGGTCACTAACATTATAGTAATGTAAGTTATTTACGGGATTGTTACCATTTACCTTGTTTTTAGCGAGTTTTCGATATATCGGCACTGTTGCAAGCGCCATGAGCTACAGTTACTCCGTGATCATGGCGGCAACAACAAGGTACATGCTAACAATCCCGTAAATGACTTATATTTGATACCTAGCCTTAATAACATTACTATTTATAAAATGTATACATTACTGGTGTTGATTCGAATCATGCCATGCTTCTCTAAACTTAAAACTAATTTAAGATCAGTCTCTCCTTTTCATTCTGTATAGAGGAAGACAAGGATACACTGTGGACAACTTTAAGTTTAGAGAATCGTGTCAGAATGGACAACATTATCTTAAAAATTTAAGTTAAAGCTGCATATTACTTATTTCTTTACTTCTTCCATGCTAATTTAGGTTTTGAGGTTCCTCATGAACTTAAAATTTTTTCGGGATAAAAGGTTTCCTATGTCTCAATCTAGGTCATAAAATGTGTGCGTACCAAATTACATCCAAATCAATTCCGTAGTTTTTGCATGATTGAGTCACAAGCATACAAACACACAAACATAAAACTTTCACATTTATGATATATAAAAAGTTGTGTTTACAGTGTTTGTTATGGAAATTCTCTGAAACTGCTCATCTATTTTTATATATATAAATATTTTATTAGTGGTAGGCTTTTTTGACCATTTAAGGTACTATTACAGTTTGTGATTAATACATGACCAAACATGAATATTTTTGAAATATAATCCCAACTTGATAAACTAAGAGATTTACTATTAATCTAAGCATTTCACAGTAATTGACAAAGCACATCGATAAAAATATTATAATCACTAGCTTTCCGCCCGCGACTTCTTTATCGTTATAGTTAGTTCATTTAGAATCTTACAGGAAGCTAACATTTTTCTGTGACAAAAAGTATTCTATGTCAAAGTCCTTGTAATGAACTATTTATGCGAATTTCATCTAAATCCGTTCAGCCGTTCTTGCGTGATAGAGGAACAGACGCATATTCATTATTTTTAATAACTGTGGGATAGTAAATAGTAGAAAAAAGGCTACTAAAATCTGTACTTTATTCTCCAGGCTAAAAATTATTCTTAAGGTACTTTTAAGAACACGCATTAAATATAATAAATTAAGTCCTCTAATTAATTCAAAGCTCACGTTAGAACAAATTTGGAGGTCTGGCAAGTGTCTGTACACAGTAATGGCGTCTAAAAAAATGTATGCTCTGTAAATAGAAAATCCGTGTAAGCGTGATTCATACTTCTCGCCTCATTGTCGAGTATTGCAGTAATGTGCATTTAAATTTGTCAGTATTAAATAAGATAATTTTGCTAGTGTCTAAATTCTAATAAAAAATCATATTGCACTCCATTTACTTCAGTTTGATCTTAAGAATAGGTATTAAAATAATATAATGTATAATACCATATAATGAATTAAATAATAAAATTATGTAGCAATAAACCTAGCTTTTGGAACGTAACAATCATGGATAACATTATTCTAAAATGTGTGTATATTCTTTCTTATAAATATTAATGCCCCCTCCTTTGTAGGTCATACAAGATTTCGGTAAATGATAAAAGTAGCTTGATAGCTAAGGTTAAGTAAGCGTCTTCTGCTAAGACCACTTATCGGTTGAATGGCCTAAATTTCTTATATCAAGTACCAAGTTTTGATTAATCTAGCTATTTAAAAAAATAGCTTATTCAGGCATCACGCTATTGGTTTGTTGGAAAAAAAAGAAATAAAGATTTACATAACAATAATAAAAACCGATAGATAAAAACAAAACCACTAAAAAGAAAGAAATAATACATATATCTTTTACTTTTATCCTAAGTTCATTTATTAAAAGTCGTGGTTTAGAAGCAGATACATTTTAGCTCCTCCTTATTTCATCAAGACTCCTCTGTCACACTACGCTAGGTGGTGGCAGAATTTCGAAACATTTGTTTTCATTTTATTTATCATGTTATCGTCTGTATTTTGGGACAAATAAATACATTTATAATTATATTGTAATAAATACTATTATTAAACCCACGTCCTGATTTACTTGTTTAAGTCTATTTTTGCGTTAAAATATAGCCAATCTCCCCCACCAACATACATCGGATTTGATTCAGTGATTAAGCCGTGGAAGCCTTTGCTTCTGCGCAGAGTTCCTTTCGCATTTATAATATTAAAATTGATTTATTGATTTGTGGTGGTAGGAAAAATGTTGGGACTATTCAAGAGTTTTTTATTTTTCCAATTTAAATAAAATTATTAATTATCAATTTTATTAAAAGTGTGTTGCAAATTAGGGGCACACAGTGCACACATCATTCACAATAAAACAGTAACATAAGATTTAAGACTATTTTGCATGCACATTTATAAAGAGAAACTGGCAGTTGCTGGCTTCCCTTATTTTGTAAATAACACCGCTTTATATTAACATATTAACAACACAAAGGAACTAATTATGATATAAATCTGTTGCATTGTTAAGAGTATAATTATGGTGTTTTCTGCCATTATTGCGGCCAAGCTCAATCAGTTAATACCTGAAATAATTTTCAATACCATAAAGGGATTAAAATACAATTGCAAACACACACGACGCTTTGATTTGACCTTCCAATTGCTAGTTTGTCTATCTCCCTCTTACACCGGTGACGTAACCCACCGGAAAGGGTCCGCCAATCAGCTGATCCCCGAGTTCAATGACTCGTAGGTTATTTTCAAATCGATATTAATGCGTTCTCTTCCAGCAATGTTTTGATGAAACGCGTTTTAACCGAGCTATTCTGTGTTGTACCACGCAATTTTATAAACCCTTACAATGCGACGTAATTATCGTAGTGCATGCTAATAATTTGAATACACATATTGACTGATATTAATAAAATTAATTAGCAACTTTTCATTATCTTTTATCTACTGCAAACATAGTTTCACAAATTCAATATAATGCCGTGCTTCGTTATTACTAATTATATATAAAGTTATTCGTGTTTGCTATTTGTAACCTTGATAACAGTTTCTCCTTTTCATTCTCTATAGTAGTAGTAGTAGTAGAGTATGATAAAGACAACCTGCTTTGAAAATGACTAATAGCAAACACAAATAGCCAAGTGAAATGCTGGATTCACGTAGTTTTAGGCAAAACTTTCCTATATAAATAGTTTTTATTTATTTTGTTTTCATAAACATGAGTCTTACAATTTCCAAATGATGATATTAATTACCGTTCGATTCTAATGATAAAAAACAGCGGCTGCTCTTTAAGAGTACTGATTTAACTACCCAACTGCTTTCTATATCTTTTTCCTGAGCAGGAATCTTAACAAACACGTTGTTTCAGGTCCGTTAGCAGTGCTATAGTACACAATCTGTCCGTGTCTGCAACACCGGCTAACACTTTGCATCACATTTCGCAAGCTCATCAGCAAATTGAGGCTGCCTCAATACACCACAGTGGTGGTAAGTTAAATCTTCGCCAATTTATGAATGTCCTTCCGTCAAGATAAAAATATATATTTTAACGCCATTGGCATGATTATATCTAAACTTAAAACTAAATTTAACAGCAGTCTCTCCTTATCATTATGTTAAGCTAATGACAAGAATGCACTGTTGTCAAATTTAATTTGAGGCTTAGAGAATCGTGCTAAAGTTGACACGTAAAAACTGTATAAGCACTAATCGTATATCTTTATAATATATGTCTTTTTGGTCTAAAAAGTTTTTTTATTACGCAAAACTTGTTTATTCTCCGTTTCTATCATGAAAAGTAGCATGATGTTAGAAATCATTTATTCAGCGATCAGATAGACTATTGTGCAATAGTCTATAAACAATCTTATCTATCCCAAAATGATGAAATTAATTACCGTTCGATTCTAATGATAAAAACTTGCGGCTGCTCTATATGAGTTCTGATTGACACCTTATGTTTGAGTATTTGATAAGGAACTTTTAGTGTATTGATTGATATGAATATGTTTGATCGTAGGTACTGTACCCGCTACCTCTGGGAATTGCCCTCACTCGGCTACTGCTCCACCAGGGCAGCCTGTAGAATTCAACCATGCCATAGAATACGTCAACAAGATAAAGGTAAGAGATTCATTGACAACCGTGTTTTCTTTTTTGAATAAAAATATGCATTCGATATGGGAACTTCTGGCTTTTTTAAGTAGGTTAAAATAGGAATAATACATTAAAATCGAATTTGTAATTCATAGGTATAATTTGGTGTGAAAAGAAATTATTGGACATACACATTTAACTCTACAAATATACGCAATATGATTAATGTCAGAAATAAATTTACTAATCAGGAGCTAGTTACTCAACTTTGACCAATAAGGTAATTTCTTTTTGAAATGACAAATGTAAAGGATCATGGAATTGTTCAAATTAGACTATAATATTTTTTTACATTAGGCTCCTGTAATATTTTTTTTTTTATTAATTCGTTTCCGAGATATAATTTTAGGCCAAATTGCTAGCATTACTTTCCACTGCAATGAAAAAACCGGAAGAAATTCGTGGTTATAGTAAAGCAAAGCATTTAACCTTATAACGACGAAATTATCGTACAAGTGAAAATCCTGATTGATAACACTAAATCATGTAGTTTTATTGGTTTATAAGCCAAGTTAAACATCAACTTTGTCGAAAGTTTTTTTTTCAATAGTATTATTTTTGGTCTCTGTACTTAGTTGATTATTGTTTTAGACTTCACTGTACTGGCTTATAAGCTGTTTTATTTTTAATCTTAAAAAGGCCTGACGGTATGCGGCCACCATAACCCATAAACGCTTGCGATACTAAAAATATATCTCGCACTGGTACATACTCTGACCCAAGCCCTTACCCGTGGAGCCCTGAAACCCTTACTCACCGATAGAAATGCAACAAAACCAGTTATTTTGCTGTGATCTTCTGTATTATGGAGGTTAGTACCCCCAGAAGTACGATGTACTTGTGAGATTTGATCTCATTTTCTTTCTGCAACAGTCCCGTTTCTCGCGTCAACCGGACAAATACAAGCGTTTCCTTGAGATCCTGCACGCCTACCAGCGCGGACACCGCGACTGCAAGGAGCCCCAGGCAAAGCAGCAGACCGAGCAAGAGGTCTACTCCCAGGTTAATATTCATAGATATTTATTTATTTTATTGCATTCATCGTACATTTTTGTTCTTAGATTAATTCTTGTCACAAGTCACAAAATAAGAACCCTATGAAGGGCTTCGCAATTCTCTTAGAAGTTAATATTGTATTTTAATATTTTTCTTGCATTTTTTTACAAATATAATTAGAATAACTATGAAATACAATTAAAATGTATCTTCTAGATATTCTTGCAAATTATAGTACTTAAGCCTTAATTTGGAAAAATAATTTAATTTTATGTCAAATTCACGTGCAATGTGTGTCAAATTGTTTGAAAGCAGTCAATGTGTGCAATTGTAGCGACGAGCTTATCTACCATAATATGTAGTAGATATTTTTTGTACCGCTTCCGTGCAGTTAATACGGTATCTAGATACCGTTAATTGCAACAACTGTTAAGCATTAAACTGAAAAATTGATAACAGAGTTTTTACTAGAAAATAAAGGTCTTGGTTCAGGTTTCAAATAGGAACCAAACATTTTTTTAAAGATTCGAATAAGTACATTTATTTCGTTACGAATTTGCAATAGCTAAAAATAAAAGGGGCGTGATAGCGGCGATTGGCTCCCAGGGTCAAGTCAGTGTCACAAGTCACGCCGTGCTCACTCGTTCAGCCATAGTAATATCTCACTCAATCAAACCATTATCTAGACGTTTATGCTTTGATTTGTTAATTTTTATGCACTGAACAATATCAACAGACTTAAAAAACTATGCCACTTACACATGTGAACTTGAGTACTTTAGTTCACCTTATATTGTCATAATGGTAGTGTATATTCTATTAAATTTTTGAATTAATAAAATTTTATTTAGATTTAATAAAATTCATCAAAGTGACCTTAAACTTTATTTTGTAATGATGTTAGTATATCAGATATAAATTTAAATGGGCATTATCGTAGTTTTGATATACCCTGGACTCGTGAATAGTAAATTTGGGGGGAGGAAGGGTCTTGTAAAACGTTACGATGCGTTACAGGGTCGGGAGACGGGTTCGTCCAACGCGTTACGTAACATTGTTTTTTATTTGCGTCATTGTAAACGTTGCGGCGCGTTACATGGGGGCGAGAGGGTGTCAAAATTCTTCCAATTTTGCGTTACGTAATACTTGAACGCCCCCTTACTTCATAATCTATTGAATTCATCTGGGACTACATACATATAACGACGTATAATACGCCCAGAGGAAATTAAGTCACTTTAAGCTAGAAAAGTTTTCGAGCTTCTAGAAATCTGCCAAGCTAAATAGTGTTTTAACTTGGTGGCGAGTCAAGGTAGATCTTTTTGATAGTTAGTTAGAGTAGAAGATAGTTCCATTTGGACTTTATAGCCCCAAAAATCGGAACTATTAATACTGCTTCATAATTTGTTACAAGCTGCGTTTGGTATTTGCATCGGAGTGGCGACGGATATTTTTGGTCACATGATCGTAGCTTAATCTGAACAAAGTGCTACTACCGAATGGCTTGACCAATCTTATTTTCATTTCTAACCTCAAACGGAAACTAACCGCACAACATGACAGATAACCAGATTAATCTTTCTCGTCAGTCAAAATACACTCTGAGCAAATAGATTTATTTACATCGGACTGATCTGAGCGGAATTACCAAACGTTTCAGTTTTACTCTAGATGTAATAAACAAATGATTCAGACTAAAAAGATTGATCAGATGCAAATAACGAACGCAGCTTCTGTCATAATGTTTAACATAACTATGTTGTTTCAATAGGTGGCGAAATTGTTTGAGAACCAAGACGATTTGCTGGCTGAGTTTGGTCAGTTCCTGCCTGATGCTAAAGCCGTCACCAAACCGACGCATTACCCTCACGTTAGGACTCCGCCCCCTGCACAGGTATAATTATCATCATCATCAGCTTATTAAGGTCCCCACTGCTTTAGCCTTTCCTATAGATGGAATAGCGAGATTGAGCCATGACCCACCACGCGGGTCCAGTGGGGTTTGGTGGGTGCTAACGATTGCAGATGTAGCCGGGACCATCGACTTTACGTGCCTTCCGAAGCACGGAGGAGCTTGAGATAGTAAGTTTTGGTCACCCATCCAATGGCTGACCATTGCGAAATTGTTTAACTCCAACTCCGGAAAATTGTAATTTCTACATTGTTAGACATTAATTATATTTTCATTTATAGCAACGCGTGGAAGGAGAGCCGGAACTCACCGCTTCCCCGCCTCTCACGCCTCACGCCACTCTCACGCATCTACATACTCAGGTTAGTACATAAAACATGGGGCACAGGCCTTCCCTATGGATGGAATAGGAAGTACATGCCAAGACCTACCACGCGGTTATGTTCTACTATTGGTGGGTGCGTACGACTACAGATGCAGCTGAGACTAACAGCTTAACGTGCACTCCTAAACACGAAGAGTGAGAGATAATAAGCTCCTACGACCGACCATTGCGAAAGTTATTGAACCTTCACGATCGCGGCCGAACACGCTCACCACCTGCGCCATCGAGCACGTCTATAAAAATATGTATATCGCTTGTTTATTTATTATGAACAAGGAAACTAGTGCCCCTATTTGATAGGATAACTGCCCCATTCTAACAGTTCCGTCGACAGGCTTCTTAGGTGCCAGACAAATGTGATTTTAGAGTTATTTTATACTTCAACTAGCTTACTGAGAATAAGAACTAACAATAAGTGTACTGTCTCGATTTAGGGTACCAAATTTCACCTAAATCTTTTCAGCTGTTTCTGCGCCAAGAACAGAAGAGTAACAAATAGACATTCACATTTGTAATAACTAGCTGAGCCTTCGAATTTCATGTCGCCTAACAGTCGATGAATGTGGTTAATTTGAGGAAAAAGATATTGTGAGTCAAACTTAAAACATAAACATATGCTGTTACGGACAAAAAACGGTCAAAATGAAATAATTCCGTCATACATTATTATTGTGTAGCTTTAACCATTTACGCAGCGCACGCAACGGCAGCTCTCAAATGGAATGTTTTTGCCCCGTTTTTGCGACATTTTTCACCGATGCTCCGTTCGTAATGGTCGAAGCGTGATGTTATATAGCCAATTGCCTTTCTCGATAAATGCACTATCCAGCACAGAAGTTCCTGAAATTCCGTAGGAAATGTCAGGAATTACTGTTTCAACCAAAAAACATATTTTTCAGCTTTATAATATTAGTATAGATAAGATTGAAATATTTATTTCTTTTTGTTTCATACAGCCGGCGCCAAAGCACCCGGCAGTAAGCGTCCCGCCACCTCAACATCTAAAACGGTCGCCCAGCTTCTCGTCTTCAAATCAAATACGTAAGTCTATCCTGTAATTATATTATTGAAAAAAATCAGTAATCATTTATACAGACTAGGCTGTGTTACAAGCACTTGTGAAAGTAGAGAAGCTACGCCATCTATTTGCAAAACTACCACGGGAAACCTTGTACTAAGAAGAACCGGTAAGAAACTCAGCAACGGCTGTTTTTTCTCCCTGTAATATCATATACAGAGTCGTCAAGTTGAAAAATATTTCAGACATAATTCTGTATTCACCTTCCATTACATAATTTAGAATAACTAGCGGACACAATAATAAAGAAAAGCATTAAACGCAACTGCATTTGTTGCCAAGCGGGTAGCTTATAAGTTAGATTTTCTTAAATGAAGTAGGTACTAGCGGCGCGTTATCTTTAGTTTTTTGAGAATCCCACAGACACCTATCATTTTTCCGGGATAAAAAGTATCCTAAGTCTCAATCCAGCCCACCAAGCATGAGCACCGAGATTAATAGCGTGATATAATAAAATAACATTGTAGTGCTCATTCCACAGGGACAGGTCTTAAACTATACGCATACCAAATTTCATCCAAATCCGTTAAGTAGTTTTTGCGTGTTTGAGTAACAAACTTTCACATTTATGATAGTAACAGGACTAGAAAATGTGAATTTTGATTGCATAAGGTCATTATTAACATATACATTTATCTCTGATAGAGATCTCTTCCGGCCGTCCAAGGTTTTATGTGAGCCTGATATGTTCTCTTATCAAATACTACGCTTTTGTGATAATAAATAATCTGGGACTTTGTTTTGTTGTGTTGTTTTGAAATCGTAAAAATTACTTTCACCATTTTCTACTAAACTTCTCTACCAATCTCTATTTGAACTCGATCAACACTCACCAGACTTTATCCAGGTTATTTTTGTGCCAAATCTAATACAAATCTGTTCTGCAGATTTTGATTAATTGAGTGTCTAAAGCTAGCTGGCTGGCTGTCTTTTGTAATTTTGTATGCAACTTTACAAGCAGTCTCTGCTTTTTATAAACATTGTATAAAGATATACTGACGACAAGAAGTGTACGAATAGCCATTTTAAGTGGTAGTGTGTGTAGTAATCTACCTGATAGACGAAGATAAATAATAAAATAATAAGTTATTCATAGTCCCTATTGCTACATTTTCTATCTGAAGCCCAAGCACAGGTTTTGACAGCCCAGTAAAGTAGCGTAATCGTCAAAGTTTCAATGAAAACTAATCAGCGCCCCCCCCCCCCCCCCCCCCCCTATCGGACGTAACAAGAAGTTATTCTTTTCCATACAGCTATCAAAAACTCGTGTTAGGGCGGGCCTCTGACACTTGCATTTTTCTCTAGCTATCTTATTCTAATTTGGTTGTAATTTTATGATATAGCGTCAGGCGCGCCCCCAGCGAAGAAATGCCGCGTCTCCGGTCTATCGGGGGCTGCGGTACGCGAGGTTTCGTACGCGGAAGCGGCCAAATATGCTACCCATCACGACTACAGCTTCTTCGATCGAGCCAGGAAGGCGCTGCGATCACAACAAGTCTACGACAACTTCCTCAGGTGATTAGTGTTAATCTTTCATTCAAACAACAGCCTGAAATGAATAAACTGATTTTGAATTTTAATTACAGTGCTTGCTTTCGGCCTAACCTATTTATTATTAGGTGTTATAACCTCAGAACAAGAATTAATGCAATGACAATTAAGCGAACACTTCCATTGACTATACGTTTTACCCAACCAAACAGTATTAGTGACGTGTTTTCAGGTTACAATTGAAATTAGATCGCTTTTTGATTCGATATCGTAAAGGTTACCAAGGTGTATAGTCAAGTGTGCTATAGTCTGTTCCAAACGAATTTAGACCAAAAGTAAACAAATACTTTACCTCCTAATTCTCACGCTATGACTCTCAACACATTTATTTGCATTTCTAAGGGTTTGACTTATTAATGCACTATCTTTTATAGCACTAATTGCGTTATAAATATATGAAAAATTTTAAATAAAAAGGAGTCGAAAAGTAAGGTTATTTTGTTGATGGGAATTGTCTGTTGTCTATGGTTGAATAGTGTTGCACCGAAAAGTCTATTATGATTTCAATTGACGTTAGTAATCGAATAGTGAATCTATAATTTATTCGAACTGATAAATAACATGATGAATAATACAGATAATGGAACGTAATTTTTGTGTTACTGCAAATATGAGCGATGAGTTTGTATTTTATTTTTAGGTTTTATTATTATCTTAATTTCGCCAAGTAAGGTTGGTGTGACATTTTAATTATCGCTTATTGTTTCACCCTGGATATTAAAATATAAAAGTGGTATAGTTTTGATTTACTTATAGCACAGACGCATATATAACTGATAAATAAATATACGACGACGACGAACCTAAATATTCAATAAATAACGCAAACCAATCGTTCAAAAAGAGTTTTATTATGTAACGAAATATAGTTAACTATATTGCCAAAAACAGTTAACAGCCAAAGTTCTTTTTTGAGTAATGACGATAAAAATATATTCATGATACAAAATAAGCCTTATAGATCTTTAACAGTTTCTAAGAAAATGATCATTCAATTGATTTTCTATGAATCTCCATCACTAATCTGTCTATGGTCAGACTTACCTACCTCTTTGTTTACTTTTGGTGTAAACTCGTTTGGAACAGACTATACGAGGCGTACAAAGGCCAAAGATACGCTATGTGAGGTTTGTATGGTGGTATACACGCTGTTCATAGCAAAATATATTTTTTGTTGTTATGAACAGGGCTTTTGTGGTCTATATGTAAAAATGAGATAATTTCAAGAGTCTACATTATGAGGATGTAAATCTGTTGTATGTATTTATTATTTCCCAGTTTTATCCCAGTGCTCGGTAAAACCTACACAGGTTTTGTAGCACTGTTGAAATGTATTGGTTTTTATTTATAGTGATGTGAAATTCAATAAATAAATAAATAATTTTATTACGTCGTTTGATCCAGATGCCTGCTCCTGTTCACGAACGAGATAATCTCTTCATCGGAGCTGGTGATGGTGACGAGTCCGTTCCTGGCGCGGCACCCCGACCTGCAGCGCTGGCTGCGGGACTTTCTGGGCCCGTGTGCTACACCCGCACCAGTCCCCGGTAATTTTCTTCTTCGGAAAACTTACAGCTATTATTTTTGATGTGTAACATCTTTCCTCTCGCTTTCGTGCAATTTGTGGGAGTGATTACGTGAAGTGGGACGGAAGTGTGTAACAGGAAGTTTGGGAAGCGCGTGCCATTTGCTTTTAAAACATAACGTTCAAATGGCTTATTCCTTTTGTAGTAGGTTTTATTTCTGTTTTTACTTATATAAGGTGTGGTTTCAATTGTTACACATCATACGCGACTACTGTAAGACTCGCTCGTTTTCTTTATATTTCTTCGGAAAACTTACAGCTATTATTTATACTTGGTTTCTAATTAAGTTAACTACTGGCCAATAACAAGTTTTCACATATAAAATGTATGTATGTAAATATGTTAATGTCGACGAATTAGAAATGATTGGGGAAAAGCATTGCTCTCTAACAAAGTCTGCTAAAACATGTTCCCAAACTCGTACAACTTCAATGCTAACGCGTCACGTACACAGACAAAATTAAAAAAAAGACAAAATAAAATACTTTGGCAAATCAAATGTCTGCAAATCAATCAATCAATCCACTCATTGGGTAAGATAATATTAAACGGAAATCCTAACCAATACCATGATCAATATGTTGATCGCATTTTTTTGCCCCACCCACAGTTTGCGTGGTACCACTTTTTAGCGCAATTCGTATTGGATTATTATTTGTAATTCGTTGGATAATGTATTTTGATAATTTTATTTTGAAAACAGAGTTAATAACAATCTATCACAGTCAAACTAACTTTCCTCGTCAAGACCCTGCTATACAAATAGGGGGTAAAACTATTTATGAAACTAAAACTTACGATTTAAATGACAAAATTGGGGTAAAAATTAATGATTACTGTTAATTGTGCCGAATTTCATCCGAATTCATTCAGCCGTTAATGCGCGATTGAGTAACAAACATCCTAATTTTTACATGTATGTTTATCTGCTCATGAACTTCAGTAGCGGGCAAGAACTTTGCCATAAGACAAATAAACTTTGCAGTAGACGTTTTTGTATGTTAAACTTCTAACTGCGCAGGCTACCTTGGCTTTGGTCATTGCTCAAGAAATTTGGCGCGATGATAACATGCCTTTTAATCACCAATAATGAAATTACTATTATTTCTTATACAGGCTACAACAACAGCAGTTTTCCCAGCGCGAACAGCTTGCTAAGCTTCGACCGCGAACGCGAACGTTCGCGCGAAAGCGAGCGAACATTGGACAAGAACGTTCGCTACGAACCTCTGGGGCCTTTGGGGGCGCAACTAAGACACGATAGGCCGCAAGGAGATGCCGCTATGGATATAGGTTCGTATACATTACTTACTGCATCTCAAACTATCTCTATACCAAATTTCATGTAAATTTGTTCAGCGATATAAGTGTAACCATAAAACAGAGAGACTTTCGCATTTATAATATTAGTATGGATATGGATAATGCCTAGTTTATACATCAGTCTACAATATAATGCTGACAATATAATTTTTCAGTAATCAACAAACTATCAATGTTTCTTCTACCTTTTCATTGTGGTTTTAGCTTTCAGCTAATGTACTGTTTGCTGGAGATTCACATGAATAATATAAGACAGGTATATATCCGTTGTTCCACTCAAATTAGAGCGCCCGTCTGTAGAAGTAACCTCCACCTTACAGAAGAGCACAGTAAAAAAACAACACTACTGATAAAAAATATATATTATAAAATTGTACACTCCACTCTATCGCATTGGTCGTCAAACATAGTATGAGTAATTTGTTTCCAGATTTGTCTACGTGCAAACGTTTGGGCACCTCTTACTGTGCGCTGCCGAGAGACGCGGCGGCCAGGAGATGCTCCGGACGCACTCCGCTATGCAAAGAGGTAAGTGGTAATCTGCACTGGGTGTTTATGACACATTTGACCACACTCTGGCATTTGAAATAGAAAGAAACATAAACATTTATTGACGATATACATTAACACCAATGACGTATAATATATGGACAGGTTATAAGCCAACATTATTGCATTTTAAAATGGCACATGTGGGTAGTCCCCGCCTAAACTTCCCTTGGTAACAGACAAATAGTCTATTTCGCTATCCTGCATAAAGCAGATTGCATCTCGCTCTTTAGCCTCCACGTGTCAATTCAACAATACCGCGGTGTCAGCAACTGTCAAAATAAATAACCATTAAATATTTTTACATTAATTTCTTTTAAAGAAAACGGTACTTACGAATGAAATGACAAGTTTTTCTTGTCTCTTAATAGTTTCCGTGTAATTTGTGTACTATCTAAAAACACACATTGCGTTTTTGTCTGGAAAAACGTAAAATATCTATAGTTCTAGCGGAGTAAAGCCACGGAGAGTCGGGCAATAACCTTTTTTTCGTATTGCCAAATTAGAAGTGTGTATGAAGTATCTTTAACTATAAAATATCGTAGTATAACACACAATTACAAATAGATTCACATAACAAAACACGAGATAAAGTAAGTTGTTGAAATATTTGCCCTCAAATTTAGTTTTAAGTTTCGAGAATCAGACCCTATATTGATGTCGATTCTGGCATGATTCTCTAAAGCTAAACTTAAATTTGACAACAGTGTATCCTTGTCATTTTCTATGCAGAATGACTTGAGAGACTGATGTTAAATTTAGTTTTAAGTTTAGAGAATGACGCTAGAATCAACACCATTATATGATTAAAATTATCTTAATAATGATTTTTCATATTTTTTTGTGGACAGGTATTGAATGACACGTGGGTGTCTTTCCCTACGTGGAGTGAGGACTCTACGTTCGTCACATCACGCAAGACACAATACGAAGAGTACATTTACAGATGTGAAGATGAACGTTTTGAGGTAAATATTACAATTTAAACAGTAATTTTCAACAGCTTTATTACAAAGATGTGTTTATAGTAACTTTTTGAGAGTAAAGAGTGAGAAGTTATGGTAAGAATATAAAAATTTATGCCATTTTTACCAATCAAAGGTCTATTTCTATAAGGGTCTTTCATAGAATAGGGATGAAAAAATTATTGGATTCGTATTTTTTCTTTTTTCACATAATCAAAACATCACAGAGATATTATATTGATATGAAATATCGCGCAACCTCACGTGTTGGTACAATTTTTAATAAGAAATGACGACAAGAGCCCCCACTCACAAGACGACGCGCTTTATCTTTTTAAATTTTTGGTCGATTTACAAAAGAAAAAATAAGTGTCCATTACTTTTGAATTTCCATTTTTTTTGTAATAGTAATTTTCTAGTAGTCTCTCATCTGTTGTAATATAATGTAGGTAGGTTATATCAAATCTTTAAATAAAGAGACAATGATGAAACACATGCGATGTGCATTTGACAGAAATGTTATGTTGATACACGCATGCTGCCTTCCTACTGACGTCTCATATTAAGTATATCATAGTTTATATTCTTTATATAGTTGTGTGGTTTATCAAGGAAATACGTTTGCAATAATAGTTATTAGCTAAGCATGGGTCAATCTACTTGGCGGTAAAGTCGCCTACAGTTTGCAATTCAGTACCGTACCCTGAGTGATATTTATTAATGTTATTTTAATAGGGTTTACTAATATCTATTACTTATTAAATAAACAAAAACAAAGTCTAAAAGTCAGTTAAAAACCTCCATATTTTAAATACAATATAATGCAAATATACGTCCTGGTATCTACAAGTTTGACTTTTAGCAGCATTTAATTAACAAATAATTTGAAAATAACTGATAAAGTAGTTATTTTTTTTTCATCTAAAGATGTTTAAATCCGTCTGTTGCCTGGGCCGTGTAGTTTTTTTTCTCTAGTAAACTTTTCTTTTGATAAAGTAGATTCAGAATTAATCAGAATCCCTAAGGAATATTACTATTTGTAGTACATACTTATTTATAAGTGATGATTCATTCTCTCTCCCCAGTTGGACGTAGTGATCGAGACGAACGCGTCAACAATCCGCGTGCTAGAAGGTGTTCAGAAGAAACTATCGCGAATGTCCGCGGACGAAGCGGCGCGATACCGCCTCGACGAGTGCCTGGGGGGAAGCTCTCCCACCATTCATCAAAGGGCGCTGCGCCGGATATACGGCGAGAAGGTGGTACGCACCACTTTATTACTCATTCCATGACCATTTTAACATATTAAAACCCATTGGCGAGTTGTTGAAAACCACCCTTTTGAGCCCATATTTAACACACTAATTCCATACTCGATAAAAATTGGTAGGAGTTCATTGACAAGATAAAAAGTTTCATAAAAAGCCCAATACGTGATACGGCAAGAAGGTGGTACGCACCACTTTATGACTCATTCCATGGCCATTTTAACTTATTTAAACCCATTGGCGAGTTGTTGTACACCACCCTTTTAAGCCCATATTTAACACATTAATTCCATACTCTATAAAAATTGGTAGGAGTCTATGACAAGAAGGTGGTACGCACCACTTTATTACTCATTCCATGATAATTTTAACACCTTTAAACCTATTGGCGAGTATTTGAAAACCATAACGTTGTCTACTAGAGTTCATTGACTTCATTAAAATTGTTAGTTTTGCTCTTAGTGTGATATACTTCTTCATAGATTTCATTGACTCCATAAAAAGTTGATAGTTTTTGTTTAATAGAATATGTGTAGTTTAGAAAATTAACCTATATTATCCCAGGGGGTCGCTAGCGACCCAAATTCTGTAACTACCTTATTTTATTTTTTTATTTTAATGTACTACAATAGTTTATGCCAAATGCATTTTATCGGCTAGTTGCAAGTGTGAAGTACGTTTATAAGTAACATTAAAATAATTAGAGCGATAAATTAGACTTCTGCAATACTTAAACTTTTTGATTTAGTATAAGTGCGAAATTTCTGTGTCCGGAGTTACGAAAAATGTAAGTATCACTTTTGTCACTTATGTTGATAGAAATTTTAAATATTGATATCATAATTAGATAACTAATGTATAGAAATGTACTATTTATTATAAGTATTTTTGTTTTTTATACCATAAAAGAGCCCGGTAAAAATATTTGGGTCGCAAACGACCCAGTGGGATAATCCCTGACCTTTTGTTTCCTTTTATAGGACATCGCGTGGCTTGTCTGCGTTTGAAATTTTGGAAGTTTTGGAGGGTTTAGTCGAGGAAGACGATGTTGGTCAGCTAGACGTATACTTGGACCCTCCTGGTGATGGCCAGCAGTCCGAAGGTGACTCGGGAGACGAAGACTGTTCCGACATAAATAGACTTTCTCGTGCGCAGCTCCAATCTAATGCACAGCTGGTGATAAATCGATCTGAATCTCCTGAAAATGAGAACGTGATTGAGCCTGAAGCAGTGCAGCCCGGACCCAGTAGAATTGGAAAGTCGAAATCTTCGAAGAAGCCTACAAGACCGGTTCGAAAATGGATACGCAAGGTTATAATACCGAAGAGTGAATCTTGGAAACAGCCTTTACCCCGTGCAGTTTTATCACTTGGACCTGAGTGTGAAGCAATAGAATTCTTCCAACTATTTTTTGGTTTTGACGTAGTCGAAGATTTGGTAAAGAAAACGGTTATTTATGCCGTGCAAAAAAATAATCCCAACTTTGTTCTCTCCTTAGATGAAATGTACACTTTTCTTGGTATCATGATTTTGAGCGGTTATAACACTGTGCCAAGACGTCGAATGTATTGGGAACCTAATGAAGATTGCCATAATACTTTGGTATCTACCGCAATGAGGCGAAATCGGTTTGACGAAATCTTCAGGTATTTTCATGCCGTAGATAATGAAAACCTGAATCGCGAGGACAAAATGTCAAAAGTTAGGCCTCTGTTTGACAAGCTCAATGAAAAGTTCATGCGATACGCTCCTATTGACGAGCACGTAAGTGTGTATGAGTCAATGATCCCCTATTATGGTAGGCACGGATGCAAACAGCACATCAAGGGAAAACCAATAAGATTCGGCTATAAATGCTGGGTGGCGGCACTAAGATTAGGTTATTGTTTGTATGCCGAGTTGTATCAAGGGCGCAGCGAAAAATCAGACGTTGGGCTAGGTGAATCCGTAGTTCTCAAGATGGCAGAGAAGTTGCGTGAATTTTATGTAGAAGAACCTTTCTCAATGTACTGTGACAATTTTTTTACTAGTCCCAGATTGCTAACGCTGTTACAAGAAAAAAAAATGAGTATCACAGGAACAGTTCGTGCAAATCGCACAGAAAATTGTCCCTTGTTAGACGATAAAAAAATGAAAAAGGAGGCAAGAGGCTTCTATGACTACCGATTTGAAGAGAAAGCTAATATCGCAACAGTACGTTGGAATGATAATAGTGTGGTTACTCTTCTTTCCAGCAAATATGGCGTGGAACCTTTGAAATCAGCTACGCGTTATTCAGCAGCTGCAAAATCAAGAGTTACTGTACCACAGCCCGATATGATAGCTCAGTACAACCGCTATATGGGTGGTGTAGATCGCCTGGACTCCAACGTTGGAGCCTATCGTATAAGTGTACGCGGTAAAAAGTGGTATATACCTATACTGTTATGGCTTTTGGATGTAGCAGTCAACAATGCTACGCTTTTAGCTAAGTCCATGGGGTCACCCCTATCAACATTAGAATTTCGCAGATCCTTAGCTACCGCTTTACTCCTGAAATATGGATCTCCTCGCGATACTCCAGGGCCTTCAATCACGAGCAGGCGGTTCATACCGATGAGTGTTCGAACGCATAATGCTGAACATATTCTTTTATGTAAGCAAAGGAGGCTTAGATGTGTCGTATGTAAAAATAAAACTAACAAAATTTGTAAGAAATGCGGAGTCAATCTTCATGATAAGTGTTTCGAACAGTTTCATTCGTAATTTTCTTTTTTATTAGTACTTTTGGTGTCATAATATATTTTTATTTTAAATTTACAAATTAGTCTCATTATGTACATTTTTGGACATATATTATCCCATTGGGTCATTAGCGACCCACTTAAAAACAACCCTTTTTCCATATTTTTTTCCAATTATAATATTTTTGCCTTTTATTTAAACCAATTATGAGCAACATATGTAAAAATTACAAATTTTGGTGATCAAAATAGTTACGGGCATATATGGGTTAAAAACATTTTCATTTTTCAATAAATAAACGACATATTCAAAAACCACCACAACACACATACTATTTCGCTATCAAAGCCAAATAGTTAATGTGATTCTTAACAGTAACCGACGTTTATGTGGTTACTGTTTACTTTTTGTATAAGTTCTATCGACATTTTGAACCGCAATCGCAAATCGGTTCTAAGCTAGATAATAGGATTGGATTAGGATAGAGGACATATACCCATATGACATTATATTTAAATGCATATCCCTCCATTATGCGTTATATATGCAGAGATTGTCAGTAATAATAAAAAAAACGTTTGTGTCATACTAACAAGTGTGCATATGGCATTGCAATGTGTTTTATTCGTGTATGTACAACGATATTAAATATCCTAGATACAGCACGTGCGTTCAAAGTGTGTCCTAATCAAGAAGTGCTTGAACACGACTCGAGCACTTCCTGGTTCACAGTCACGCGCGGACCGTTGAAAAGTCAAGATGCCGCAGAGCTTCATGAAAAAATGCGAAATAAATACTTGTAGTACGTAAAGTGTCCTTTTTCGATAGGTATCTAATAAAAGTAAGTTAATTTAACGCATTTGAAGCAAATTTTGTTCCAGTACTTCCTATAAACTGATTTAGTAGAAAATATTTGTGATATTCATATGCATGGTCGATAATATAGCTGTTTCTTCCTCCCGGTCTATTCCTGCCATATTGCTAACAGCGCATTTCAGAATTGCGCGTAGAGTCAAAGAAATAAGATCTATATTCTTCCGCTTATAGCAATAAGTCGTAAAATTTTACGAGTGTGCATTTTTAACTGCCTTTATAGTGTGCATCAAAGGTGACTTTCAATGTTTAAATAATGCCTTATATTGCTTTTAATTACGCGATCATCTTGCGTAGCTCCGTGAATAGTCTTGATGTACCTTTTGGACAGGTTACGGCCACGATTTTGTTTGTGATGCTGTATCTAGGGTATTTAATATCGTTGTGTATGAAACATTCGAGTTTCCTTATCAATGTATCGAGTTCTCTGCATATTTTTGGTGGCCATCTGATTAATACATAGAATAGAATCTTTTAACATAATCCTGATGTAAAAATACCCATCAATTCGCATTGAGCATGTGTGGTGTTACGATAGCTAATTATAAATTTACTATTTAAAACTACTGTTGATTTATTTCCCCCTTGTGTTGCAACAATAAAAAAACGGGTAAAATTATAGTTACATATATTATATGGTTGTACTAGCTTCCGCCCGCGACTTTGTTCGCGTTATAGTTAGAGTTTTGAGAATCCAAGAAAGTGCAAATGTCTCAAACCAGTTATATGGTTATCAAATTTCATCCAAATTAGTTTAAGTCGTTTATGGATGATTAAGTCACAAACATACATACTTATGTAACACATTAAAAATGTCCCAAGACTTGTTTAGTTATAATGAGAGGAATTGCACTTGAAAAAGAAAACGGATAGGGCGAGACAACCTAAACAGGGGCCACCTCTTTTCCCTCGCACTTCAACTAAAAAAACGCATGTGATAATACAAATCGCATGTTTTGAACTCTCAATTATAATGAAGCGTTTGTTTACAGGCGGTGGATATAATAGCTGGATTGAAGAAGAACCCTGTTGTGGCTGTGCCTGTTGTACTGAGGAGGCTCAAAGCTAAGGAGGAAGAATGGCGGGAGGCGCAAAAGGTGAGAATTTATAATTAAATATGGCTTCTGAGTGTATTTGTGTAATACTACCGTCTTAATTGTGGGTTTGGATGGCTACAGTAGGTATTGAAGAATCAGTACAGTCTCTTTAACATGAGCACATTTTTATTGCATCTAACTATCAAACTGCATAGTAATTTGACACTTGAGCGTGATATAAACACGTTATATATCATATCGCGGTGCTATGCTGGGATGTAAATTCGACATATCACCAAAATGATGAATGGAATTTATTTTTTAAACGAAACTGATAAATTGAATATAGTCTTTACATTAGACCTTAGCGTACCTCATCTCAAATGTAATCAAATCATTACAAAATTATTGTTTTTGTGATTGCAAAGTTATGAAATGGTTTATTTTGAATTTATAAGAGACAATGATGAAATACCATGCGATGTGCAAATCACTGAAACTCAGTGTTGATACAAGCATGCTGCCTTCCTACTGAAGTCTCTGTTGATATCACATTAGGCCTCAATTTTTGCATAATAATTATAAAGTTAATAAATTTTTTTCAAACAAGAATATCATTTTTAATTAACAATAAAGTGCTTACTTAAAAAGAGAGTAATATCTTGGTTCGAACTGTTAATTTTAGACATATTGACATACCCTCCAATTAAATCAAAGCAGATAATTCCTTGCGATTTACACATTATTTTTACTCGCAGGGTTTCAACAAGCAGTGGCGTGAACAGAACGAGAAATACTACCTGAAGTCTCTAGACCATCAAGGCATTAATTTCAAACAGAACGACTTGAAGGCGATGCGGTCGAAATCACTGTTCAATGAAGTAGAAAGCGCTTACGCAGCTCGCCGGCCGCCGCCGCATCTCGTGGTGGATTATGATATGCATTCAAGGCAGGAAGGTTGGTAAAGAAAATAATATATTTATCGATTTTCAACATCAACACCAATTAATAACTAGATTTTAAGGGTTCCGTACCTCGAAAGGAAAAAACGGAACCCTTATAGGATCACTTTGTTATCCGTCCGTCCGTCTGTCAAGACCGTTTTTCTCGGGAACACGTGGAGGTATCAAACTGAAATTTATATCTAATACTCATGTCTACTGTCCCTTGGAGCTGTGAAAAAATCAAACTTCTAAGCCAAAACAATCAAAAAATACAGCCGTTTATGCCGCAAATTTTCGATACTCGCACGGGAATCAAAACCAACAGGGTACTTCCCGTGAACTTAGAATCTTGAAATTTTGTACGAAGTAACGTCTTATAGCACAGATTAAGGAAAAATTGCTAAAACCGTAAATTTTTAGTAACATCATTAATAAAAAATATTTTTGGAAATTCAGGTTTGTACGGAACCATCTGTGCGCGAGTCCGACTCGCACTTGGCCGGTTTTTTATTTATTATATTTCAAAATCCTAATATTTTAAATTTAGTAAAGAAATAAAATGATATTTATCGTTTTTCAACATTACCTTTAATACTTAAATGAATTAAAAATAAATTGATTCCGTACTTCTAAAGAAAACAACGAAACCCTTACAGTGTCTGTCTGTTATCTGGGGAACGTGTGGAGGTAGTAAGTTGAAATTTAAACCATATGCTTAGGTCTGGGGTCCCTTGAAGCTGTAAACAATGTAAAAAAAAGATATGTTGCGTACCTACAAATTTGTACGGGACCCTCGGTGGGTGAGCCCGACTCGCACTTGTCTTAATTTTTATAATATTAAAAAATGCCCCCAAAAGAAAGGACTTCATAGCTTGTGTCATGGTATATTAACGGCTAGTTTTGAAAATGAAACGCCAGTAAGAGATATGCTCATTAGCTTTGTTGCGTAGATATTTTTATTATTTACGTAGTTATGATGACATCTGTATTTTTTTGTATTATACAGCTATAAAAATACTGAGAGACTGCACGGAGTTGCTGATCCACCACGCCAGAAGGCAGACGGCCATTCAGAAAGCGGAGAAGAGAAGGATCAAGCAGTTGCTGCGACAATTCCTGCCGGATCTATTCAACCATCCACGGCAACCGTTGTCGGACGACGAGAGAGACGAAGGTTAATATTATTCTTCATTTATACACTTCCGGGTACATCTATCGGGCCCACTTAGCATTTTAAGTCTTGAAGCTGATTTCTTAAACATGTTTCCATGTGTTTTTAAAATTATTCCTCAACCATAAACATATATTTTTGCAACGGACTGTTGAAACTTATAACACTAATTGACCGATTGATGTGTCCAAAAGTATATACATATAAGCTAGTGGGTGGCCGTGGTTCAGTTGTTTTCCCATACAAACTGCTAGCCTAATGGATAATTTCTGGGAAAAATGCTATCTTATGTTCTTTATTGGAATTTTGCCATATTTGTATTTACAACGGTTTAGCGGTTTTAATGTGAAGAAATAACAATAGGTTAACAGAAAAACTAAAAGACACAATTTTGAATTTATATTATTAGTAGGTCTAGTCTATTCGGTCCAATCATCGGTCGGGATTCCAACCTGCACCTTCCTCAATCCGGACGGACGCACTAACCGATTATGCTAACGAGACCGTAGTCGTCGTATCGTACTTCTTATAGTGTATCTTAAGCATGTAAATAAAAAAAAATCCAAAGATAAAATAGCAGTTTATGATTATGTAATTGATTTGATTATTGGAGACAATGATGAAATATCATGCGATGTGCAAATCACTGAAATTCTGTGTTGATACAAGCATGCTGCCTTCCTACTGAAGTCTCCTGTTCATATTACTTATAATAAGTCTCTAAAAATAGAGACTACATTTAATATTGATATGTCTTGAAAAAATTGTTGATTGGGCAATGTTGTTTATTTTTTTAGTTGCTTTCTTAAAGACTTTGTCAATGAAGTCTTTATCTATTTGATAATACTACTGAATTATTATTAACCGGTAATATCTTTTTATTCCCAAACATGATTGATACTGTTAAAGTAATTGATCTATTATCTGACCTTTGATTAATGCCAATAAATATATTTTAATTGATACTTGTTATTCAATTCTACTATAGGGTTATAGGAGTACATTATAAAAAAAATATGGTATAACAATATAAATTGATGATATATCATTTCATTGGTACAGAGGAGAAGGAAGAGCCACCCAGTCCGGGCAGCCCCACTGAACCTGGAGAAGACTCTAAACCCAACAATGCCGCTGTCAAACAGGAGAAGCCAGAGGTAATTTAGTAGTTGTTGCATTATTAATTATATTATTAGCATAACGCTTTTCTTTGCAAGCAACAGCTTTAATTCATTATCAAAACAGGTGAATTTAGATCTTTTTAACACTAGCGAGGCATCGATTAGGCGTATCGATATTGCTCGTTTTTAATATAATGCATTTGATTGATGACCTATTATTAGCTGTAATTATTTTGCGAATAAAAAATTGGTGTCTAAATAACCAGTATCATTCACGATAGTGTTGTTTCTAACAATTACTAATACATGCAAGTTTGTTCAGGCATTTAGGAGTTATGGTGGAAAAAAGAAACACACAATACATACTAACATACCTACACTCTGAAACCATTATACTCCTCTTTTATCAGTCATGTAACAATAATAACTATACTTTATTTTTACCTTTGTGCCACAGTCGTCGGAGTCTGACAACGCATCGGACAAGAGCAGCAGAAACAACAAGAACGACAAGGAGAACAAACCCAAGAACAATAACAATACCGATGTCAAAGGTAATGAAAAAATACTATACTCGATTATTGGGATCTGACATGGAGGCGTGGCCTATTCAATATGGCGCCGACGGGGGTGCATTTGCCTAGTCAAACCGTGATGAAATACCGTAAAATAGTTAAATATCAATATTAGTGGTAGATAATGATAGTCTTAACAATTAATGATATTTGTGAATGGTCCGGTTCAACGCCCAGTAATCGCAATTTTCGAGAGGGTGAACGACTGGTAGCTGCGAAACATTTATTGAATTGTGGTATCGTCAAAGACCAAACTAAACTAATATATAACTAAACCAAGGAAACTCTTTCATTTTAATGTTGTTGCCGTCCCATTCTTTTCTTAGTGGAATAATAATGAGATCTTGTAAAATGCTACTTCACACATGCTTAACCTCAAAAAACGAATTTGACTCACCTGGTAATATATAGTCGTCTTTCAGAAAATGCAATGAACACACTTTCATGTGAGGATTTATTTTACAGTCAATCTTCAAAGCGTTCTTCCATGCTGTGAATTGGTCCACTTTTTCCATTTGACCAAAATAATTTTTGATGTAAACACAACGCGCATTTTTTTTAGGAAACTTATGAAACGTTAATTCACGGTTTTTTTGAAAACTGCTTCCACATCCATACACACAACACTTTATTCTTTTTTTAGAAATCTTGCGAGGGTTAAATATTCCTAATTCTTCCGTCATTTTTTGTTTAATTTCTCAAAAGTACTAATGACACTAATGATAACTTATGTGTTTTGATGAGCGATGCACCCCGGTATTAGTTCCAAAATTGAACACCAGGTGTCTCACGAATTTTGTCAGATCCCAATAGTGAAAATATAGCTATATAGTTATACTAGCGGGTGCCTGCGACTTCGTCTGTGTGGAAAAATTGGTTTCCCTCACAAAGTTCTACCTTCTTTTCAAACCCTTTCCCGGGATTCAAACTACCTCTATATCAAATTTCATCAAAATTGGATCAGTAGTTTAAGTGCGAAGAGTTGACAGACAGGCATACTTTCGAATTTATAATGTTAGTACAATAAATACTAGTGCTCTGTGATTCAGACTTTTCACCTAGTTCAGCTCTCTCACAATCTAATGTTGTTTATATACTTTTAAACTATATTATGATGTACTTTTAGATTGTTAAATAAAAATAAAGATTATAAAGATATATAAAAGACAATGATGAAACACATGCGATGTGCATTGGACAGAAATGTTATGTTGATACACGCATGCTGCCTTCCTACTGTCTCTTGATAATTTATACACAGATTTTTTCTTATTCTTTCTTACTTAGCTTCACCGAACTTTTATTATCAAACCATTTAATACCACTTACATTTACAATGCTAAAACCAACTAATTAGAAATAATATGGAATGGAATACGAACAGCGCTAAAAAAGATATTCCACAGAAATTGCGATCAAGTGGGCGTAGCGCAAAAATGGGCTCGCTCGCATTAGCAATATAGCTAATTTAATTTTTATTTATTTATTTCATTATTAACATTATTCAAGCAACAACTAGAGCTTTAATGAAGAGTACGTATAGGTGGAGGTTTTTAATTGGCGTTTAGATATTGTTTATTGAATAAGTGATTGACAGATGTAAACCTTCCTAAGATAAAATAAATAAATAACGCATCAATACAGAATGGAGAGTCGAAATTAATTTGCTTGTCTGTATTTTGTTTAGTCTGTTTTCGTATATCGTTAATATTGAAATTTATCTATAGTAAGATTTTGGAACCATGTTTTAGCGGCCTTTGTTAGAGAGTAATGCTTCCATATCATTTCTAATTTGTTGCCTAAAACATTATCTTACTATAATTTTTTCTACAATAAAAAGATTTTAACTAATAGTTAGGTAATAAACATTGGTTTTGATTTATACTCCTTTACTTGTTATTGAAAATCCGGCTATTATTTAAATAAAGAAATTACCTTGTTTTAGAGTGCGTGAATGTAGCGAACAGTTTGAAGAGAAGTTGTAGCGATGAAATGAAAGACCTTAAGAGCGAAGACTTTGACGATGATTACAGAGATCACCCGCCCAATGTGAGTACACTTAAAACTTAAGCTTGTTGCTTATGCTACCATTCTGATTATATACATGCCTATATAGAGTAATCCCAATAAACCATGCAAAGAAAACTGTTCATGTTACGCGCAATGTGTGCGTGTGTATCTACCATATGTAGTAGATATTTTTTTCGACGCTTCCGTGCAGTTAATACGGTATCTAGGTGTGTGTACACAATCAAAAATACTACCATTTCGTGCTTGCTATTTGTGATTTTTGAAGTGAAACTTCTGTAGGCACGCTTGACTTGGGGAGTAAACTGGCGAAGGCTTTACGAGTTACGCGTTACGATTAGTGACACCGGTGACTCATCGGTAAACAATGAACAATACCCGTACCAAAATACATGAATCTAGTGATAACTTACATGTTTACTTGATGTTAACTATTGCAATAGGTTTTTTAATTGATTACACGACGTAATTTATCAATAACAATTTAGTATTTTACTATTAATTCTACGCCATTGAAATCCGCCGTATGTTTATTTTTTTCAATCAACAAATCTTCAGATTAAGTTTGAGAAATTTGACTTAGTTGTTAATCAATGCAAACGTAAAATAAGTTTAAATATTTGTAGAAAATTAATATATGTGTATGTACATAAATGTATGTATTTTACACACTCACACACACACATATATATATATCATATGGTACATACATAATAACTAACGAGCTAAAGAAGTTTCACTTCAGTCATGTGATCATAAGCACATTCGTTTTTTTTAAATTGGAGTCGTTAATAACAAATACGTAATGGTAGCTCTTTTGATTATGTACACACGCCTAGACACCGTTATTAACTACACGGAAGCGTCTGGGGAAGTAACCATCTTACAGAAGAGCACAGTAAAATAACAGTTCCTTTTGGTGGTGCTGTTTTTCTGTTGCAAAGGTTTCAGAGCTTCGCTGGTTAGGAAATTAGTCAGGATAGGGAATGGCGCGAGTAATATTTTTGGTATGCAAACGTCTATAGGCTATTGTGGCCGCTTGCCTCTAGGCGGAAAATATTATAAGGCTTGTTTGCCACACTTTTAATTTAAGAAAATATGTAATTCTTATAGATTATTTATTTATTACTAAAATAATTTTTGTTCGATTGTCCAGGAGGCCCGTTTCGTATGCACATCTTCTTGGTACCTATTTCTGCGTCTACACGGCGTTCTCTGCCAGCGACTGGCGGCCGCCAGAAGAACCGCATTGTCTCTAGAGCCAGACCATCGCCATACTGCCGTCGCAACCGCCCTCAGACTGAAGCCTAACAGTCAGTATATCTGCTATCACGTTAACACTATATTACCAAAACATCCATCAATCATACAGCCTATGAAGGTCCCCACTGCTGGGGCTCAGGCCTTCCTTATGGATGGAATGGGGATAGTGGTCCGTGACCCACAACGCGGGCCCAGTGCGGATTGGTGGGTGCTAACGATTGCAGATGCAGCCGGGACCAACAGCTTAACGTGCTGAAGGAAGGACGGATGAGTACGAGATAATAAATTTTGGTCACCCATCCAATTATTGAAAGTTACTTAACTTCCACGATCGCAGGCTGAACACGCTAACCACCTGCGCAATCGAGCTCCTCACCAATAACAAACTTCAAAATATTACTCAAAAACAGTACCTAACTCATATTTGAGAAAAATACTAGAAAACGTGGCAAGCATCAGGCTTGCTTCCAACCAGCGTCTTTGGTTATTCGGGCGAATGCACTGAAAGCTATCTACATGTCAAATTTGTTTTACTGTGTGTCTTGGGTTAAAATTGAACTGTTTCTCTTAATTCTCTATTTTACTACAGACTTGCCGGCCGAAGTGTCATCGCCCTCGGAATACTACGGCGCTTTACTAGAACTAGTGAAGGGTGTATTGGACGGGAATACAGAACCGACCGCGTACGAAGACGCGGCCAGAGAGATGCTAGGAATAAGAGCTTATCCCGCGTATACGTTAGACAAACTGGTCTCGCATTGCGTTCGACAGGTGAGTTATCCATACTCATATTAGTATTAATGAATTATTTTAAAATTAAATGGCCTCTAATATTTTATGAATTAATGTTTTTAACGGAATTGCTGCTAATATTATAAATGTATTGTTTTTAAATTTCATGGTCACTAAAACTTTAGTAAATTACTAAAGTTACTGTTACTCAAACAGTAACCTCTTTTTAACATAAAAAATGTACCTGCTTTGCGGAATTACTCTGTGAACATGGCACTCGTAATAATGCCGAAATATCGAGGAATGGCATTGTTGAGTGTTTTTACGCATTCCACGACATTCGTCCCTTATGGGATTAAATTAAAAAAAAAATTGAAGATAGAAATTTGAAAATTTGAAGATGGAATTCGGGTTGTTGAATTTGTCTTCTACACTGTGTGTCTGAACCCTGGTCAGTAGCGGCGGCCGAACTATCCGCTCAGGGCGGGATGACGTTGTTAGGGCATGATACTGAACGATACCGTGATCGAGACGCGTACAGCGCCACCTGTTGACCTTGCCTCTCATTACTATGTCCAGCTGCAGCACTGCGTGTCTGAACCCTGGTCAGTAGCAGCGGCAGAACTATGCGCGCAGGGCGGAATGCGAGGCCCGCCCGCATATGTTCGTAGGGCGGCGCGATACCTGCGACACGACCACAACGCGTTCCTCGTCAGAGTGGTGAGTACATTGTATACATATACTGTGACGTGTAGAGCTAAGCTGTGTGAGGTGCGAATTCAGGGCAATGCTACTGGTCAATTGCTTTATGATTGCTCATCTCCGCTTCTGTGGTAAAGCAGCCTTACACAGCTCAGTTCAGCTGAACTAATATTGTTTATATATTTTTATTTTTTAACCATTTAACTGCTATATATGTTTAAATCTAAAGCCAAACAATATTTGAAATAATTTCGCGCGGTTCAGGCAGCAGACGGGACCTGAACCTGAACCCTCTGCTACCCGGGCCGGGTGGTAATAAAAATATAACTACAATTGCTATTTCTTCTTTCAAATGTTTTAGTACTAAAAGTATTAATTTGATATTGTGGGTTACCTACAATGCGAAGAGATGGCGCTGCCTTGAAGCTTATGAAACACCAGAAGAAATTCATCACGGTCATTAAGGTCACGGAAGCATAATTGGTCATGCATCCGCCTAGATAGCGGAGTACGACAAATCAATAAAATTAAAAATACGTTTGAAAAAAATGAACCTTGCATTAAATTTCACGTCAATGTAGAGTTACGTGGTGGAAATGATTTGCTCAAATCTATGTATTAAAAAATACAGATTTTTAATAATATTTCTTGTTGTTTCAGTACGGCGGTGATGAATGCAGAGTATCGTTCGAGCTGCTAGAGGGACCTCCGCCGCGGGCTTCGCCGCCACTCGATTCCAGACTTTCACCTACTCAGGTAGGTGTAAATAATAATATAACTTTGTTTTAAAAAAGTCAAACACGAAAAACATTCAATAAAATACATATTTACAGAAATGTTATTATGAAATAATAAAGTTCATTTTATGAACACGGTTTGCGAATAGCAAATTAAAGAGACTGCCCTACTAGAAAAGTAGAAGAAAATGCCTCAAAAAGTTTGTGCAATGACATGCTATGCATTTTGAAACACAAATTACGTAAAGAATAGACCCAAAACATCAAATAAATATCGATAAAATGTAATATATAATAGAAATAATCAAACTAATATATCCCATTCATTCACAGCGGGGCAACAGTAACGGCCGCGGCATCGTATCTCGGACGGCCGCGTGGTCTCTGTACGCCGAGCAATACGCCAATCCCCACAACGTGACCGCGGCCTGCAACAAACCAGTGTTCCTAGCCAGAAACGCGAGGAAATGCGGCCCTGGCTTCACACACAACGTGGCCACTTCTGCCCCAGGGACGGCACCTCCCACGCATGCCAGACGCAAACCTCCAAAACTTCACGATCACACCGAATGCCATCTTAGCGACGATCTAAGACTACTATCTTTTAGACCGATGAGTCTGTACAGAAGCGGAGCCCTAGCGGCTGCGAGAGCGTCCCACCCGAGACTTCATGCGAGAAGACGCGCCCGGATGAGAGCTTGGCTAATGCGTTAATTAAACAGTGAAAAGAAATGGTGTTAAAACAGTGCCCAAATGTTATAGAGCCGCGAGTGATACCGCGAGTGTGTAACGGTTGTGTCGTATCAAAAGCGAGCCGCGTTTTTCCACAATGTACTGAAGTGAAGAGAAATCCGCTGAGTCACCCCCGCTCAAATGTTAAACAGTTGCCTGATTGTGGCTTATGTTGGGAGGGAATAGACGAAGTCTAGGAAACAGTTGGAAAAACTGTACAGAATGAGAGAATGCCACCAGATTTGGTACTGGAATATGCATCAAAAAAATAAGAATAATTTGGCTCTTCATAAACTGTAATACTAGTCGGGGATCATTTATTTTATTGGAAAACTATGCGATTGGTTGATGAATAAGCTAAAAGGCAAATTTTTAACTTGCAGTCTGTCATGTTTGAGAAAGACTAAAAGTCTATAATTGTCTCAAACCAAACTTTTAGAAACATAACAGTTTTAGGCTTCTTTTAAAATTTGATGTAAGCAGAGAAACATTTTATAATAAAACGAATTGTTTTCGGTATATTTTGTTGTTGTTATAGACAGTATTTTTTTTCGTTAAATTACTTTAATGTTAATGTAAAACTTAGTTTTTGAATAAAAAGACTTAAAAGACTGTTGATGCTATTAGTAATTTGGTCTGAAGCAGATCATTGACTAATTGATAGATGAAACCTTCTATTATTCATTTAAAGGATATCAATAAAATTGGTCGTCAAAGTGGATACACAAATATATGATGAAATTCTTCAACAAATAATAATATGAACTGTATGATAACAAAATAATTGGGCAGAATATTTATTCAGAGTATTTATAATTTTTATATTAGTATTTTCTAAAAGTAGATCTTGATGGTCCATTTGCTATCTTCAGATAAATCTAATCCATAGAACAGCTTGAAAACAAATCTTGTCATTCCTGATTTTTATTTGTGTATGACTATTTACATTTGAAAATTAAGAAATAATAGTCACTGATGGATAACTTTATCTGATGAAAGGAAAACTGCCCTATCTAAAAAAAATAAAACTATGCTTTTAAAATTCATGAATTTCTCTTCCTATGCTATGTGAATAAGAGGTAAAATTGTTTTACTACTTTTGACCTCAGAAATTCTATTTTTTAAAGAATAATAAAATAGATCTGAAATAATACGACAGTTAACTTAATTAATATCGAAAACCAGTGATAGATTGTGGTTTTGTTTTATTTGTGATAAACATTTACTTTATATAATTAACATTACATTTCAATTAAAGCAATACTATTATCCATGTTATTTTAATGTCATTGGTGTTGTTTGAACTCGGAGAAAACCAAGACATACACAAAGAATCGCAATTTTATTTATGAAAAAAAACTGTTTTGATATTTAAACTGAGTTTAATGTAATATATTTTTTGCATTATGACAAAGTTGTGGGCATTTATTTTCGAATAATGTCACCAGCGAAAATTCATTGTCTTGTCAGTTCTGTATTAAAATTATTTGATTTATTTGATAGAAATGGAAATTAACACACTGCTGTGTATGAAGCTGGAAATCCAAAGACAAATTGCTAAAATCTCTTCAAACAAAACCTATCTCGAAATCTTTTGACTATTTATTTTTCTTTTATTATTACGAAATATTGTCTTTGGATTTCGGCTCAGTCTCAAAGACTAGCTGGGTTGATTATCTCGAATTTGATATGGAAACACTGGCTGACTTTAAAAAAGTATCTTGACGCACGAAGGGTTTTTTAAACGTCGGTTTAATTGTTTTTATCACGTTAGTTTGTATTTAACGAATGTGATAGTCTTGTTTGGGATCTATGAACCACGTTTTAGTGGTCTATAGACTTTTTGACATAGCTATTGCACCCGCGTTTACACCGCACCACTGAGATTGCGGGTAGATAATTTCCCCGCGCATGATAAATTGCAAGTGAATTAATTACCTATCCAGTGATTATATGCTCTAAGAGTGATTATTGAAATGTCTGGGATAAAGGCAAATTGAATAATAATAATAATGAAATTTGTTGATATGTTTCTTTTTGCATTCCCCCAGTGGTGCGGTGGTATTTTTTTTGTTTGTATAAAGATCTCTTTTTATTAATAAAGTACAGTGGTTTTATGTAAATATTGCGAGAGTGGCCGTGATCTAGATTTACTGTTGCGGAACCAATTTTGTTAATTTGTAAAGAAAGAAAGGACTCGTCAGAAGGAATAAATATTATTATATTTATAAATGGTTTTGTTTGATTTCTCTTATTTTATATTTGTTATTAATTCAACCTGAGGAAAATAATTTCCATACTATTAATCATCAGCCCTCATCAGTCCACTGCTGCACATAGGCCTCTCCCATTACACTCTAATACTAATATTATAAATACGAAAGTGTGTCTTACCTCTTCACACGTAAACCACTGAACAAATTAAGTGTGGTATAGAGTTACAGTTCTGGAGAAGGACAGGATAGTTTTTGTCGTACAAATCAAATATGAATATGATTAGGTAAAATATCTAAGAATTATGCGTAAAAGAATCTTTTGTGATTTTACAAAAAACTGGTAGTTTAAACTCTGACAAAGTCGAGGGCGAAAGGCGAAAGTAGGTATGTAAACCAGTTTATGAAGCTTGACACTTGTAGTGCTCTTAACTTGAAGTTTGGATTGAAATTACTTATTGAATTCATTCTAGTTAATGCGCGCAGGATGCAAAAATGTTTGGTCAGGCAAGTAATTCAAGTGAGTGGACTAAGGCGCTTTGCAGACGACGGGGCGGGGCGGGCTTTTTGTTCGCGAAGCTATAAAGACCGCGTCTGCCCGTTGATGTCTGCGGCTGCCCGCGCCGCGTACACAAAGCACACGACGGGCAGAGGCAGTCAGTTCAGGACGTTCGTTCTAGTGAATAGTCCATCACTAAAAAGCGCGTGGCGCGGACTGAGCTAGCCGCCCCGCGCCGCCGTCTGCGTTACTGCATATAAACTGGTTTGTATGATCCACGGCGGGCAGCCGCGGACATGCCGCGCCGCCACTGCCCGCCGGGCACCTGTGGCGCGGTCTTTTTGCCCTCTGTGTGCGTTTGAAGTATAGGATTCACTTTGTGCTATTATTCGCGGCGAAATTGACCGGCCCGCCCCGTCCCGTCGTCTGCAAAGCGCCTAAGGACTGTTTGCTGGAATGTTAGGTGTGTTTCCTCATGGTCCTACTAATTTATCTTATTACCATTAAGAAGCCCTTATTCCTCGTAGTCATGTTCCCCTATGTGAAGTTTGAAGCACCTATGATAGGTGTAAAGAAAAAAACGGTAACGGCAGCATAGTGGTTAGTGCTCCCGCCCAAATTCGGTAAGGTTTCAGGCAGGACTAAAATATCTGTCGTCCGCTATCCGGGCGGATACAGTAACGGTAGGCAACAGTAGTATAGCGGTAAGTACAGTTTTTTTTCACCTATCATAACTTGACATAAAGAAAAACATGGAAATTAATCGTTTAATAATTTGTCCACTAGTAGATTGCGCTTGCATCTAGGGTTACCAGATGAAAAAATAAAAAGTCCGGAGAAAAGGCTAGGTTTCCATTGAAAAATCCTGAGATTTTTACAGTTTGAGAATTTTCTCTCAAACGTACTTTACAATTTAGAAAGTTCGTAATATTATCGTTTATATACATGCTGTTCATACTTTTAATTCAATATACTTTGAAGAGCTTAACATGTGGGGCATTTTATAAATCCATAATCAAAGAAAAAACCTTACTTAAAAATGTATCATCACATATTAAGTATGATAAAACTGATCAAGTACTACGGATAAATAAGTACTGATTTTAACTGTGCAATTATTACCAAAGGAAGAATATTTTTAGTTTGTTTAAGTTTTTATTAAACAGATCTTTAAAACGTGAGCTGTATTTTATTGAAAATTCAAAAATCCTGAGATTACAATAGATTTGCAACATCCAGCCGCAATCCTGAGAAGAGTCCAAAAATCCTGAAATCTCAGGACAAATCCTTAGATATGGTAACCCTACTTGCATCACTTTAAAGTTTGTGAGTAGGGCTACGAGTAGCGTTGCCAGGCGTCCGGATAAAGCCGGCATAAATAGGCTTTTTGATTGCGTGTCGGGCCAAAAAAAACGGTGTCCGGCCTGTCCGGCTTTTCGCAAACGAGCAAGCGCCACGCCTGGCCGAGCGCAAGCAAGTTGACTGTCGGTTGCCTTTACATATTATGCCCGAGCAAATAATTGGCTAAATTGAAAATAGGACCGTATTACTATAGCATTAATTAGAAAATTGTATGAATAACTACACAGTCGGCTCGCGTATACTCGCGTCTCGTTCACGCGCTTTCTCGCTCCCTCTCTAGAGTCCTCGAGGAGGCTCGAGCTAGCACGAGCAAGTTCTGTCCTGCTGGCGTACCGCCGCTTGCGATTTCAGTGTATTTTATTTACATATTCTTGTTTTTCCTCCTCTTCTGCTAAAATAGCAATGATTATAATATTAAAGTCAATCATTTTCACGTGCGATCGCGTGGAACGATGATAAAAAATGAGAAGGCAAGGAACCCCGGTGAATTTGATCCCGTACCCTCGCGTCGACGAGCCTGCAGGCCAATTATGCTCGCTAATTGTGATATTGTTTTGATGTCTATTTCACATTACGTATTATGCTCTCCGAAAAATGCGATATCAAAATGACATTAACTTATGCTATGATGATGATCAACTCTATAAAATGATATCAACTTAAATGCGTATTACGTTCAACTTTTTGACTTAAAATAGTATCGCGTAAACGTCAAAAATGTGATACAGGATATGATATTGATATGATCTTGATGTGACATAGGAATGTTTCTTAATACCATATAAAAACAATGTCAACTCGGCATAACCATCATATTGACATCACATTAGAATTTTATTACTGAAGCATAATTGACCCACTGTCACCGTGTATCATGCGTCTTGTCCCGTGTCCAGTATTTAAACCTTGTCCAGTGTTAGTTTCGTTACAAAATAAACTAATAACGAATGACACTGCTGGAATGCTTTATGTTTTAATTCTGGGGGGTTTGATTTGATGCTTTATTTTTTCAGGGGGGGGGGGGGGGAGATGCAAATGTAGCGGAATTGATAAGCCAGCATCTAGCAGCCCTAGCCCCACCTGTAATTACCACCGCCTTATCCAAAATACAACTTTGGCAAGTGCACTGTGAAAAGGTGCTTTGACGACGATGACGCCATGTCATGGTGTAATTGAAGAGGCTAGGGGTTGTTGCTCGAGTTCAGGTTCTGCGGAATATTTAAACTTATCTGAAAACCAATTCAGTATCAATCAGCCCGCATTACTGTGTAGGTTTAACAAACTGTGGCCTGCGAAACCAACTGTGCAAATCACTAATATTTGTGTATTTCCTAACTTTTTTCTTACAGGCACTTTAAGAGGTATGTAACATATTTTATGTAGTTCATATTGCAGATTGTTCTTTATTCATCTTTCTCTGAAGAATTTTATTAAAAAGCCCTGGTTTTAAGTCCAGAGGACCAGTGCGTTGTAAAGCAAAACCCGATATTAAGGCTTGAGGTACTTACTCGATCTATTGAGCACCCATGTTTTTTCACACACACTTTTGTATTTGCTGGGTTAATGCAATCAAATTTTGTTAGCTCCAATTTGAGACTTGATCCAGTAAAAATCTTGGACAAAAGTCTGTCTTAACACCTTTCTACTTTCATTCGAGGGATGTTTGACCGACCAGTGTAGTGTCAGTGTTGTCATCCAAATAGCAACGAATGCTGTTAATGCGTACAGCGTGGGCGACAGAGCTGATCCTTGATGGATGTCAGCATTTATGGGTACAGTGTTAGAATAGATTTATTTATTTTCAAAGACATTAAAATTAATGAATTACTTGGCGACCCAAGACAGGATTTTTTTAAACCCGGACTACAAATGAAACCTCCCCCGGACGAATGGCAACCCTAGTTAGAAATGACGTCACGCACGAGTCCCCTCTATCAAACTTTGATGCGCTTTATTGCGTTTTTTTTTATGATTACATATCTAACCGAGTTAGTTCATCACATCATTACATCGTCATCATACAACGCCGTTTTATGAGATACCTCAATGAGGGCTATCGTTTTTTGTCTCACCAGATGGCGCCACTGTTGAGTGAGGTCCTGAAGTGTAACTTTTAAAGTTAGTAAACACGCTCGTGATATCAAAGTTTACATTTTAATACAAAAGAATCGTATCTTAAACATAATCGCCCATGCCACAGTGTTGCGCAGTCCCGTTTTGTTAAAAAAGAATGACAATATTTTTTCTTAGCTCCGCTTTTAAATAACTGACAATCATTGACACGTAACTCATATTTGCCATAATAAGTCTGATTTATTACCAAATATTCACAACTATTATTTTAATTAGAAAAAAACCGCGTAGTCAACCCGCAAGCTATAACATTTGACATTTCGGAGACCTCACGCAACACAAGCGCCTCTAGCGGCGGTTTCAGACGCGATAGCCCTCATTACATGGGAACATCTTTGTAATTTTTTGGTTGATTGACAAAAGTAAAAATATGCGTACACATTTTCTTGTTACTAGCTAAACAGAATTTCGCATTTCTTACCCCGACATTCAGCGTCACCATCTCTGTTTGGGATTCGGCTCCATTTTGCGGTCCGAAACGATCCTCGAAAATATAAAATACAGAATAAAACTTTCATTACGCCTTTGACACCATTGTTTCCTTAGCATCTTCCAGGCTGCCAAAAAGCTTAAATGTAAAATTAAAATAAAATAAACTAAAACAAGATATTCTTATGAACTTAGATCTAATTCTAAGCAGTACAAGTATTTTAGAGAATGAGTATAATTTCCAGTATCGGTTTTAACTCTAGCTGTACGGTAAACACCATCCCATCCCTTAAATATCTGCGTATTAGGCCAAAAAATACGTTTTTTTGGTGTTTCTATCAATACCACGACGCCAACCTGAGCAGATTAAAAACAGTGACCCCGACCTTTATGAACAAATAACTCAAATACCTATTCCTTTGTGAAACGTGACCTCAGACCTTCTCTAAGTTTTTGTAGATTTTGGAGTCTAAGCGCCTTTTACATGGCGCTAAATACCTAGCTGGTTTAAATGAGGAATACCGGAATATGGAATAGGCTGTCTACATCATCATTTACACAAGTCAAGGACTCTTTTATAGAGATAAATAATTATAGATTCACATTCAGTGAAAATCGTTTGAAATTCTAAAAGTGGGACTGAAGCCTGGCCATGAACGTGACGAAGATGTTTCTTAATCATACGAACCATGCGCTCCCACCATCCTCTCCACTACGGACTACGGACTAGCAGGCGCTATTAAATGCCAGTTAATTTTATATAGAGTAGCTTGCTCTTTTATCAGATCCCAATCCACGTCTTTTCCACGACAAAGTTGGAGTAATTATCTGAATAAATGTAACGAATTTTCCGCTTCGCACAATTAATTTTCGGAGAGTTAATAGACATAGCCAAGTCATTCTATGTAAGAGCTGTTAAGTTGTGGAACTCTTTACCTTTAGATATTAAACGTGCACGGACGAGGGACTCCTTTGCTATTAAAATTAAGGATTATTTCCTCAAGCTGGACTCTGACTGATCTTATTATATGTTCATTACGTTGTATTGTATTTTATAGCTTCCATATACTTTCTATATTTTATTTTCCTATATTTACGTTTATTTATTTATTTTTACAATGCACAGCCCGCTGTTTCTACTATTCTTATGGTATCGTTTCAATTAGCCAAAGGTTGCCTGGTAGAGATTGCTACCTTAGCAATAAGGCCGCCTTTTGTGTTTGCGTTCCTGTTTTTTATGTTTTTTGTTTTTTTTTTGTAATAGTGCAATAAAGAGTATTCATTCATTCATTCATACCTTTGTTCTACATATGAGCATGAATGAACCTGCACAATCAATGCCCGTAGATAGAACGGCTTATCATTCGCTCTGGTGCGGGTAACTGGAAGAGGAGCAGGTCGTGTTTTATATGAAGTTGGCCTCTGTTTCTAAAACACCACACATTTCTTGGATAGCTTCTTCACTAATAATCTGATACCAAGTATCCACAAAGTCTCCTTCAAATTAGCTTAAGTGTTTGAGTGCCTGCGTTATAGAGTCTGGTATGTTGGCTATGACCAATCTTTGTACAATTTGATGCTTTGAGGACAATACAATCGGATACTTATAGCATGATGGAATATCATCTGAAAACAAAATAAATGTTATACCTAGCTACGGTCTTTAATATGTTTGTGTGAGAGCGCACGCTGAAATTTTATTTTAACGCTCGTATTTTCCCAAGGTTATCAAATATTATTAAACTAGTGGCCCGCTATCGCTTTTCTTCGGTGTAGACTATAGTTTTTGTTCTCAGGCAATTGTATATTATACACAATGTCTTTCTTCATGTACCTTATTACTATCGACACACGCTGGAACCGCTGATCCTGCAATTCAATTATATATTGATCTGTATTATATGCACAATGTATTTACATAAGGTAGGTACTTAATTCGATAAGGCCGAATGCTGTATTGCTTAAAATCGCTTCATAAATAAACCATTATTTCTCGTAAAAAGTAAAGGATAACAAATTGTTATAGTGGCTTAGCTCTAAGAGATAGAGATACTATCGCAGACTTTTTTGTAGAACTTTTTAAGGTGTACAGTACTGTGTAGTACTTATTTTGATCTATCTCGTAGGGTTCAGCCAGCGTTTTCAATGTAGGTAAGCGCAAGTGTTTATTTACGACATCACAATGGAAACCTCTAAAATTATCAGTGTTTCTCTACTATATTATGCATCTATTATACATATAAAACTTCCTCTTGAATCACTCTATCTATTATAAAAACCGCATTAAAATCCGTTGCGAAGTTTTAAAGATCTTAGCATACATAGGGACAGACAGACAGAGGAACTAGGCTTAAGCCTCATTTAGCCTGTGGGTAAATCAGGCCCTGCGTTAAACAATTAAAATATTGATTCAAATGCCTTAAAATAATAAAAGACCAAGGATTGAGTACTAGGGAACCTAAGAAACTTTCGCTTTTTGAAATTGGTTAAAAATCAAAAGAACCAATATCAAAAAGAATAAAAAACGGTTCTATGGAACATGAACCTACACCTTCATTCTTCTGCAACAAGTGCTTCCTTATTATATTTGTGGTTTTAAGGAAAAGACAATATCTTCATTATCCATTTACCTAAAATAAGACCTTCAAAAGGTACGTTGAACGAGAAAATTAAGTGAAAGCAGGACGTGTTCGAAGACTTTGAAGGTCAGCACCCGCATTCTTTCGCAAGTGAATTTCAACTTTTCAAAAGCTAAAAAGATAGACATGTCCCAAAAAATAACAAAAACCAATCATGTTTTTTTTCTTCTTAAATTTGTGCGTTGGAGTTCTTGGTGCTATTTTCCTAGTTCTAACATAGTTTGGTAGGCAATTATATTTCAAACAAAAAAAAAAGGTTACTTATATATGACTATTTTGTAAAATATAGGTAAGTATTTAACTACGTAAATTACTTATAAAGTGATTGTTTGATATAAAGACATTGCAGTAACCTACCTAATTACCATTACGTTGATAAAGACGAATTCCTATTTTAACAACACCAGTGGGTCAATTATGCTTCAGTAATAAAATTCTAATGTGATGTCAATATGATGTTGATGCCGAGTTGACATTGTTTTTATATGGTATTAAGAAACATTCCTATGTCACATCAAGATCATATCAATATCATATCCTGTATCACATTTTTGACGTTTATGCGATACTATTTTAAGTCAAAAAGTTGAACGTAATACGCATTTAAGTTGATATCATTTTATAGAGTTGATCATCATCATAGCATAAGTTAATGTCATTTTGATATCGCATTTTTCGGAGAGCATAATACGTAATGTGAAATAGACATCAAAACAATATCACAATTAGCGAGCATAATTGGCCTGCAGCACGCACGTTTGAGTTGGTATTTCCAGAGGTCGATGGCGTTCTACAGGATGACGTATATTGTTACTGTCTCATATATTGTAATACGAGAGTTCATGGCATGGACCTCTACTAATAGTCCAATGTTCATTGTAAAGTCCAAACGAAAACAGTACCTACAAGTATAGTTTTTTTTTAAATTAGCTTAATACGATTTGCACAAATGTATTATGTAGTCGTTATGATTAGATTCCGGAAAATATCAGACTTAAGCAGCACTTGGGTACCTACTTTGCACTCTGTACATACAGGTGCAAACAGAACGGTACTGTAGCTTGGGGCTATTAGTCTAACTTTATTTATTTCGCCTTCCCCTTCAAAATCTGAAGAAGTGTCTATGTGACACAACAATTCGATTCCTCCTTCGATCAATTTATTGATCCCCCCTAGAATTAGTAAATCAAATCGAAAATATAGGTCAGTTACGAATGCCCTTACACAGCTTCTGCCATCTCGGGCCAGTGACCCCCTAGGCTTTAGGGTAAATCTAAATACGGCCGCCCCTGCGAACAGCTCACACGCGACTTCTTTTTCTGTAATGTCGGGTAAAACAACTTAATAATATCACAGTTGATGTTAAAAAAGTTTTATTGCAATAACTTCACAATTAGAATAATTATTACACTGCACACTCATATTTGGTCCCTAACATAACATCTAATAAATAAATTAACAAAATGAATAAACACATTTTTTTTTGAATTTACAATAATTATATGAATTGTATATTCATACATAAAACCTTAACAAATTAAGTATATACATAGGGTATTTTGTCATTAGCAAAAAGTACAAATAATACACATTTAGCAACCAATGAAATCTGCACGTATTTTTTTTAACAAGAAAATTTATTATCATAATATAAAGTGAATAAAGTTGAATTTTCAGAGAAGCTTCAATAGAAATGCCGGTAAATAAATCGAATATGATCCTTAGCTTGTTTAAAAATATATTATATGTTACAATTTCACTAAAACTGCAATTAAGTTACCTACGTTATGGATTCTCGTCACCCATCCCTCAATGTCTTAAGTCGAAAGTCTTCGACCAGTGCGTCCTCCCAGTTATGACATACGGCGCCGAGACGTGGACACTCACGGCTGGACTGGTCCACCAGTTTAAAGTCGCTCAGAGAGCTATGGAAAGGGCTATGCTCGGAGTATCCCTGAAGGACCGCATCAGAAATGATGTAATCCGACAGAGAACCAGAGTCACCGACATAGCCCACAGAATTAGCAAACTGAAGTGGCAGTGGGCTGGTCACATTAGCCGCAGAACTGAAGTCCGATGGAGCCGTAAAGTTCTTGAGTGGAGACCGCGACTCGGTAAACGTAGTGTGGGACGCCCTGAGACAAGATGGGATGATGACATTCGTAGGCTGGCTGGAGTGGACTGGATGAGAGTGGCAGAAAATCGGGAGCAGTGGCGTGCATTAGGAGAGACCTATGTCCAGCATTGGACGAGCATGGGTCGATGATGATGATGATGACGTTATGGATTTAAGACTTTTAGGCGCTTTGCAGACGGCGGGGCGGAGCGGGCCGGTCAATTTCGCCGCGAACGATAGCACAAAGTGAATCCTATACTACAAACGCACACAGAGGGCAAAAAGACCGCGCCGCAGGTGCCCGGCGGGCACAGGCGATGGCGGCGCGGCATGTCCGCGGCTGCCCGCCGTGGATCATACAAACCAGTTTATATGCAGTAACGCAGACGGGCGGCGCGGGGCGGCTAGCTCAGTCCGCGCCACGCGCTTTTAAGTGATGGACTATTCACTAGAACGAACGTCCTGAACTGACCGCCTCTGCCCGTCGTGTGCTTTGTGTACGCGGCGCGGGCAGCCGCACACATCGACGGGAAGACGCGGTTTTTATTGCTTCGCGGACAAAATGCCCGCCCCGCCCCGTCGTCTGCAAAACGCCTTACCCCCTTAATAATAAACGAAAACTACTGTTGGATATGTTACTCCATGTTTTGTCTCTGTTTATTGAATCACAAATGGCATTTGAGTGACATGAACAAAACACGGCGTAACAAGTCTAAACTTGTTGCTTGTTTATTAATTACATAGGTTAATTATATTAATAAGGGGGATTTAGTTTATAGTTACAGTAATACAGGATGGCCTTATCTTCGTTGTAGAAAATTCAACTTTATTCATTCTTTAAATGTACATTATAATACCAAATGTATCTTTATAGAGAGGACTTAATTATTAGAACAACACAGCAGAGGAAGATATAAGTAAAATTATAAACATATTAAATTTAATTTATTGACAATTTCTCAATTATTCTCTAAAAAATATGTCCAATTACACAGGGAAACGTAATACTAGGATAGATATGTACCCTTAGCACGAACCAATATCGAATTCGAATAGTTTGCAAACCGAAATATCAATGTCAAATTTTGTATGGAAACTTGAACAGCTCAGCAGCAGCGGCTCAAAGTACGTAACGAGAACTAAAAATCAGTACACATTTAACAATGTCATTTCGGACTCGCTAACGATACGAATTCGATATTGGTTGGTGCTAAGGGTACTGTAAGATGCAATCTCACTTGCGATCTCATCTGATTTCTGACAAATGTCAAATATGTAATTCCGGCTGCTTCTACATACCGCGACATTTTGCCGTGTAATGGCGTAATGAATATCAATGTCTAAATTGGCAGCTACCGAAAACGGAAGTGAGATTCTATTTTACAGAATCGCCCTACATGTTTGTTTTGTCTGTACAAAATAATAAATAGCCCTTTATAATCAGTAATTGTCAAATTTTGTGCTACTGACAGATCAAGCATATAAAATTAATTAAAATGAACTTGGGGAAAAAAACATTGATACACGAGATATGTTTCTTTTTAACAGAATCAAGTTACTAAGCACCAACTCAGCGGCACTACATGTACTTGTAGTGTGGCCTTAGATCTTTAAAGGTGAGGCGATTTACGCGCGATAGAAATTACTAATACTGAAAAAATACATAAGGAAGAAAGAGTCGACACTATGTCATTAGTTTACGCTACACTAATGAACGAACCATTATCGAATTCGAATAGTTTGCGACTGCGAAATGTCAATGTCTAATTTTGTATGGAAACTTGAACAGCAACGCCACACATTTGAAAATGAGTTTTCGCCTCGCAAACTATTCGAATTCGATATTGGTTCGTGCTAAGGGTACAGTTTATGGGTGTCAGTAGGGAATTAATGAATTAATTATTAGTCTTGAAGTTTCACGTTCTTGCTAGTGACTCAGAAATTCTAATAAACTGGCAGTCAACAGATTCAAAGGTATCTGATAGATCAGTGCCCCAAACACGTAAGTAAACTAAGCAGCGCCCCTACCGGACTTAAGAACAAACTTACTCCTTACATAGAAATTTTGACAATGGCGATATGAATAGTTTTTCGTTAGTTGTTTGCGGTTGGGTTACAGGGTAAATTGAAATGATTAAAATAAAATTTACATGAATGAAAATTAAAGATATTACATTATATATTTTTAAACTTTTCCAGTCTATAGATAGATAATGGTGTCAATTCTGGCATGATTCTCTAAACTTAAAACTAAATTTAACACCAGTCTCTCCCTTTCATTCTATGTAGATAATGAAAAGGATACACTGTTGTCAAATTTAAGTTTAAGTTTAGAGAACCATGCTAGAATCGACACCAGTGTAACCCAAAATCCAGATCAGCGTAATCAGGTTAGTTTAAAATATTATTTATTACCCGGAAACAATAAGTGAAAGTAATTTGAACAAGTTAAATATTTTATCATGGTGGGTATAATTTAAAATGTTGTGTCAAATAAGTTTTTGGCGTTTAAATGTGTTTATTTTACCTAGTTTTGAGAAACCATCCTACCTTTATTAGTTTTATTTATGTATTACATACATAGTCTATTTTAACGTACTTTATTTTAGGTTCAATCATTCACTGGTCTTCATATCACTCTTAATATTTTCTCCCCAAAAAGAAATATTTGAATTTATTTACACATGTTTTGTATTCGCAATTCTTCGTAAGTTTAGGCCGTTTCTCTATATCACGATGTTGACTAAACTGGCGATTTAGATTACAGCAATCACACTATTATGAGACATCAGATTACTTAGATTTAGACCGACGTAAACAAAGTGGCTTGCTATAGAAAGAGTAAGTACTGCAGCGATGTTCCCTACTTTGACAGCGTTGCTCAGAATCTTCAAAATTTACAGAATGTAAATCTAGCCATTATTTCATTTAAACTAATTAATTTATTAAAAATCGCAGTCAAAGATGAAACTTAGTTAAAGTTAACGTATTAAAATAAGGCATTACATATTTTTAGACACCTCGATAGAACTGTCAACAGTACGCGCCACGAAAGATGAGACTTGAGTGCCGCGCCTCCCAAGCTCTTTCCGCCACCCCGATGGCACCCGAACCCTGACTCCCCTCAGACCTCAAGATCCCAGATGTCAAACCACGTCAAGTCTCATCTTTCGTGGCGCATATTGTACCTATTCTTTAAAGATAATACTTTACAAGTGGGTAAAATACTGTCACGTCACTTTTGAAGTTTGAGAGGCACTGCGTGTAAAACAGAATATGGTTGAAATCCATACCTACTGCAAAAATCATTGAAAGAGGGTACGCTTAAATAATAAGTTATTGGTGTCAATTCTGACACTATTCTCTAAACCTAAACTTAAATTTGACAACAGTGTATCCTTGTCATTCTCTATACGAAAAGGAGAGATTGATGTTAAATTTAGTTTTAAGTTTAGAGAATCACGCCAGAATTGACACCATTGTCATTGTTAGTTAAGTAGGAGCAGGAATCGGCAGTTCAAAGACAAATGAGAATTTACCCACGCGTTTTGTTTGGCTAGAGCGTTTCTTCTACGATAGAAAATAATAATTTCTAACTGATAAATATATTAAAAATTATATTATAATACAGAAGCTGCCATCACAAATCGAATTTATGCTTCAAAATGATAATAACCCGAGTTAATAATTAATTTTCTCCACTTTGCGGTTAGCATTCCAAAAAAATTTAGTGCCTGTGGCAGAATACACAAGATGCCTCTACAAGGTTGTAGTGTATATTTGTAGTATACTATCTGCCGATTCCACAACAAAACAACTTTTGGTGATGTAGCCTCAATGGTTATAAGTAGTTAACACAATTACTAATTTTTATCCCTATTTGTTCGGATACTTTTACCAAAGCACAGCAAGAAGAACTTTTACCAAAGGTACTCCCTAATCACAGTTGAAGGCAAAATGTTTGCTGTCTTTGAAGTAGTAAGCATTGGTAAAGTTTTCCAACCCGAGAGCTGAACTTAACGCAGTAGCTTTTGGGTTCGCAGCCTCAATCATTCGAGTTTGATTCAAACTTCAATAATAACTGTTATAAATTAGGCACTTTCAGTGCGACCGAGCGCAGCTCCACACTCGAGGTGTTCTGTACATTAATATTAGATCTGTTGTGACGCATATGTGATTTGACCAAATCAGAATTGACCAAAGCGGCCATAAGACTCAGTTCACCCGCTAAGACTGTAGCGCAAATTAAAGAAGCGAGTCGTGCAGAATTCGCGGCAGGGCGCGTGCCAGCACCTTTGACCCCTAGAATCTCCAAACACGCGCTTTGTCCTGTCAGAACTGTCCCCCCGCCAACAGTGCCGACCTCCAGAGAAGGCATTGTGCACGTGACATATAAATCCTCTCCGTTTTCTCCATAAACCTCCATGCTTGTCGAGCAATTGCTACTGGTCACGTTTTGAGCAGGATCTTGTCCCGTAGCTATAAAAATAGCAGTCACCATATTCGCCGCGTGTGCATTATTTCCGCCAATAGATCCAGCCAGAGCAGATCCTGACAGATTCTTTATCTTATTACATTTAGCTAAAGTCCTAGCGTCCGTTTTGAATATTGTCCTCAAACTCTCGCTCGAGATTACTGTCTCGCAAACGACTCGTTTACCTCTGCCTTTAACCCAGTTAATGGCGGCTGCTTTCTTGTCGGAACAGTAGTTCCCGGATAAACTGATAACCTCCATATCAGGGAAATATTTTTTTAACAGTATCAAAGCGTTTTCAGCGCCTTTCGAGACCATATTCATACCCATAGCATCGCCTGTAGTGGCTCTAAAGCGCAAGTAAAGTGTAGCGCCGTCGACGCCTATGTGGACTTCTTGGAGGCGAGCAAATCTCGATGTGGAATCGAATGCTTCTTTGATCATGGCGTAATTTTCTTTGTTATCCATCCATTGGCGACATTCGTGGGCACGCACTACGTTGGGTAGTCTCACAGCTGGCGCTCTGGTCATACCGACATCCTCAACTACACTGATCACTCCTCTAGGTCCTATAGCTTTCGCACCTCTGTTAGTGGACGCTACTAGAGCTCCCTCTGTCGTTGCCATAGGAATCATGTACGGCTTTCCATCAACGTACAAGGGTCCCGCATAACCGACCGGGACGCCGATGTATCCAATGACATTCTCACAACAGGCATTCAGCACTTTGCTATAATCGTAATTTAAATATGGAAGTTGTTTAATAGCGCTTTCAGTTTGAAATCTCATAGCGATGACGCGTCTCCGTAACCTGACACCTCGTAAGGGGTCTCCCATCACACTTTCCAGTTTATGTAAAGGTATGTGGGATTGTTCTACAAGCATAACGACTTCGTCGTCACTCAAAGAAGTGCAAGCGCCTTCAGAACGGTACACTTCCAAGCATTCAGCCATTGGGCGTTTCTTAGCGTTTAACTTGGATGCTGAACAACTAGGCGATAACGTAGGCCATAGATCCTCCTCCATGGAGGCCGTGCAATCGGTCTGAGTCGAAACTTCGGAGCCCGAATCGTCACCCACTGAAAACAACGGCTTCCTGTGAGATACCACTGATTCCTTGTCATTCTGGACAACTTCCTTAACTGTCATATCGTTCATGTCAATGATCCAATTCCTTTGCTCCTCAAAGAATATGAATTTGATTATCAAAGCGCACAGTAAAGTTGCTATCACTATGTAATCAGCGCTGACAGAAAACCATTTGACATAAGAGTGAAGCAAGACATTGTCGTGTGTCGCCGGAGTCATGTTGTCGTTGGGGCCTTCAACTATACCACTATCGGCACTCCAAGGCCATCTACTAGTCAAGTGCACACAAAGCAAGCCGGCGGCCATTATCATTTTCACTCTTTGAACAACAGGATTCGGTTTCATGTCTTCTTCAGAAAACGGACTGTCCTTCACAATGTCTTTCCTGGCCGATGCAAAATCAGCGACTAAAGATAAACAAGCGGGGTAGAACGTGACGAACACGAGGTAATCTACTAGCAGAGCGAGGCACGCAAAACTGCACATGTGTTCTAATCTCGGAACCCCCGATAGCGCACCTACGCCCACTAAGAGAACTGCCAACAGTGTGTCTAAAGTCGCAGTGGGACCTAATAAGGCTAAGGCTTTTCCAACCCTCTTCCCCTGATCTTCTCCGGCGCACCAGCCAGCCTTCGCCATTCTGGCACCTCTAGCCACATCCGCGACCAATAAGAATAGAAACGGAGCATCTTTCACGCTAGCGAGCTCACTCCAGAACAAGCTGGCTAGAGCGGAGGTGAATATGAAACTAGCGAACGTCGAAAAAACGCCGGCGATTATGAGGAGATACTTCGATGCTATTTTCTGTAGATTGGAGATTTGGTAGTAAGCGTATAGCAAGGCTCCGCAGCGAACTATGGTCATTATGACAGCGTCTGCGGCTTGGTACTCGGCCTCTAGCCCCGGGCACGCTCTGGCCCAGCCGGCGCATCTCTCAGAGCTCGAACCTGCTCCGTGGCGTTCTACGCTGGCAGCGCAGGCTAACAGGGCAAGGGTCGCCACGATCACCTCCCATTGGTGACGAGCGCAGAATTCCCCGTGCGCACCCCAGACTTTCATTGTCTACTGTTGTAGCTGCTTCACAGCTTTACCTGTGGACAAAAGAGAATAGATTTAATAAATTTGGATTAAAATTGAATTGGACATGTATGGTGAATTACAGTGTATGGGTCGGAAAGAATTCACGTATCCTCTTGCTTAAGAAATACAAAAATATATAAACTGCACCGCTTGCCACCAGCGAGTTATTTATGCTTGATTGACATTTTTTTAAGATAAAATCAGAAAAAGTTTGAATAATTGTAGGGCAACGGTGACGCGGCAATTATGTTGAGAGACATGTACATTTCCAAGAATAAATAAATATTACCATCATTGGCGACAAACTTTCTTTAATATGACAATATATTGTGACGCATTTAAATCTAAAAGGAATATTGAAGAACCTGTTTATAACAAGTTTGAAACGGCGAACCAAACGTTTACAAATCACTTCGCAAATTCATTGCAGCTATGTAACTTGGTAGAATATTATGTTTGTTTAAATAATTCACAGCTTCTCGTGACGAACAAAATTTCTGTGTCTTGTAAACATAGTACAGAAATTAAGTAAATAAGTTCACAAGAGTGGTAGGGCATAGCGGATTTGCCGCTCAAATTGGAACACCCGTCTGGGGAAGTAACCTCCACCTTACAGAAGAACACAGTAAAAAAAAACCTTTTGGTGGTGTTCTTTCTATCGGTAAGGTTACAGGGCTCCACGGGGCAGAGATTGAGTCCGAGCAGGCGACTGTGCGAGTGATATTTTGTGTATCTCTTTTTTTTGAGTATGTATGCTGTTGGTCGCAGATGACCTTTACAGCGTCACCGGATTTGGGGACGGCGAGATCCTAAAGGGACCTGAAGCCGAGAATTGGAAAGTGCTTCTAGAGGTATTCCCGGCGGATGGCATCTCCCCACGGGTGGTCCCTCTCCGTAGAGCCTTTAGACCACTCGAACCTGAGGGGGTCGGCTCAACTAGAGGGCGTCTCTGAGACTCGGACCTCGGCTCTAGTTAGCCGTTGTCGTGGAGGGCGGGAAAAAACGTACCTGTACCTGGTATAGCGTGTCGTGTGTAGACCGTTTTTGGTATCGCAAGCGTCTCGTCAAGTAATGTTGCCAAATTTCTTCACTATGCCTATTGATAAATTATAATTTCGTTAAATCCCAAGGGCTATTGTCAGCTGCAACGTTCGGAATCATTTCGTAAGTCTGTGGTGTGCAAGACCTTGTCGTGATGTTAAAAGCAAAAGATGCTACTTTCAAGAATTTTACGAAATCCATTTGTAAATAATCTGCATAATATGTTTCGTGACAAGAACAGTTTTTTTTATGTTTTTAATTTATCGTTTTTTTTTGCAGCTATACAAATATATATATACATATAACTATATACATATAAGTGACTTAAGTCAGATAAGAGTCCAACGAACCCAATGTTTAAAAAAAAAACAGCACGTTTTAAGAAATCTTATGCGTCATTTATTACTTTAAAAAATCGGAGTATAAACATGTTTTTACGTTTAGTCAGTAAGGGTCATATAGCGTGTTATCATTACCCAAACTTTTATATATAACTAATTGCATTATGTAATAATGCGCATTACGTAATTTTGGTCAATTTCGTAAAGGCCTGAAGAAGCCAGTTATAGATCATAGACACACATATCAACTCAGAAAGGGATCGTCACTGTATCATCTCGAGCCGTTCAGTCGGATCGCATCGTCAAAGTCGGACTTAAAAGTAAACTGGCTCTTTCAAACAAAATTTTAATGACGACTAGCTGCTCGCCCGCGACTTCGTACGCGAGAATCAGTTAGAAATAAAGGTTCACTGCTCGTTCCCCGTAGGTGATAGTGTGATAATACGTAGCCTAAATGTTGACCGGACTTCTTAATAATATTCGTGCCAAATTTTAAGTAAATCCATGCAGTACTTTTTGAGTTTATCCCGGACATACATACATACATACAAACAGACAAAAATTCTAAAAACTATATTTATGACTTCGGTATGGATTGTAGATCACACCCCAAGTATTCTTTTAAAAAAAAATTCAATGTACAGTTTTGACTTCCCTCCCATTTTATTACATGTATAGATGACGGATCTGTCAAAGTTTGTGCTTTGGCCTCAGTAAACTTTGTATGAAACTTCCTACTGCAACATAGTAATCGATTTTATAACGTTATCAACTCGCCTCGGACGGGACACGGGCTTGTCCGAGGCGAGGCGATTACGTTACGATTTCGATTGGTGTGCGTTGTAGTAGGGTTCTTAGTCAAACTAAGAATACTGAACGGGGCTCGAGTTGATATGGTGACGATCTCCATTCGAGTAGATAATTGTCTGTCTGCTACGACCTTAATAGTTATGTCATGTTCCTAAAATATTAGCCTATTTGTAGATTTGACACCAGTATATCCTTATCATGGTCTGAAATGGAAAGGTAAATCTGTACATTATGTGGCAACTGCAGATAAATGATATCCGCTAAATTTTTGTCATACAGCGACCTTGATGACGACCGGTTTGTTGATTTCTCAAACATGATGTTGGAAGTTTAGAGCAGGTTTGAGATTATTATAGGATTGGCCTGATTTTTTAATGGTCTCGTTAGAATAGATCTACTTAAAAGGTCAAGATTGGAATAGCAAATTGATGGATTAATAAGGACTCGGCGGGATAGCATGTGGATGACAAGCTTTCGCCAATCCGGTTGAGACTGAGTGAAAGTTTATTTCAGGGTTGCCAGCCGTAGAACTTTTTTCCTCGTACTTGTGAACCTGAATATCTCGTAACCTGGTCGTCACAAATAGTTAATTTGATAGTAAATCTAATTACCATATAGGCCATCGGGTACACTAACCATAAGACTGTAAGGATTTTTTTCTAGTTTCAAGTGTCTTTAGATTGAATAATCCAGCGGAACTTAAATGCTTAAAATTATAATAGACTGGTTCGGATTAAGATTTACGTTCCAACATGTTGCTTACAATGAAACATCATATTTGAATTTATCTGACAAAATCTCGTACATAATTGTACGAGATGTGTAGTGTTCTCGTACCTCGTACGGAAGACCAAAAATCCCGTATTTGTACGAGAAATCTCGTACGGTTGGCAACCCTGGTTTATTTATATTTTATACTGGCGAGTTCCCGCGATTTCGTTTGCGTAGAGAAGCGACTCCGCGCTAGTTCCCAGACAAGTTTTATTTCCGCAAGAAAAAGCAACATCGGTTCCTTTCTTCTTCACTCGACTTAAACATAAAAAACAATACCACCAAAATTAAGAAATAATTCTTTTTCTATGAACCTAATCTCAAGTACATTTATAATAAAATTAAGAGTGTATTGGTATATGGATACCTCCAGACAAGTCATTGATGTGAACCATACATAAAATAAAGATGAGTTAATTACATTGTTAGTATCGCAAGGGATAATCCACATGCTTTATAGAAATATATGTAGTTAATTATGTTTTTCATTTTAAGCATTAACTTCTACATTTATAACACTAAAGGAAATTTTATTAAAAAAAAAAACAGGATTTAGACGGGCTTCGAACCCGCACCTTGCGCAATTCGGGCAGACGCACTAATCAACTATCACAGCCATATGAATTGCCGGCATTAGGTCTAGAAAATTTGTCACAATCCTAGCTACTAGTATGGGAGCCCAAGCGGGGACTTTTGGATTTACTCGAGGGCGGCAGATTATCAGAAGGGGAGCCAACCTTGCCCCTTGTAGTGCCGAACGTCTAGGGCAGCAAAAATAAAATTTCATCAAACGGCCACCACTTTTGGTCGCGTCCAAATTGTCAGTCTTATGAATAGGTGGTACTAGAAGGTTCATGTAACGTTTCTGGAACGGATAAAATATTGATCTGCTGGTTTAGATAGTGTGGGGGTGAATAAAAAAATATAAACGAGCGCGTCAGTTGTTCTTACCCAATTTTAAGGGCCCAATCAAAAGGGTGGGCGTGCCCCTAGCTAGGATAAGCAATTATTACACCGCGCCGATCGCCGTAGATCGGGTCGCTTATTCCCAAACTCACTTTATACCATCTTTAGTCAGGGTAAAGTCCCTTAAAATTAGGTAAATGTGCGGACATGTCCGGGATAATCCGGACGGGTGGTAACCCTACACGCAAAGTGTCCTGCGTCACGTAGCTACGTCTGTGGCGATATCCTAATTATAGTCGAACGACGGAACCTGCCCGAACACACGACGAAGACTGTTTACAAATATGAATTATGACTTCAGTATTACTATTTGTATAGAATTATTTTTTGGATCACACACTATCACTGATCAGCACCGTTACCCTTCATAGGAAATTAAACCAGTCTCATTTAAAAGTAACAGCCATAAGTATCTTCTTACCTCATTTTAATACTTCTCTGTTATTCCTTTCCTCTTTCTATGTCTTTATTTTAACAGCTCTATACTCCCTGGCACTATCCAGCAGCCTCAGGTCGGAAGTGTTTGACATCTTAATCCCCACTTTTTATGTTAGTCACGTACACACAATTTGCGTCAACCCACAAGAGCACAAATAAGTACGTCCAAACTAGACAAAAATATATATCTATCTAACATATAAAATTCTCGTGTCACCGTGTGTGTAATTGAACAAGGTACTCCGAAACGGTTCGACCGATTATCGTGAAATTTTATATGCATATTCAGTAGGTCTGAGAATCAAACAACATCGATTTTTCATCCCAATAAATGTCCACTCATAATTTTTTTTTTATTTTTTTTTTTTTATGATACAAAAATACATACAACCTTAAATCTTCACCCTTGTATCACCAACCCCTATTTTTTTATGGCGGTACGAAGTTCGCTGGGACAGCTAGTATATATATATCCTCACTTTCTGTTTGGTGCTCATTCAATTCCGCACCTATATATGAAAATGTGCATAAGCCACATACATAGATCGAAAATGATAATGCTGGTATATGTACTTTGTGTGCCAAAAGTGAGACCACCTTTTACGCAAATTTTTATTTCTTCATGTCATTGTTCCCGATACAAAAACAAACCAAAAAATATCTAACTAATTCTGCTATAAAAACAATAATTAAGTAATAAGTTACCAGGGGCCATGCTTTTTCACCATAGAATTGTTCTTGTGAGTACTCAAACAAAATCTGGCACTGGTTTGCATAAAATTTGAAGTACATTAGGGTTGTAGCATACACCTCTATTATAATGCTCAGATCTATTGTTTCAACACTGTAATAGATTATTTTTAGCAACAACCATGGTTTTAAAATGGTATGCAGTAAAGTCGTCATTGTGACACGATCGCCTTTTGTGATGGCACATTGCTATTCTCATGTAAAACTTGTCAAGATTAACATCAGACGCTGCTAAACACATTACTGATTCTTAACAAGCAACAGGAAGAGATATTGGGGAACCCAAAGGCAATATTTTCAATTCAACTTTCAAGGAAAAAATAAGCATTGGAGAAGTACCATAGAAGCAATAGATTTTTTATATCACAATTTCATCAGTATCTGTTTAAGATGATGTTGTAGATTTGTTAAAATGTTTGTTAGTGACAAGGGCTCCATGGAGTAGCAGATTGGGACAGGGCCGGCAACAGCGACAGTGATAGTATTTATCGCAAGCGTCTATAAGTTATGGTCGCCACTTACAACCAGGTGGGCCATAAGTTTGTTTGTCACCCTTTAAATATTAAAAAAAGTTACATTTAGACTGAGGCCGCACTATGTGACGGCACAGCAGGAACATCTGAAGTGCAGCCATCGACATGTGTTTGTTTTCACAAATCTCTGTGGCGTAACAGTGTGACCTCGACCTTAAAATTAAAATTTAATTTTCTACATGGACAATGCTAAATTGTGCACCCTTATATTCAGCTATTTGTAAAACTTTGTGCACTATATTTTTGGAAATAAATGGCTTGTTCTCATATTACAATATCTTTTTGCAATATTTATATAATAGTAATAGTTTTTGTGTTGTTTTTTGCCAGATAGAATTAATTTCTTTTTTTATATATTTATGGTACATTATTAATATTGAAATGTGACAGAGTCCAAATTTGCAAGTAACCACCATTTGAAAATTTATAAATATAATAAGATTATTTAGATTTATTTTGTTTGTATTACTTTATTTTTTCAGTGTCTTAACTAGAGATAGATTGTTAAAGAAGTGTACTATAATATTGAAATGAAATATTTTTCATGAGCATAAAAGCATGGGCCATGGAAATGAAATATTTTTCATAAGCAAATAATGCTATGAAGTCATTATTAAACTGTGGTTATGTACATATGCAGGTTTAGACAGCATCAAAGTGGTTTAACTGCATAAAAAGGTAGGTTTAAATTACATTATTGAATAAGATAATTCATAAATATCATATTCACAAAATCAGTCACACACACTTTTTCCCACATTTTGCACAATGTGAGGTCCTTATTAGGTATTCATTTGACATTGTAGGTTACCTACAATGCGAAGAGATAGCGCTGCCTAGCAGCTTAAGGGCTAGAGAAAATTTGATACAGCCATTAGGGCCACAGTAGCATAATGGTCAGTGCATTCACTCAGATAGCAAAAGGTGCAGTTGGAGTCCTGTCTGCTGCCTGGTAGGCATGGAATTTTTTCTAGTGTAAATTTCTTTAGATTTAAACATCTAGCAGTTACCTACATGCTTAAAAATGTCAAAATTTGATTCCTTATTAAATGTTAAATAAGAAAGCTTATGTTTACATAATTTAAGATTAAATTTACTACATCTCTTGAGCAGTTTAAATGCACTCGGAAGAATAATAATTATTTCCTTATAGATAAGTAACACATGTTCAATTGATAAACACAATTTAATTAATCTTAGAGAATCCTATTTTCGTAAATAAACATCTAATCTAAGTAAGAGAGAAAGTGATAAACGAGGAAGGTCAAAAATGTCGTTCAGTAGGTCAATAAATGATTTCTAAAATAACCAAATCTGCAAGCAATTGAAGTGGCTACAAAATATATCAGCAACAAGCATGTACCGGCAATGTTAACGGCATTCAATTACGTTTTCCTATAATTAATACTACAGTAAAAAATCTGAAAAATCACGCGATATATTCACTATCCATGACCTACTCTAAACAACGGTGAATTACATACATTGCATTTTACTTTTCGAATACTTCCACTTCAAATTAGGATGGAGGATGTATTCTTTATTTAGAGACATGCATAGTCAACAATAACTTTCATTATAACTAAAATAAATAAGAAGAAAGTACAACAGTTACGTGAAATCGAGTTGCGCGTTTCTCCTACGAAAAAATGAAAACCTTACTCACCAGTAAAATAGTGTAAAGATATTCTTGAAGATAATATTATTTCCTTCACAATTTTTGTAGATATTTCACTGTTTATGGCAATACTCCGAATTAATAAAATTGTGAACTGAAAATAAATCAACACACATGACTACAGACCACTCACCATTTTAGGAGTGGGTGGACTGGATAAAAAATAATTTTCTTCTAAAAACTTAAACGTCATTTGGAGTGTTGCTATACTTTTCACTTATTTATTACTATCTTTTATGTATGGCGAAGCATGGGCGTACCATTATCATGGACGACGTACTTTATACACGTGACTGTGTAATGAAATAACATTTTGTTTGACCTTGTTTTATATTATTTAATGTAGCTCTTCATCCTATTGCTGATTGAAGTTAAAGTTGCATTATTAAGAATTAGAAGAGTCAGTCCACTGACGGAAGGGGAGACTGACACATGGTTGACCACCTTAGACTTTGGTTACATACGCCTCACAGTTGTTTAACGCCAGCTATACCAATTGCCGAGAAACTCCTTATCGTGTGTGATCTCATCTCGTCTTAGTCTCTCAAGCCTCGCCTCGTGGGTTTTGGTCGTTTGTCGATTTTTGCAACCGAGTGAAAAAGATTTTATTGGATCTCGCGATGAAAATACTCTCTATGTCAGTAGTACCATTGGCTAGTACTATTAATGGTACAAGTGACACAACTTTGTATCCTATCAATGGTGCTGGCGGCACTAATTTCGGATAAATTGTACTATCCATGAATACTGTTGTATTATTAGTTCCGTCAATAGTACAAGTGAAACGATGACTATGATTTGTAAAACAACTAAACAAACTGAAAGTAAAAAATAAGTAAACTATTTATTTTAAGATTAATAATGCGCCGTTAGTTGTGTAATTTTTATTAATTCCTTTTTTATTAAGGTGTAGAAGTTTCGTTTTCTCTTTGATCGACTTCAAAAAGGAGGAGGTTCTCAATTCATCAGTATTTAATAATAATACACGTATGTGTACATTTTTTTTATTGTTATTCGCCCATACTTCCGAGATTTGTGGATCGATTTTGATGAAGTTTGAAGTGAAAACTACTTTAGCGGCTTGTACACTTTTTTTGTGTGGCTAGGGGTATATTGAGTCTGGCATGGGTAAAAACTGTTAAACTCGCGTCAGGACACGTGGCCTGATCGCGTCAGTCCTGACGTCCTGATTAGGTCACGTGACCTAATCGAAAATTCGTAAGACGATAACAATAAAATTGGAAAGATCCTTGGCTTTCAATATATTGGACGAAACATAGTAATATTTTATTTTATCATATTATAATAATAAGTCTCGTGGACGTTCGGGTGGCAGCTTTATTGCGAAGAAAATGCATTTTTGTTACAATAGATGTCGCTTGGTGCGCTTAAATGTGATTTATGTAAGTTGATTTTTCTGAGATATAAACTTTTTAATGTAATATAAAATATTGTGTTCTACCACATATATGATAGTACTTTTATACTGATAATTAAAGCAATTCGTGCAAAATTATTCCCTAACCATTCCAAAATATTAAAAATGCACAACGTTAATATTCAAGTTTTCACTTCTGACGGCACACCCGGAGTGCAAACCGTCGCTCTTTTTTGAACCATTTTTTTTGCAAATGGCCCCATATTAATTTGGTAAAGATCTGATGGGTACTTTCGGAGAAAATAATATAACTCCTCAATTACAAACAGTACTTAGTTCGTGTTTAATTATTTATTATATATTGCAGCTCAGGTCACCTATACTTAATCACTTGATGTTACTCTGGCTTATAAAAAATGGAAAATAAAAACTATTTTAACAAAAATAAAAACCGATTTCATGAAAACAAAACCACTAAAAAGTGGGAAATAATACAAATCTTTACATTCAACTAACATTTGGATTCACCGAATGATGCATGTCGATAGATCTGTAACCCTAGCACGAACCAATACCGAATTCGAATAGTTTGCGAGTGCGAAATGTCAATGACAATGCAAACTTTAGTTCTCGTTACGTACGTTATGGCGCTGCTGTTCAAGTTTTCCCATAAGAGTTTCCATCAGAGGTTTCCATACACAATTTGACAATGACATTTTGGACTCACAAACTATTCGAATTCGATAACGGTTCGTGCTAAGGGTACAGAGTTACCTACCAATTACTGCTTGGGATGCGATGGCGATGGCATTAAAAGTGTGACAATACAAAAACATTTTGACATGACTTTCTTTTTTATTATCGATTACAATAAAAGGAAATCATTTGTCCTTTCTTTTTTTTAATGGTACTATGGATACAAAGTTGTACCTATAGGATGATTATTGTCAATTACAATTACGGCGCGAATATCTTACTTTTTAATTATGGTTCTAAGGCTCTGAGTTTATATTAAACGAGGAATAAGCTAGCCTAGTTACTCCATGTATTTGTTCATGTCACTAAATACCATTTGTCATTTAATGAACAGAGATCAAATATGGAGTAACTACTTCAAGCTTATTCTTCGTATATTTAAAAGGGGGTAAGTGTCAAGAGCCCACATATTTACAATATAGGAGTCTCCTAATTCTAAGGTCCCTATTACAGAATAATAACTAATGCGCTTACCACACGCACAAGCTTCACCACAGTTTGGCCTGCGCAAGCATCTTGCACGAAAAAACCGTACACTTTGTGCGTTACCACACGGCACAGTTAAGTACGCGCAAGCCTCATTCTTATCGAAATCATTGGCGTGGAAACAATGTTTCCTAATGAAGAAACATTTCTTATGCTATTATTTTTCAAGTGTTTGCTATTAAAAAGAACATGTAAAAACGATAGGATATGTACATAATATGTGCAAGTAGTTGGTAGTAGGTATTAGGCATAGGTATTTAATTGCAAAAATTATGTTCTTACCTCTTTCATTTTATTTATCATTCTTTCGTAAGTGTCGTTCTTTTTATTTCAGTCGGAATAATCTTTAGATTTAATTTTCCAGAGTGCAGGCAGAGATTTGTATAAACTAATTAATTCAGACGTGAATTCGCGATTGTACATACGCAAACCTGCCATTTTTGAGTGACGATGACGAACGACCTCATGGAACGACGAGCGAGCCTCGACTCAAAATACACTCGACTGTGGCTTGAACACTGAACGCCCAACCAAACCCACAGACAAGTACGCGCAGGCCAGGCTTGCGCAGGCAAAATTTCAAGCAAGTAGAAAAGTGCGCAATCCGCGCTGTGGGATTGGCGCGTGATACAGTTTTACCAACTACACGCACCGTGTTCCGTGTACAAACCGGCCTGCGCAGGCAAAACTGTGGTGAAGCTCGTGCGTGTGGTAGGCCCATATATGTTGATCTTTGCATGAGTACAGTTAGAAAGGGATGTCGCTATGTGCTATATATAGCGACATCCCTTTCTAATTATGCTCAAGACTAGATCAATCACTGAGAATCTTTCTATAATATGGGCCCAAGTCTGTGCAAGAGCCAGGCTCCAGTTTTAATAATGATGAACACTACATGCATTCAAAAAGTATATCAAGAATATTTAGAGTGTAGAAAGAAGGTAGTTCTATCTAATATTTAAATGCATTATATTAAAAATATTTAATAAAAAAATATTACAAAATATATATCCGCAAAGATTGTGAGCAGTGTCGTCATTCTTGCACGCGGGACTTCGGCATTGTTCATATCTAGAGTACTGTCAAATATTTCGCCTTTTCTAAAACAATATTTACGGAATGAGAGACGACTGGCATTTTTTTTGGGTTGGTCTGGCTCCCCTGATTCCATCATAGCATAATAGTACGCTTTGAAATACGGTATAAATAGACTGTTTCCAAAAAACACCCAAATCATGATAAAGAATAATGTTAGCATAAAAACTTGGCAGAACACGTAGAAATAGTATGGAAATATAATAGCATTCGGAGTCGTGATTCTTGTTATTTTGCAAACTACCCATTGGATCATCATCCAGTATACCATGCATTGATTTGTTCCAGCACATAATGATACACAGCAATCCCAAAACCTTGAACACAAAATATACGGGAAGCAAAACACTTCCCACCAATTATATCTGAAAACATCATCTGTGTGTGCGTGAAATCTTTCTCCTTCTACAGCATCGCAACGGAATTTTTCACTTATAGGCTTTTTACGTTGTTTTTGTGGAGGCATGTTTAATTTTATGTTTACTAATTTACTGAAGTAAAACTGTAAAATACGTAAAACGTCAAAGATTCTTTTACAGTCCCACAGATTACTTGCTCAATGGTCCCACATTCATTCTCACATAGGGAATGACAAATTAATACGTCATTATACTGAGCAGAATCATTATTAGCAAATTCTATGTCCATTGTGGGCATAGATTCAGTATATCGTGGTATATCGGTATAAAATAATTGTATAAGATACTAAAATATGACCGTTGATCAAGTCGATTGAGGAGTTTTATAAAGCAAAAAGCACTGGAACAATAAGCATATATTGGATTTAATTCCCTACTAACTAGCGATCGCCCGTAACTTCGTCTGCGTCAACAAGTTTGTTCTTTTTGAGAAACCTATTGTACAAGAACCTAAAATTTTCCAGTGCGTACTGCGTACCAAACTTCATCCAAATCCGTAAAGGTTTTTTTTTTGTGATTGAGTAACAAACTAACAAACTCTCTTTCACATTTATAATATTAGTTAGAATAGGGTGATTTATTTAATAATTGATCCTTTTATAATGTTCCAATTGAATTTCTACTTCATTTAGGAAATGGCAACATTATGGCCGAAGTTCCTTGTGGTATATTACTTTTTTCTGGCCCAAGTGTTGTAAGTCGAAGCCGGCTATGTTTTGACATTACTACGAATATTAAAAAAAACTAGTTTTGTTTGAACCATGGAAGGGTAGGTTGTGCAGTTTTTCGCAGTAAAATATTGCATCAGATACAATGCAATTATTATGATACAAACGACGAAAATTACACATAGACTGCAGGATTTGCAGTAATTAATAATGGATCAATTGCTAACAGCAGGTAATTAGTTTATACCTGTGTTATTGTTGGTGAAAGTAATATTATTACGTACGTGCATAGATTCGCGAAGTGCATTTTAGTTTTTGAAACGAAAAGCAAAGAAAGTAATTAGGTGATTAAAAAGTAATGAAGCTGGAATTTACACTCAATTATCACAATAGCGCTGTATGTTGAGAATATTATACACGAACACAACAGGTTCTGATGACCTTCTAAAAAGTTTTATAAAGTTTTTATACTTGCTGTCATGAACGCTGTTGCCTTGAAAGCGACTTTGCATTGGTTTCACTATTCATTAATTTGTTTTACGATTCATTGACATTATTTTTGCCTATGATAGAATTATCAGTTTAAATATTTTGATTGCTTTAATTTTTACTTTCTTTTATTAGTATAATTTTTCCAATATTTGACACTAAAGATATTTTGAAAATTTAAGAGCTCTTATAGTGTATTCACTTTGGAGTGAGACAAAATGTAAACAAACAATCTGAGGTTCTAAAACTTTTATAATGTCGGAATGATTATGTAAAATTTATGTTACCTATAATTTATTAACATTTTTAAACTTAACAGAAAAAAATAACAACAAATTCAAGAAATAAAACAAGGAAATAACAAGAATTTAACAAATCTGATAGAATACGCACGCTCGCGTCAACAGTTTGATTGGGAGAGTAAAGATGGCTAACGTAAAGCAACTGATTACAAAACACAACAGTTCAACGTAAAAAACTTATATCATGTCTACTCTTAAATTTTTTCATAATATAATAGGTATTAAGTTTGGGAATTATTGTCTTTTTATGTCTTTTTCCATGTCAACTTAAGTAGTTAAAATATTTTTATCAGCAAAATAAAAATTTATTCTATTAAAATAGAATTTATGATGAGTATGTAGTTAAATACGTGCAAAATATTTTATTTTCTTATTCATATGTATGTATCAGCTTTTAAATAAAATTACTTAATGTTTCCCTGCATTTCCTTTGTAAATAGTATTTAATCTTCACTTTTGTCAAACGTGACCTTACAAAGTATCCTTTTTATGGTTTGTTTACATTTTGTCTCACACCAATGTGAATAGAATATAGCTGCAAAGTGTTTTTGACTAACTTTTAATATTTGAGTAAATTCTTGAGATAATGCTAACTGTATTTTATTTGTTTGGTAAACGAAGTATATTTCTTAGGTTTAATTGGTACTTAATTATAACTTCGTTGTTTTATCTTTTCAGATCATAAACCTACCATGCATATGTGGATGACATTGTTTTTTGCACTGGCAACTTTGCCATGTTTGAACATGGAGTATATCCCGCCAGGACCTGCATATGCCTGCCCTAAGGATTCTGATAAACTACTCATTCACCCATGTGTGTGTGAGAAGGGATCAGATTTAGGACTTTATGTCAGGTTATTACTTTTTTCCATACAGAATATGTACAGTAAAAACTCCTTATTTGAGTGGTATATGTTCCAGAAATATGCTGCGAATACGGAAAATGTGGAGTTGTAGTTTATATGGGATTATAGGGAATGCGCTCCAAGGTGGGAAAACATAAAAAAAGGAAGGAAAGATAAACTCTATTAATGGAAAAAGCATAAATATTTAATGACTTTATTATTACACCGTTATTACAGATCCAAGGGGTGACATATTGTATCCTATTAAACCTTCACTCCCTGTTTGGGGACTCTCATACAAGAATCTAACTCATTTTTGAAGTTTTCTCATATTTAGGAATCTTCTAAATAAAACTTCTTATTAATATATTAATACGAAAAAATGATTTGTTTATTAATAGTTTTGACTATGAAATAGTCATGCATTCAGGCTAGGCACAGTTAGTGTTGCCAACCCTACTTAAAGTATCCTACTTTGTTAGGGCATCAGATACTATATTTCATAAAAATATATATAGTAGGCGAAACTACTATACTTTGCTTAAAGTAGACTTTTGCGAGTAAAAGCTTTTATTAAAATAAAAACTGAAGTATCAAGGTATAGAGCAGCAAAAACTATACTCATTTCAAAATTTAAGTAAATATTTTAACCACATACTATGTTTTTTATCTTTTTTTGTCATCTATATTTTTAGAGGTAACAGCTTCGGAAATACTATATATGATATTGTAGGCACTGCACAGTTGTAGGAAATTATTTTAAGAATATAGCTATTGTATTTGTAGCACCTAATGTTATTTAATTATATAATAGCCTATATTATGTGAAATCTTCATTTTTTATAATTTTTTATTTTGTTTTTGTGTTGTAGATGTGAAAACACAGGGCTAGCAATAATGAGCGTTGGCTTAGGAAATTTGGCGGGATTGGGGTTGCCAGTTGAAAAATTGGAGATAAGAGAAGGGAGATTTTGTAAGTAATTTTTGAACATGACATGGCACAGATCTTCCCTATAGGGCGGCTATGACCGACAACGCAGGCTCAGTGCGTATTGGTGGGTGCTAACTGCAAATTCCGAGACAACAGAATTAGCGTGCGTTGCGAAGCACCGAGGACCTCGCTAACGACATTTTGGTCACCCATTCGATGACCGGATTCTTAAGTTTGTTTAACTATCTTTTCAACTGTATCTCAATCACGAACCTTGACGGATCTGTATTAGTATCGTGAACGTCATAGTTTCTATGGAAATTAAGCAGCGCCCCCAGCGGTCGTAAGAACCAACTAGCTTCCTCCATAGGAAATTTGGCATGGCGACACGAATACTTTCGCGATCTTTGTTTGTGCTTGAGGTACTGATCTTTAACTCTACTTTTATATGAATAAACATATTGACAGCTGGTTAGTCAATGAAAAATAATGATTCCAGCTCACATCCATGGTTCATTACTGCATCGGTCCACAATAAGGGTGTTACATATCGTAGACACGCCCGTTCGCACTATCGACGTGTACGCGTTCGCAGGTGTGAACAGAACCTTACAGGAGCTGAGGTTCTTCAACACGGACATGTTTGAGTTCCCTAAGGAGGCATTTAAGGTAAATATTATGCTAATATAATAATCATCATCATCATCATCAGCCTATTAATGTCCCCACTGCTGGGGCACAGGCCTTCCCAATGGATATATAATATAATAATAATAATAATAAATATTGCCTACACTCATACAATAAGCTTAGCCCCAAAGTAAGCACTGTAGGGGGGGGGGGGGGATCTTTGGGTTATGGATAGAATACATATACATAAATAATTCAATTTTATCCAGAAATATATACAAACATCCATGACTAAAGAAATATAAACAGCCATGAATTAGGTACAAATCCTTGTATTCATCATTCTAACATTTGCCCCCACTGGGATTCGAACCCAGGACCTCACGAGCGACACCTTGGAACCAGGCGTATATATCACTTGGCCACGCAGGTCGTTAGATTATAAAGAGTATATTCGGGTCGTTAGATATTTTCGTGACTTACTCATCAATGTCGTATTGAAACTACCAAAGATATTCTTTGTTCATCATCAGTCTATTAAAGTCCCCATTGCTGGGGTGCGGGCCTTCCCTATGGATGAAATAGGGAGAATGGGCCAAGACCCACCACGCGGGTCCAGTGCAGATTGGTGGGTACAACTGCGGTTGCAGCTGGGACCAACAAATTAACGTGCCTTCCAAAGGACGAAATTTTTTTTGCAACCATATAATGATCAGATCGATCGTTTTCGAAAGTAATTTTATTAATCATATAGGTACAACGGGCTAGGCAACGCGAAATATAGTTTCTCTTTAGAATTAAATAAAATCTCAATTTTTAAACAACCATAAACCAAGAGGATCTACAGAACTGCTTTTTTTTTCTGGTACCTACAAAAAAAAATCCTTTTTCTCAATTTCTAGGGTATTTTAAAAGTTTTCGACAATGATCTTTCGTTATTTATAAATGTTTATGGATATTCATCATTCTGTTGTGTATTTAAGGAAAAACTAAACCAGAAACTCCATTTTCAAGTTGCCGCATAAACGTTTCTCTGGACGATATTGCGTCTAACTGGTGTGTGACGTCACATGACTGTCAACAAAACGTCAAACGACACAATGTAATGTCACTTTAATCGGAAGTTTACTAGCGCGTGATGTCATTTTAGGCTCCGCCAATCCCAGGCGTATTCGGCCGCGTGACAATTGATGAGAAAACTGTCTTCTTCGTGGGGTTTTAGTAAAATTATGAATATTTTTCTGTGAAAATAGAAAAAAACCCTACCGATATTCATTGTCAATACAGATGCCAACAATTGGCACTTTATTTTTAATACTGTCAAATACCCTATTGTGGTTATAAATTACTTGCATGGTTTTGTTTTTGCATATAACAATCCAAATTTCACATTTATAATATTAGATAGATAATAAACTCAGATATGGTCTCCATGTACAGTGCTCCAATATCTTCAACAAATTTTCTGCTTTATATCACTTGATTTACGTTTCACAATTGATTGATTCAGATGTATTCTTGGCTATATTTTATATCTCACTCTGTTTCCACAGATTCTTGGAAATTTATCAATTCTATCCATAGATGGACACAAAATGACAAAACTGGACAAGGACATATTCGCCGGCAGCGAAGCCGTTGGCAAACTGGAGAAACTACATATTGTCAATGGCATGATTACGGACATACCCGTGGAGTCGTTTCAGGTGTGCTTTGTTCGTTTTAAATTCTTTGGTTGAGGAAGTCAATAGGTTTATAAAAGGTACACATTGAATATTTCATTTTTAGGGTTTCGTACCTCAAAAGGCAAAAACGGAACCCTTATGGATCACTTTGTTGTCCGTCCGTCCGTCCGTCCTTCCGTCCTTCCTTCCTTCCGTCTGTCGGGACCGTTTTTCTTAGGAACGCGTGGAGGTATCAAACTGAAATTCATATCTAATATTCAGGTCTACTGTCACTTGGAGCTGTGAAAAATCAAACTTCTAAGCAAAGCAATCAAAAGACAGCCGTTTATGCCGCAAATTTTCGAAACTCACACGGGAATCAAAACCTACAGGGTACTTCCCGTGAACTTAGAATCTTGTAATTTGGTACGAAGTAAAGTCTTATAGTACAGATAAAGAAAAAATTGCGAAAACCGTAAATTTTTAGTTACATCTAAGACATATAATAAAAAAAATGTTTGGTAATTTTAAAGTTACAACCTCTTTTCTCATGATCGCGTAGAGGTATTAAATTGAGTTTGCACGGAACCCTCGGTGCGCGAATCCGACTAGCACTTGGCCGGTTTTTTTCGTTAGAATATGTTTTATATTAGAATAAGTTTAAATGGTTTAAACACAACACCACCAAAATATAGTGTTATTATACTATGGTCTTCTGTAAGGTGGAACTTACTTACCCAGACGAGCATTCCAATTGGAGTGGGAAATCCGCAATGCCATTCCTCTCTTAAAAGCATAACTTCCCTAATGAGACGGATAGCATCATAATTCGACGAGTATCAAAGTATCGTGTCATTTCTGTTTGCAGCATTTGAAAAAGCTGAAAACTCTAGATTTACACGGTAATAAATTATCAACGTTGAAAAGAAACCAATTCAAAGGCTTGAGGGATACAGAAGTATTAGATTTGAGGTGCGTATATCCATAACGGTTTCGATGTTGGCATGATTCTCTAAGCTTAAACTTAAATTTGATAACAGTGTATCCTTATCATTCTCTATAAAGTAAGAGAAGGAGAGACTGATGTTAAATTTAGTTTTAAATTTAGAGAATCGTTCCAGAATCGACACCACTGTTATACTTAATTTATACTAGATTTGTAAATACCGAAATAACCAGTGAATGTCTTCAAACTTAATATACCTATCTTACAATAAGACTTATATTTCTTCTACGATTACTGTATTCATCTTCACACTGGCGAACATTGAACTGCTCTGTGTCAATTACCTTTTGCATATCGTTTTTAATAAAAGCATAATTAAAATAATATAACTGACTTATTAAAAGTTCATCGTTCGAGACTGTCTTTTGCGACAATTCTCACCCAAGTCGTTCTCACCAAGACTTGGGTTGAAAGACATAGAGGTAGATTCGACCTTGAATTCTCAATTTCTTTTAAGTATACTTCACTAGCCGACTCGGTAGTTCAATTTATTTATAATTTTTCAGTCACAACATGATAACAAAGCTAGACGGCAGCCATATTGGAGATTTAACAAAATTAGGATGGTGCAATGCTAGTCACAATCAGATTGGAGAAATAGCAAGGTTTGTATGAATGAAAATAATTGGAAATCACTTTCTTTTTTCATTTTCGATCCAAAAGGCGACTCAATAGTTAATTAAATTATATTTTTGTTTTTCAGAGGAATGTTCGCAAGGAACACAGTAATAAAAGTAGTTCATTTAGATCATAATAAAATAAAAAAATTGGATACCAACAGCTTTAGAGGAATGCGATTTTTAAGGTAAGTGGGAGCTGATGGTACGGTAACCAATATTATATTTTTTTGCTAAAATATGGTCACAATAATAATTGACTTCGAAATATTAAAGAAAATTTATTTGCTGGCAACACACAACTTATATAATATAATACAAAAAAAACATATCTACATAAAATCATTGATCAAATAAACACAGATCACTATGAATAAACGAATTAGAGGGGTGATAGTTGGTCTGGGAAACTAATTTTATACGCAGACGACGACGCGGGCACGTTAGTAAACTCCAGATATATAACCAAAACTTTACTTTCTTTAGCGGTTTTTAACCGACTTCAAAAAGGAGGTGGTTCTCAAGATACTATTTGACAGTATGAAAAATAATGTACCAATTGTTGGCAATTGAATTTAATATGAATATTAGCAGCGATTATTCTATTGAATTTGAATTCTTCATAGTCAGGTGACTGAAAACGCCTGGGATTGGCAATACTAAAATGACGTCACACGCTAGTAAACTTCCGGCCAAATTGTATCGATTGACGTTTTAATGATAGTCGTGTGACATCACACACTAGTGAGATGCTATAATGTGCACAGAAACGAAAAATTTGAATTCGAAATTTAGTTTTTTTTACTTAATCACACAACAGAATTCAAAATAACCACTTTTTATGGACTCCATAAACATTAGAAATTTTAATAATGTGAGATCGTTTTCTAAAACTTGTCAAATACCCTATTCGTCAGTATATTTGTATTTATTTTTATTTGTTGTTTGCGTATATGCATGCCTCGATTTTAATGATTCTTTTTTTTTGTGACTGTTCATCTAGTGTCTTTGTGAAAAATTTACTACATTTATTCAACTATAAGTATGTTTTGTTTTAGACGATTATTCTTAAATGACAATCAGATATCTGACGTCGGAAGGGGCACATTTACAGCGGTCACTAGGATAGGTACAGTGGATTTAGCCAGAAACAAGATCACTAAAGTCGATTATCAGATGTTCCAAGCGGTGAAGTACGCTGAGGTAAGTTGTACACATTTTTAAAAGCTTTTATTTAACTTGCAATGTTTTGTATGTGTTTGTTTGTTTGGATGGAATCTTGTAACTCAATTTTGAAGCAGATGTCTTCATTCGATTGAGCTGAAATTTTGTACACACGCTTAGTTTGTATGACAATGCATGCTGTGTGACTTCATTCAAAATCCAACACCCAAGATGGCGGACTAATTATTTTCAATGCATTCCTACAGTATGGGTATCAAATGAAAGGGCTTGTTGGGAATTACTCTAAAAAAAAGTTGCGGAACACAAATATGGCGGACTTCTGAAGACGCCGAAGACTGTTGAAGAATGATTTTTATGGTCTTCTTCTTTCTATTTTTACGTTCTTCTGTGCATATTGATAAATAACATTATCTCTTATCTATTAGATGAGTCCGTCTGTCCGTGGTGCTGTTTCAGCGGCCAAACCGTAAGAGATAGATAAAGAGAATATTTAAGTTATAAGTTAAGAATAGTCTGATAAGACTACAAACCGGATTTGAGTAACGTAGCACTTCCGGTTTTCGAGAAATCAGGTTTTGGTGAACATTTGATTCACTGGTTTGCTAGTTGCTCTTATGATAAAGATGTTTCTTTTCTCTCTAAATCTCAGAAAAAGTATAAAGCATAGAAGTAAAGTAATGACGTTCGAGCGTACACTCCCATAGACAATAGATTAACGAAAAGATTTCAAAACAGTGCATTTAAACCAACCAAAAAGTATTAGTGGCGTGTCGGTAGGTTTCATTATCAACCAAACTAAATGATTTCTAAATCCATCATGGTGGACGGTCCGCGATGGCGAGTTAGTCATTTTTTGTGCACTTAAATGATACAGGTATGAAAAGAAAGGATTTTTTGAAAATAATACGAATAAACTAATAAACTTACATCTGTGTTCATTTATCATTTAAATAAAAGCTTTTTTTTAATATAAACTTACTAAACTGTACAATTCGTTTACAGCTGATAAACTTAGCAGAGAATAACATTAAAAATATAGAGGCACAAGCCTTTACCGATTTATATTTGGCCGTGGTTAATATATCACACAATGCTGTGTCGAGAATCGAACCCGGCGCGTTCCAGAACTGTAACAATATGACACTGCTGGACTTGAGCTATAATAATTTGACTGATATCAGCAAGAAAGCGTTCGACGAAAACAGTTATGCTTCGGAATTTCAAGTGTCTTATAATGGATTCACGGATTTTGCACAGGTTTGTATTCTTTTTTTAATTTTATTTTTGGTTTCTCAACAGTTGTTACAAATTGTCTTAATATAGAAATTCTTTTCTAAAACTTATTGTGCAACTTTTTAGACAAACACAGCATGCATGATTATTATACTCTTTGTATAAGATTTAATGTTTAAAACTAATGATAAAAACTATCAGCCTTTAATGAATATATATAATAAATGATTTGAGCTTGAACTGTATATATATATATATATATACGAAATCCCAATAAAGAAACTCGGGTTCTCTATCTCTACCTTAACATTTACGCTTCCTGGTGCAAAGCAACAAATCTTTTACTATACTTACTAATATTTCAAATGAACACTTTCGCATTTGTCTGTCTGCTTGTCTGTCAGTTGCCTCTTCACGCTCTACCTGGGCCACATTTGGCATATACCTAGCCAAATATGTCATATACCGAGCCAAATATGGCATTTTATCGCACCACATTTGAAATTATTGAATCATATTTTTGGCCACATTTGTCAAACACTGAGCCCAATTTTACATGAATTGGGTTACATTTGATGATAATTTGTGTGCTACATTTGATACTGTTTAATGTTAATATTATTTGTTCCTTTTTATTAGATTCCGATACAAAACATGACGGGCATAAGAGTCCTGAACGCCTCACACAACAACATCGCCGTAATACCCAGAAACTCGTTTCCGAAATTGTACGAGTTGCATACGGTCGACTTGTCATACAATAATTTGTCTGAGATATACAACGCTGTCTTCCAGAATTTGTTCTCATTGAGGTAAATGTATTTCTAATATAAAATTCTCGTATCACGATGAGCGTAACTACTCCGAAACGGCTCGACCGATTTTCGTGAAATTTTATGTACATATTCAGTAGGTCTGAGAATCTTTCCAGAGAGAAAAAAAAATTTTTCATACTCCTAAATGTAAAGGGTACTCCTAAATTTTATTTTTGGACATTTTTTTTGTTTTTATTTTTTTATGATACATCATACAAAAACACATACAACCCTAAATTTAACCCTTCTACCACCCATATTTTATGGCGATACGAAGTTCGCTGGCACAGTTAGTATATATATATATATATGTGTGTGGGTACAATATATACATGTATGTACATATACATATTTTATTTACTAGCTATAAGATAAAGAGAGAAAGAAAATGTGCGCGCGCACTGCTTTCTCTTGCTTATATCCCCCACTCAACTATGATTCGCCTCGCCCGAACACACTTTTCGTAACAAGCGTGCGTAAAGAAGTTTCACTTCCATTAATAAAGTGCAGGCGATTTGTAACACTAATAGATCTTTCATTATACTTTGGCATATAGATAAGACAGGTAGATAAGAATTTTATTAAAAGAATAGTAGATATACACAGACTCTTCTGCTTTGAATTTTCAACATATTTTACTTATCCGTAGATTCCTTAATCTGAGCCACAACAGCATGGAGCGTATAAAACCTTCCACGTTCGGTACGATTCCTACCGTGTTGGAGTTGGATCTGTCGCACAACTTGTTGGCCGACGTGTCGCGTGGTGGATTGGCCAAGTTGGCCAGCTGCAGAGTGTTGGATATAAGCCACAACCTACTGGACAGAATATTCCAGATCCCCATCAGTTTAGGGTAAGTGGTCGATTAAATACCAAAAATCAGGGCAAATTTTGGCTCGTCAAAAAATATGAACAGTATACGTAACAATAGACCGAATTTCGTTATGTAGAGATTTCAATTTTGCACAAAAATATTGTAGGTAGTCCATATAAAACTATCTATTTGACACTTTTAATAACAAAAATAATATTAAAGATTACGTATTGCAGTGAGCACAGTTTGGCTCACAATGACCAGTCTGTGGTCAGATTTCTTTATTTGTCCATGTTAATAAATTAAATAACATTAATCTTTATTACGTTATACAGAGAGCCCAATTTCACTCACATCCACCAGTCTGGGTTTGGGACCCTTTTTAGGTTTATTTGTTAATACATATTACTAAAACAATAAAATTGAACTTTATTACCTACTGCAAAGAGCTCAATTTCGCTAACAACAACCAGGTTGTGTTTAGGATTCATTATTTGTCACAATACATATTAATAAGCCAGTAGGATTCATCTTTATTACTTATTGCAGAGAGCTCAATTTTGTTTACAACATTTTTTTACTAAGACCTTTTATTTGTGAATGTTCATAAACGACTTACCATAATCGTAAATCAATATAATTAGATCTTATTACTTATTGCAGAGAGCTCAATTTTCTTACAAAAACTTTTTACTTAGACATTTTATTTGTCAATGTTAATAAGCGAAATAGCGTATTTGTAAATCAATGTAATTCAATCTTATTACTTATTGCAGAGAGCTTAATTTCGCTCACAACAACTTGTCTGAGATAAGGGCCAATACTTGGCCTTCCATGAACGCGTTGCTTAGACTCAACGTGTCACATAACAACATAGCGGATAACTTGGAGAGTGGTAGTTTTAGTAGCTTGCTGACATTACAAGCACTCGATTTGTCTAGCAATGGAGTTAGTAGACCGCCATGGGAAGCTTTAAATACGATGTCCAGTTTGCAGTATTTGTATTTGCAGGTAAGTGATATAATGTAGGTTCGTGGTTATATATGAGTAAGTTCGATGCTTCAAAATGTCAGAAATAGCATGTTGCAACTGTCATATTGACTCTTGTAAATTTGATTTATGTTAACAAGCGTTAGTGTCGCCGCACACAGGCCACCGACCATAACCACAAAACGCCGCCAAGGGCATATTTCTTGTAATTTTAATACATTTTATATGGACTCGCCACACACGGTACGCCGCTGGCCGCCACACGCTACAAATCGTCGTTGCTCGCTTCTTGTGGCCCGCACCGGCCACTTAATGCGCCGATATAAAACGGCGCCACACGTCACTCGCGCGATTCCCCACCCCTCTCTCCCTTGCCTTAGTCGGCTCGCGCGATTACCGCACTTGTATCATAAATTACTATTACAGTGCTTAATTTAGGGCTAGGCTAATTTGGTGTCAGAGTCAGATGTATTTATTTAATAACGCAGACATCGTAACTCCTAAAGTAATATACTTATACTTTACAGTTTATTTTTTTCAGGATAACAACCTAACTTCCCTATCTAAGTCTGCCTTCGGTAATCTCCCTACCATGTTCAAGCTTGACTTGTCGCGCAACATGTTGTCTTCTATCGAGCAGCGTTCCTTCAATGGGATGCAACAATTATTGGATCTGTCATTGAGCGGGAACATGTTGGAACATATTCCTAATGAGGCTTTCAAAGGATTGGTCGCTTTGAGGTAAGATCACAACTTTAAACATCCTACCGTATGAACTGCAAGAAGCGGCAAAAAAATATCTACTATATATGGTAGATATTCTCGTCGCTGCACACGCATCATTGACTGCTTTTGTACAATCTGAAATTAGTAACTTACTCATTAGACGAAACACGAGCCGTTTTCTTTGCGTGATATATATGTATTTGGATTTCTCTATTTAGGCATATAAATAAATCAAAGGTAAATCCCAACATGTAAATTAAGTAGTTGTGAGTAAGTAAATGTGTATAGTATAAGAATAATGAAAGAAAATAAGATTTAATGAGTACTAAAAATTGTTATAGCCAATAAGATACAATGTAAATAATAATTAGTGAGAAAATAACAAATTACAAAAATTATATTTCTTTACTTATGTATACATTGGTGTCGATTCTGGTCGAATCATTCTCTAAACCTCAACTTAAATTTGACAACAGTGTATCCTTGTCATTCTCTCTCTTTTCAGAATGAAAAGAAGATACTGATGTTAAATTTAGTTTAAAGTTTAGAGAATTACGCCAGAATCGACACCATTGCTTATATATACAAGGTAGCCAGCGCAGTAGCAATTTAACATACAAAATCGTGTTTTGCGCAAATTTATTATTTCTGTGTTTTTGCTCAGGAAGTTTTTTGCGACGTATACCTATTGTATATATTATAAATATGTATTTAAATTATACAATTAGTTGAAATTAATATTAAAACTATTTTTGTCAGGAAACTGGATTTGTCTCATAACCTCTTGGAGAAAATTGACAACAAAACTAACGGATTATTAGACGATTGTCTCTCTCTAGAAATGGTAAGTAACCATAGATTAGGTGCGATTAGTAGTACTCATAGATGTAAGTCGTTTATCGCCTCATATGTGCTTTATGCTGATAGTCTAATTAATACATACAATCGTGTACATTATGAAACGGCGTTTTCGATAAATTGTTGTTTAAAAAAATAAAAAAATATTTTTATCGTATGAGTGTAAGTAAGCACTGTAGGCTTGTGTAATGGGATACTAGGGCAACGGTAAGAACGGTAATATAGAAATACATATTAAACATCCATGACTGGAGTACAAATGAATGTATACAATTCTCGTGTCATAGTGTTTGTTACAAAACTGCTCCGAAACGGCATGACCGATTCTTATGAATTTTGTGTGTATATTCAGTAGGTCTGAGAATATGACGTAAGTAAACTATTTTTTAAATGTTCAATACTTATAAAGATATTCATTAAACATTGTGGGTTACCTACAATGCAAAGAGATGGCGCTGCCTTGCAGCCTAAGAAATACGTGAGTAAATTCGACACAGCTATTAGGGCCGCGGTAGCATAATCGTCGGTGCATCCGTCAGAAACGCGAAGGGTGCGGGTTCGGGTCCCGTCTGCCTTATCCGCATGGAATTTTTTCTAGTAAAATTTTCTTAACATTGATTAATTTTTTTTCTTCTGTCGTAAGTAGAATTAATATATTATTCCATTCCAGGTAAATCTAAGCCACAATAAATTCGGTTTCCTAACCAAAAAGATGTTCCCGTACAGCCCATGGATACCGTACAGGCTGCAGGAAGTGGACTTGAGTCACAACGAGATACCTGTCATCACATTAGATTTGACATTCGGCACTAAGAAACTGAAAAAACTCAATTTGTCCGGCAACATTATAAACGATGTTAGAAGTCGTAAGTTTGGAAATCTTTAATTTTATTTTATCATCATTCATCAGCTTATTAATGCCATAAGCCAGTGGAAAACAGGTGAAGGATGCCGGCAAACGAAATACGCAGTTCCAGAAGCAAATAAGAGACTTGCCTGCACCCTTACCAGACTTAAAAGCGACAAACTCCGCATAATTATAGGTACCCTAACTGGTCATTGTCCCCTAAACAAACACTTATATAAATAATAATAAATAAATAAATATTTCCAACACTTACACCAATTAGCCTAGCCCCAAAGTAAGCACTGTAAGGCTTGTGTTATGGGATACTAGGATAACGGATAGAATACATATACAGTACATATATAAGTATATTTATATAGAAATACATATTAAACATCCATGACTGGAGTACAAATGCTCGTATTCATCACACAAACATCTGCCCCCACCGGGATTCGAACCCGGAACCTCTCGAGTCGGCGATACCATGAAACCCGGCGTACAAACCACGCGCCCACGGAGGTCGTCGATATACAATAGGAGTAGCTGTCAGCCTCCTATGCAGAGGGTGTATGGAGGCAGAAGAAACGCCACAGCAACGGGCACGACTTCTCCAGTCGCCAGCATCACTTCCGGAAGCTTGCAGGAGTCTGCCAAAGCTGCTTTCCTTCTGGACTAACTTAGGCTGGCTGGAGTACAATGGTCCAAGGATAAGGACTAAGTGCGGAAGCCGCCCTGAAAAACTAAACTAAACTTATTAATGCCGCTGTACATGTCCCGACTGCATTACTCTACGAAGGAAGAGGAGATCGTAAAGTACCCGCCAATAAAGACCAAGTTCTCCCTGAGGGTAGCACGGTTGGAGTCCCGTCACAGTGGGAATTTTAATTCCTTCGTCGTGAGGGAGCTAACCGAACATCTGGCGACTTTCATGAAGGCAGGTCTTTGGCCGAAATGTGTTGTGTTCATAGAGGTAAAAGAATAGAGTAGGGAAGGCGGCTCTAAAAGTGTCCGTCTAGTAGAAAGAGAAAGAGGATGAGAGACCGCTAGTTATCTCTCTCTCTTGTGACGCATGCGCAGTCGTCTGTCCAATAGTTGGTCCAAGCATCACATCGAAATAGTAAGATGCTTGTACGGGTGCCATTGCACATGCGCGATTAGAGAGAGAAAACTAGCGGTCTCTCGTCTTCTTTCTCTTTCTATTAGAGGGACACTTCCACTTGTAGTAGAGTCTATATCTCCCCTACTCTATTCTTATACCTCTATGATTTTAATTCCACTTAACATCAGGTGGGGTAGAGTCATTTGCCTACCTAGCTATAAAAAAAATCCTTCGTCGTGAGGGAGCCAACCGAACATCTGACGACTTTCATGAAGGCAGATCTTTGGTCGAAAGGTGTTGTGTTCTGGCGGTTATGAGGCCGGTTACCTGACACCACTCCGCGTTACACGTCGCCGTCTTTACGTGTTAATTAGGATCTTACAAACATAGTTTTATTTACTAACAACCATCATTATCATGAGCCTATTAATGTTCCCACTGCTGGGGCACAGGTCTTCTAAGAATATTGGGCCGTGACCCATCACGCGGGCCCAATGCGGAATGGCGGGTGGTAATGACTGCAGATGCAGCCTGGACCAACCGCTTAACGTGCCTTCGGAAGCACGGAGAAACTCGAGATAGAAGCTTTTTGGTGACTCATCCAATCCAGTGGTCGGTCACCACTGCGAAAGTTGCTTAACTTCAACGATCGCAGCCGAACGCGTAGAAGTAGAAGTTTGTTGCTTAAAATATCAATATAATTAAAATAAGTCACTATTTATTTTTTGGTTTGCAGATGTATTGGGCAATTTGACGTCCCTGGAGATTTTAGACCTGTCTTACAACAACTTAAAAGATCTTGTTTCTAGAACTTGTAAGTAGAAAAGTCTTTTATATTTAAGTATATAGCTACAAATTATGCATGTTTCCTCAGAACAAGAATTTAATCATAGAAATAGTTCAAGCTAAACTCGTAAAATCGACTCATATAGTTATCTTATTTTTCATATAGACCACAAAGATATGTGTTGCTATTAACAGCGTCCGTACCGCTATACAAAAGGCAAATTGGAAAACTTCGAATCAAAAAGAACGAAACCACGTGACTTGATGAAGCATTAAATAAATATTTCCAACACACACCAATTAGCTTAGCTGGGGTTTAGTAAGCACTGTAAGGCTTGTGTTATGGGATGCTAGGGTAACGGATAGAATACATATACTGTACATATATAAGTATATTTATAAAGAAATACATATTAACCATTCATGACTAGAGTACAAATGCTCGTTTTTATCACACAAACATGTGCCTCCCACCGGGATTTGAACTCTCTCGAGTCGGCGACACCATGAAACCCGGCGTATATACCACTCGGCCACGGAGGTCGTCATTAAATTTATTTAACGATTCTGAGTAAGTGATTCTATGTTTTATTTCTTTTAGCCGAAGCCAAATTCGCTTTGCCCGAAAACATAACAGAACTGTACCTACAAAATAACGAATTAGAAACGCTACCTATAGACGTTATAGTTCGCAGCAACCGATTGAAAGTGTTAGACGTGAGGGACAACAAACTTAATGCCTTGGAACCTGAAATAATCTCAAGGATCAGGAATGGATTGACTGTCAAGTATCAAGGTAATTAATATCGTTTTTCAATTTAATTCGGATAAAATGTAATTGTAATCAAAATATATATATTTATATTTTATATATAAAATTCTCGTGTCACAATGTTAATAGCATACTCCTCCGAAACGGCCTGACCGATTTTTATGAAATTTTATATGCATATTCCGTGGGTCTGAGAATCGGCTACTATCTATTTTTTATATCCTTAAGTGATAATGATTGTCCACCTGTAACGTAGTGTTCTGAAACCTACAATGCGCCTTCGCACCGAAATTCAAACTATTGGGTATTGTAACATAGTGTCCTCATGTGGGTTAGGAGGAATGTTATCCTAGGAAATTGATAGAACACTGCGTTACACACCCCTAAATTTTTTTTGGGCAATATTTATTTTTTTATAATGTGGTATTAAAAATACATACATACATACCTAAATTTTCTCTTCTACCACCTGCCCCTATTTTTATGGCGGAATTAATGTATAAGTACATTATTTTTACACCAATTATGAAGTTTAGAAGCAACGATATTTAATTACCCTTGATACAACAACACAAACAAAATCGTACCCGAAACCTGTCCAAAAGGTGCATTGGACAGTCCACGGACCTCCGAGGGATGAACGCGTAATCAAAAACGATATAAGGCATTATTTAAACACTCAAAGGCACCTTTAATGCTAAGTATATAATGTCTTAATTTAAATGCACGCGTCAAACAGTAACGACAGTTCGAAATGCAAGCTCGTAAAATTTTACGAGTTGTTGCTATAGGCGGAAGAATTTAGACTTTAATTCTTTGACTCTACCTGTAATTCTGAATGCGCTGGTTGGCAATATAACAGGTACGGCGCGCAACGAAAAGATACGGCTATATAACCGACCAGGCCTTTGAATATCACAAATATTTTCTATTAAACCAGTTTATTATAGTAAGCATTATTTTTAACAGCATTTTCATCAAAGCTTTAAATTAACAAACAATGAATGACCTGTCGAAAAAACGACATTTACGTAATATAAGTATTTCTTTCGAATTATTTCACTGAGCATGTTGACTTTTCAATGGTCCATGCGTGGCTATGAAGCAAAAAGTGCTTCGAGTGATGTTCAAGCACTTTTTGGTTGGGACACATTTCGACCACTCGCGGTGTATCTAGGGTATTAAATATCGTTGTTTAGAAGTAAAAATGACCATACTCACTATCGATGCATTCTAAGCGTCATCTAAATAACTGTTTCTTAAACAAGTGGTACCTACTTTAAATTGTCCTCATATTTAAATTGGTTGTTTTATTTATTTTATCCCCTTATAAAAGTTATTTAATGCTTTTAATTTGTATTTGATACAGGAAACGGGTTAAATTGCAACTGCTTTGTCCGTCCTTTGAAGCACTACTTACATAAGCTGTTACCCTCCAGTCTCGAATCGACCCCATACAATTTGACTTGTACGGAACCACCTAGCTTGCAGGACGAGTCGTTATTGACTGTAGACGAAGAAAGGTTGTTGTGCAGTGGCAGTGTTGCTATGGATAAAAAGAAACTCGACTATGGTAACACCGAAGGGGAGATTTTGTACGAGTTCGAGTCGGAACCGGATTTGGTGTTCAGGGATATACAGTAGTAAGTTTTCTTCCTTATACAAGACTTGTAACGCTGTGTCGTCCATATTTTACTATTAAACATTGCCAATGGCATCTGACAAATATAAGAAAAAGATCCCACAAGATTTACAATTTTTTATTGAGTTCGTAAAAATAATATATTGATTCTGTTATGTATTTAAGTAAAAACACTAAATAATAAAAAAACAAGTTGCCGAGATAACTTTTCTTTATCTAGAGATCTATTATAGCGTCTCACTGGCGTATGATGTTACACGACTGTCATTTAAAAAACGTCAAACGATACAGTGTAATGTCACTTTGACCGGAAGTTTACTGGCGCGTGACGTCATTTTAGTGTTCGCGTTCGACACTTAAAATCATTTTTATTACAGAAAAGTGTCATTATTTATTCTCTCACAATAGTGAAATCAATATTCATATTTAATACAGATTTCAACAATTGGTATTTTATTTTTCATACTTTTTTTTTTTTTTTCTTTTATTTTGGCAACAAACAGTCATATATTTTACAAAAGTTACTTATGTTAAACATTTTTTTATGAAATAGACCTAACAGTGCCTAAACACAATATTAAAACAGTTCTGAAGTTAGGACATGGTCAGCTAATGAAAATACAAAATTAAACTATTACAGTACACTAATGTATGACGAAATATTTATACCATATGCATATACATATATATGTGTCTGTGTACACACACATATATATACATACGCACTTTATTTTTATTTCAAGCCTCTCCTGACAGTTTTACATTAAGTTTACTTTTAAATGTAGCAAGAGACATATTAAAGAAATCTAATTCAGAGAATTCCTCGTTGTACGTGTTGGTGGAACGATAAAAGAATGTGTTTCTCGTATATATTTTTTGACGTTTCGGTGGAACAAACAGCGGTAGTGTACGTGAGGAGCGCATAGGAAGTCGAACTCGACATGGAAATCGAATATTTTCAAGGAGTGCGGACGAATCTATAAGCGAGTTCAGTATTTTATAAAGAAAAGTAATGTCACAGATTTTTCGGCGATTACGCAGTGTGGTCATCTTATAGACTTCTAAGGATTTTTCGTATGTATCATTTACAAAATTATTACGATAATTTAGAGATCTTAAGAACTTTTTTTGAACTCTTTCAAGTCTGTTGATGTGGACATTATAATAGGGGTTCCAAACAGTGCTACCAAACTCAAGAACAGAGCGAACAAAGGCAAAATACAGGGTTATGAGTGTTTTTGTATTTCTAAATGGTTTACTTACTCTAAGAATGAAGCCCAATCTCTTATATGCAGCGGCCACAATGCAATCAATGTGATAATTAAAGGATAACTTTGAGTCCATCATTATTCCTAAATCTCTTATACGGTCCATCCTTTTCAGAGGTTTGCCATTTATATAATAATTAAAATGAATTTGGTTCTTCTTACGAGTGTAGGATATAACGTAGCATTTGTCAATGTTTAGAAATAATTGGTTATTTGTGCAGTATTTACTTAAAGATTCCAGGTCTGCTTGCAATTTAATAGCATCATCTTCAGATTCCACAATCCTAAATATTTTCGTATATCGTCTGCATAAAGTAGATGATGACTGTGGTTAAAGACGTGGCCAATGTCATTTATATAAAAAGAAAATAGCGGAGGGCCTATATGTGAGCCCTGTGGAATGCCTGATGGTATTGGGAGGAACTGTGACGAGAATCCCTTGATGCAAACTGACTGGCTTCGATTCTGAATGTAGGACTGTATCCATCTCAGTGGTAATCTACTGAGATGGATACAGTCCTACATTCATGTATGCCGGCTGCTAAAAGCTTATTAATAAGAGTATTATGATTAATTTTATCGAACGCCTTCGAAAAGTCAGTATACACTACGTCCACTTGAAGATTTTTATCCATAGCCTGTGCAAGGTAGTCTGTAAAAGTTACCATGTTACTATCAACGCTCCGCAGCCTGTAAAAGCCATGCTGATGGGGGGAGATAAAGCTGCGAGCCGCCTGGGCAATACCTTCAGTTACAATTTTCTCTAAAATTTTACCTAAGATACATAGTTTAGAGATGGGCCGATATTCAGTTACAATATCTTTATTATTATTCTTTGGGATTGGGGTCACCAAAGCAGACTTCCATTTAGTAGGAAAGACACCAGTCTCCAAAGATGTTTTATAAATAATAGTCAGAGGTTTGGTGAGTTCTCTAGCGCAGCGACGGATGAAAATTGGGTGAATACTGTCAGAACCAGCACCTTTGTTTATGTTTAATTGATTTAGTTCTGTAAATACACGAGATGAATTGACTTCAACTGAGTTAATATCAAGATTTGTCTGAACGCTATAACTACAATCATGTATTGGTTGGCAAGGGTTGGAGGTAATAAAAACAGAGTGAAAATACTGATTAAATGCCTCGCATATCTCAGTGCCAGTAGAGAATAACTTATCATTGTACCACATTTTAGATGGAATATCACCCGTGGCCTTTTTTGACTTGACGAAGGACCAGAATAACTTTGGATCTGTATTAATATTTTTTTCTGAGAATTCTATGTATTGGTTATGACAGCATTCATTCATCCTCTTAAAGCGAGCCCTTAATTTGGAAAAAATGTGATAATCATAATGATTGCCATATTTTCTCCATTTTTTGTGGAATTTGGCTTTTTCCTTGCTTAATTTAATAAGAGGAACAGTAAACCAAGGGGGATATTTTTGCTTTAAATTTAATTTACTTCTGGGTACATGTTTAATGATTAAATTGTCAATAAAATTATAAAAATGGCTTACCATATTATCCACGTTAATCAAACTATTTAAAGTATCCTCCCAGTCAACAGATTCCAAGGCTGATTTAATAGAATCGAAGTCGGCTTTATGAAACTGTAATTTAATATTTTTTGAGAAATTAAGCGGCGGAGATACATTTAACTTAATGCAGATTTCCAAAGACTTATGGTGCGGATCCTCTGGCACTAGAGGATGATTACAGGAGGAAACCATACACTGAACATTACAAAAAACTAAATCCAGTATCCTATTGTTCCTATTAAACTGTGAATTAAATTGTAGCAGGGCAGAAATGTTCATAAAATCTGCTGTGAGACAGGCTAAGTTATTATTATTTGTGAATAAATCCATAGAATTATTATTTTTAAACCAATGGGCGTAAGATACATTGAAGTCCCCTAATACCAAAAATACGTCATCTGGATTATGAATGATGAATTCGCTCACTCTGTCATAGAAAGTACTTAACAATGACTCGTGATTAGCACTGTGTGCTATATAAGTGCAGATTATATGCAATTGACGTGAAGCGATCGAGGCGGACGGGGCATCCGTGTGCAGTGGCACTGAGAGCCATACCTCTTCGGCTGGCGGAGCCGCACGCACGTCTGCCCGATGTGTCGGGCGCAACTTACGATCCACAGCTATTACTACGCCGCCACCTCTCTCACAGTTACTAGCTGCAACACTACGGTCGCATCTAAATACTTCATAGCGTGCATCAAAGTACTCGGAACTATAAAAGTTTTTATTAAGCCAAGACTCCGTGACGCAGACAATATCATAATTATTATTTAGTACAGCTTGCAGAAAAGAATGTGACTTTGTGCGTAAACCCCTCACGTTCTGATAATAAATAGAAATATTAGTGTTATCGAATTGTGTAATATTTAAAAGTGATATGAATAGTGTTGTTCCACCAACAAGAGAACGAGATTTTGATTAAAACAAACAACAAAATATAACACGAAAAAGTAATGAATCGATTTAACATTAAAACAAAATCCTTAATTATCAATAATTGTGCATGCGATAAAGGGTAGGTAAATAGTCATTGTATTTTAGACAAATCATGTTCATTAGAAATGTAAATCACTTTAGATGAGTCACTCTTGCGTATTAGGATCTTACAATCGGAAAGCCATACATACTTAAAGCCCCTATCCTTAGCGAGGTCGCGAACTTTTTTAAATAAAAATTTATTTTGTGGGGTAAGGTGGTCGTTGGCGAAAATCGGCTTTGATGGACCGTCCAGGCCTGCGTCGACAGTTGTTAATCCACGCCGTTTACGAACCGCTGCGAGCGTCTCATTTTTACGGTACCTTTGTATAAATCGAACGATTATGTTAGGAATGGTGGATGATTCTTCTGAAGGCTGGTCATCAACCAACTCCGCACCGCTCTTAATATTTGATGCAAAACGGCGAACCCGATGAACATAATCAATATCGGATACAGCCAAAGGGAAACCTATCTTCGCAGCTATGTTGTTTTCAATAGTTACTAGATTTTCGCCTTTAAGAACAGGTACTCCGGATATCTCGAGATTATTAAGTCTGCCCTGCTGTTCCTTGACACATAGTTGATCAGATAAGGATTGTATTGTTTGTTGCATTTCCAGTGTTTTTTTAGTGACTGAGTCGACTTTTTGTGTATTTACCACGCTGGTCGACTTTAACTCTTGTATTTCACTCTTTATAGCAGAACATTCAGTTGCTAAATTTATAAACTTCTTGTTCATATCCTGCATATCCTGCTTGAACACACTCAAATCATTATGTAAGGCATCCAAAGTTTCTCTTATATTATTATTTTGGATTTCTAGTGTGGAGGTAAAAGAGGCCATCAGGTTATTTTGAAATTGAAGTAACTTATTGTCCAAATCACAACTACATTCCGGTGTTTTTCTTTTCCTAAGAGGTATATTACAAATAGTGTCTTCACGTAATTTAGACAAGTCGGGATGTCATGTTCATACTGTCAAATAGCCTAATTATGTTATTGCTGATTACAAATTTTCTGTACACAGCTCACAGGAAGCCATCTACGCTCACTGGTATGTATCCAGCATCGAAGATATAGCAGATTTTTATCTTTACGTTAGGGACAGTAAGAATAACCTGATATTCAGCAACGATATATCATACAACCTGCGCTCGAAAACAATAGCCTTAGACGAAGATTTCAAAACGACACTCAAAACTGGCGCCCATCTTGAAGTCTGCATTCAGGCAAAGACTTCTAGCAATCTCCCGCGCAAATGGTTTGACAGTCAATGTCAAAAGGTGCCCACGGATTTTGACAGCTGGCCGAAAAAGTTGAACGTAGACAAGAGAAGATTGACCAAAAAGAACAAGGTAAGGTACAGTTGGTTCTCAAGAAATAATGTTCTTGGTTTGGTTAGTGATTCGATTTTGATCACCCTGTGTATATTCTTAGGAGTCTGCCTGAAATTATCGGACTTGCACATGACGTAATAGTATTTTTATAGTTTTTTTTATTATATTAATTTCGGCTATTATTTGTAGCCTTATTGAGTCTGATTGCTATTGTTATACACAATATTTTTTTACTATTTTATTTTAAGATGACGAAGAAATTAGGTTTTGTATTAAAAACCGTTTTTTAGACTTTGAAATTTATCTCGAAATTGAGTAGAATGATATCTATAGCGTAATTTTGATGCATTTTTTTATATAAACGGAGTCTCACATAACAGTTATATAACGTTATTTGATATTATACAGTCCGATAACATATTGTAACTGTAATTAACGATATTTTCATACAGAATACAGTTTAAAATATTGTTATGGATTTTTATCAGTTATTTTAATTTCATATGTAAATGTTGTGTGAGTGAGTCTGTTGAAAATAATAAACATCACAATCAAGAGATTGGTATTATTAAGTATAGACGTAAAGGCAACTATATTTTTATTAAGAACTTGTTCAAAATCATAAAACAAAAAACTAGCGACCATCCCTAGTATTCGCAAGGGTGTAATTCACGAATTTATTAAATTTTATGTGTTCAGATCACAATACCAAAAAAAAACTATGAATAAGGGATTTTTACAGATTTTTTGTGGACTTTCCAACAATTTTCATACTGAATATTACGAACACACTATAAAAGGGTTACCCTTATAATTGAGGAGCTTGCGAACAAAACGGTATAATTAAGCATCTTGTCAAACTACTTTTTTTAACAGTCTGGAGGTTTCGGGCCCGTTGAATTTGAATCTCAAAAAAATTTTCAATCAAAACCGCCTACATAAGTATAAACAGTATTAATATTACTAAATTTGTGTTTTAAAAACCATGCCAAAAGCTCACTGTAGCTATGTCAAATAGTTTTTTAACAGCTCATGTAAAATTTTATTTTATATAATTATACCGTTTTGTTCGCCAGGTCCTCAATTATTATGCCGGCATTTAACTTTTCTATTCGTATTTGCTATTTGTAAACTTGTCAACTTTTTATCATGCTTTATAAGGGTTGAAAAGGACAGACTGATGTGAAGTTTACAAATAACGAACACGTATTGAAAAGTGCAGGGCGGCATTAGATGATATTCCATCTTTCACGCATAGAGGTATAAGAATAGAGTAGGGGAGATATAGACTCTACTACAAGTGGAAGTGTCCCTCTAATAGAAAGAGAAAGATGATGAAAGACCGCTAGCTTTCTCTCATCTCAAGCATCTTAGTATTTCGATGTGATGCTTGGACCAATTATTGGACAGACGACTGTGCATGCGTCACAAGAGAGAGAGAGAGATAGCTAGCGGTCTCTCATCTTCTTTCTCTTTCTAATAGACGGTCACTTTTAGAGCCGACTAACCCGTTCTATTCTTATACCTCTATGCTTTCACGAGGTAATAACGTGGCTTTATGTGTGTATTACCTCGTTATAAGGGCGAAATTTGTAGTGAAATTATGAAATATTATCAATGATGTGACTGTACTTGGTTAGGTATATTTTGACACTTTGGTGCTAATAACGAACTTGAACTGTTTTCTTTGTTAATATTTTTTACTATTGGAGTCTTCGAACATGACATAAAGCATAGTAGTAATGCTGTGACGTTTGAGTGTACTACAGACTAAATGAATGTAATGTATTAATTTAGAGCTCGGAGTCACAAAGTCGATAATTGCTTTAGCTGCATCTCAGAAATGGGCAATCTTTTGTTGTTCAGAAGAAGATCATTTTGTACTTACACATAATTAATATTTACTTTTATACTTAAAAATTATATTGTGTTTTGAGATTAGTTAAATTTAAATCTTATTAATCATTGAAAAATTATCGGTGCAAAGGCTTTTTGGCATGCCCAATACTTTCTGAACCAATGTATTCATTGTAAACAATGTTTAGGAAACAATGTTGCTGAAACAACACGTAGATGTTTACAGAAACAATGTTTCTGGAACTTGGCCGTCCACATCTCAATTGTTTCAAATATATCGCCTGAGGATGTATTCCTGTCAATTTAAAAACGATGTTGTCGTCCCATACTACCTTCATGTATATAAACAACACAGCAAAGGTCCACATCTGAAGGTTGATTTTGAATAAAATTTCACTTCCAATTTGGGTAGCTGCCATTTTAGACATTAGTTTGATATGCTCCTCTTACGCTAGTTGGTTTATTACTGACTGGCTATTGCTTTCGACGCAGTACAAGTGCACATACACCTTAATTACGCCATGACACGGCTATGTCTGTAGCAGCAGTAAGCAGCCAGTATTAGATATTTGTTTAAAATCCGAATAAATGACATTTTAAGTGAGATTGCAAAAACTCATTTGTTTCCATGCTCTCCTCTCCAATCGGGGAGCGCAAAAACAAAGCGAGAAACACGTAGTGTTTACCGCAACCCTTTCTTATGTTTCAGAAACATATTAAATTGGTTCAGAAACACGAAGATTTTGTTTTAAAACAGTGTTTATAAACAATTGTTTCTCTGTAAATACATGGCTCTACTGTCTCATGTCAAGTACATTCCATATGAACAGGGTAATATTTAAACTGATATTACAAAAAAAAACTTCATATGAACAATTAAATGTATAACTAGTGAATGTTGTCGAAAGTGGTAAACGTTTTTGTCAATCAATAATTTATATGCTCACTGTATCATTTTATAGTATAAAAATAATTAAAAAAAAAAACAGGGATAAAATAATTTCTAGTTTTTTGGCAAACGATTCACTATAAAGTGCATCTCATAAAAATTTGGAGTCTGCCGGAGACTGATTACTATCCTCATTACTTGATATAAGATCACAAAAGCCTATTTGACAATTGTTTTGGAAACGTTCATATACTATTATAATATAATATAGGATTGAAAAAAAAATACAACTGGATCATCGCAAAATTTTGGCTTTAATTTTGTTTCTCTACACCTTGTATTATAACTATTGTAAATAACATTATATGTAATTTCGAAAATGAACCTTATCAAGAAAGCTGTAAAGGTCGATATAGTGTGACTTTTATTTTTATTTTTACACACATTGGACTTTATTCTGGTATGAGTATCTATATTTGAAATTAAAACAGCATGCTTGCATCTCCTTTTAATTATTTATAGAATATGATATGGATATACTTCATGTAAACATAGCTTGAAAGAAAATACTTTACGTAGTTTGTTTGTTTTGAGATTACGCGAACAGACAGACAGACGCGGCGTTAGACTTTGATTTATATTATGTAGTGTTACCAGAATTAGGTCCATTGGTTTTTGATAAACTTACTTAATATGACAAAATATGGCAAACTATTATGTGATTTGTACTGAGAATCTCAAATGTGTTCGGACCGAGAAATTATATTTTATACATAAACGGAAGTTATTTTATATTTTACTGAGTATTCACATTGAAAGTATGGAAATTTAAGCATTTAATTAAAAAAAGGTATGAAGCACTATGTGATTGAGTGATATCTTTCATCTTGCTGATAACTTGTAGACGCAAAATACCGCAATACTATTACATATATATTGAATAAAGTTACCAGAGAATCTAAAATATTTTGTGGGTAAGCTTAAAATTATATGTATTAATTTTATTTATTAGTTTATTTTTCAAAATTCAAAATGTAAAGATATTCGAGATTTAGAACCCTCCAGTAGCTCCTATTCAAAAGACTGACGATTTTGTTTTTGCTGCCCTAGACATTCGGCCCTACATAGATGGCTCAGGTATAGTGGGAGTACTTAACTACGTGCAAGGTTGCTCCCCATATGTTATTCTGCCGCGCTCTAAACCCAAAAATCACCGCTTGGGCTCCCCTACTATTATGAATGAGAGTGAAAGATACTACTTTAGTGCACTCTATTGGCGGCGGTCGCCAAGGGAAGTTGGGGCGGGGACTACTTGTGCCATTTTAAAACGCAATAATGTTGGCGTGTTACCTGTCTATATATTATACGTCATACTTCATTGCCAAATTTTGTATGGAAAAATCTAGTTTGTTCTTTTGTCCGATAGATTATGCTTAGTTTTCATAGAAACTTTACCCATGCTATACGATTAAGGAGCTGTTGAAATTCTTGTTTGGGCTTCAAAACAATTCTGAATGAGCAAACATTTTTTTCGCTCGCTAAATGGAATGCTCAGAACAAGTGTTCGTGCTGTTGCGTTGTTTCCATTAGTGATTGAGCAAGAAAGCATTCGTTCACAGAGTCCTGTCAAACATCGTTTAACGAACTCGTTCGCTCACTTTGGTGTTTCCATTCACCGAGCGAGTAAATGTTTGCTCGCTCAGTTTTGTTCTGAGCAAGTACTAAATGGAAACACTGCATTAGAAAAATATGGTTGTGTGAGTTACATAATGGTGTAGATTCTGGTACGATTCTCTAAACTTAAAACTAAATTTAACATCAGTCTCTCCTTTTCATTCTGTATAGAGAATGACAAGGATGCACTGTTGTCAAATTTAAGTTTAGGTTTAGTGAATCATACCAGAATGGACACCAATAAAATGTATTATTTTAAGGAGAAAAATGAAAATCCGTCCATAAATATATTTTATAATTTTCTTTATTAAAAATAAGTTATTAATTATACATCGCAAAATTTGTACACTTTTTTATAAATAATAAATATTTATTTTACTAAAAATAAATGCATTCTGTTTAACCCTTCCACCGCAATAACACACACAAAGTGTATCACACACGTGTTACCTTAAATTAACAAAATTTGATAATAGTCTTTTTTAATAAAAGCTTTAACAACGTCAACAGCGTGTTAAACCTTCACGTATAAAGATATCAAAATAGTTTGAATATCATTTGAGCCTTTTGTTAGCCCCAAATACAAATCAAAAGGGAGATTTAAATTTTCTGACAGCTATGAAGTTCGGAACGAACGCAACTATGCGCCGATACAGTCGGGAAAACAACGTTATATCACCGCAATTTGCTCTAACTTCACAGCGCATAGTTTTCATCGTTACAATGGATTTTGAAGAGATTTAATTTATTATTATAATTATCGCTAAGGGACAAGTCAAGCTATGGGGGCTAATATGTATAATGGGGCATAGTTAAGTATGTATGGTTATTAAACAATGGGTAACACTTATAATCTGTTTCTTTGATATGACAACATTAAAATTAATAAATACTTAATTATAACTATTAAAATAAATTAATTTTACAAATAATTCTATAAATAATGACTGGCTACTATTATTTTATGGAGCTCAATAACGCTGATTGTCACAAGAAGTAAGGTTTTATTAAACTTACTTAAAGTATAAATGCTTTTTTTGCAGTGCTCTGTAAGTTCTCTGACACAATCCATACATAAAAAGTTAATTAATAAAATGTACTCGATGGATGGCAGAAATGTATTTAATCTATTAATTTATACGATTCTTTGCAATTAATTAAAAGTCAAAAATAGAAGTAATGCACCATATTATAGAAGAAGAGAGTATAGACTTTAATTTGTAAGTTTAATTACAACAAAATTCGTAATTATGAAGTTTTTTGAATATTTTATCCTATAATAAAATTAAATGACAAATTCTGTTTCATCTATGATATGGCGTTTTCGTGAGATCGCAGATTCACAGTAGACTATATTAAAAGTTATGCGCATTGTATCTAAAAACAAGACAAAAAAGTCAATACACATTTATTGACCTTTTCATGTAGTTTTTACATGAATTAAAGTACCTAGGTATAAAATTACTTTCAGTCAATTAAAAAATAAAATTACATCTTTCCAAAAACTTATATTTTTTCGTCTTAAGTTTGAATAAACGAGATACCTTTGCCTAATTTTGGCATTTAAAAAGTACTATGACATTGTATTTTTTGGCGCCTATTTATTAATGGAGTAATTAGTTAATACAAAATAGACTGTCGATTTGTCGATCTGGCATGATTCTCTGAACTCAAAACTTAAATAACAGTTATCCTTGTCATTTTCGCGCAAAAATTTACGTGTTATATATTATAATAAGTTAGTCTATTTATGTGTAATCACCGTGATTCTGGTTGACTCGTTATATTTGGCGTCTCGTGCTCAGGTAGAGTGCATCCGCAGTCTATGGCACTGCAATATTCCAACAGGTACGTAAAGTTTGGTTACTGATTAAATGTTACTGAGCTAGTGGATAATATAGTGCGAGTTAGAACTGCAAACTAGAAAAACCAGATAGAGCTTCCGCTTTTGCGATAGACTGCATGAAATCAATTTGTAGGTTTGTATTTTTTTTTCTTAAAGTATGAAAGTAAGAATGTGTTAAGACTTTGGGATTAGAATGTAGTAAATCAAGTTTCTTAAAGCTCTGCTCATATTTATTATGAAAAACCATCTCTTTAAACTAGATTATGCAAGAAATTTTTTGCAAAGCAAATGACTGAGGGAATATTGTACCGCAAGCATCTAAGGCCCGTATTACAGAATGACAACTAACGGCCGTATTAAAGAAAGATTCTCAGTGATTGATCTAGTCTTGAGCATAGTTAGAAAGGGATGGCGCTATATATAGCACATAGTGACATCCCTTTCTAACTGTATTCAAGTAAAGATCAACACTTAGTTGTCATTCTGTAATACGGGCCTAAGTGTTGATCTTTAGGTACTTGAGTAGCGTTAGAGAGGGATGCCCCTATGTGCTATATAAAGCGACATCTCTTTCTAACTATGCTCAACACTAGATTCATTACTGAGAATCTTTCTATAATACGGGCCTAAAAGTCGATAGGTAAATCCTTAAATTCTAAAGTGTGCCTGTCTGTTACTTTTTAACGCTTATATCGCTGAACAGATTTAGATGAAACTTGGTATAGATATAATTTGAATCCACGTTAGTTTTTACCCTAGAAATTATCTTTTAAGGTGGTGAAAAAGGGGCTGGAAGTTTGTCTGGGAAACCAATTAGATGAAGTAGCAGACGCCCACTCGTTCAATATACGTTTCATGCCAAGCGATTACTCGCATGCTCGTTTTGGCTACGAAAGGCGTTTTAAAGTCAATGTGTTATCTCTTTTCCTCTCTATTACCATATTAAGTCTTTCTCACAAATTTAAAGAGTATTTGTTTCTTAGGTTTTCACGCACATCACTCATTAAATAAAACTAGTTTTAACGGGTTAATGCACGAAACTTTATTTATTTATTGACGTTTCGCAGCCTTTTTAGGTCTGCATGGTCAGAATTCAGAATTTCAGGTCTGCATCATCAGAATTCTGACGATGCAGACTGAGGCTCCGAAACGTCAATAAATAAATAAAGTTTCGTGCATTAACTCGTTAAAACTAGTTTTATTTAATGAGTGATGTGCGTGAAAACCTAAGAAACAAATACTCTTTAAATTTGTGAGAAAGACTTTATTTTTACAAAGTCGTCGCATACAATAGCGCTTTTGAGCTCCATGCATTATGTAAATCTAAAACTTAAATATAAAATAAATAGCTTTTCATTAGTTTTAATAATATTCTAATTGTACCCATTGGATTGACAGAATCTGGTAAACAAAAAAATATAGCTAAATAATAAAAATATGAGAAATACCAGGTTTTCCCATATAGCGTCTTATTTAATAGGTACCGGGTTTAAGTTTTTAAGCGAAGTCTTCAAAGGTAAGTATTTCTTTGGGACCATTTGCATCAACTCTTGATTTTGGAGCTAAAACGCCAATGCGGCCCTGTCGGGTTTAGTGACACGACCACAGGCTTAATTTGGTGAACGGTATTGGAACCAATGTTGGATTCAATAAAATAGAGATTGGAATTTGGAGTCAAAGTTGCCCCAAAGCTGGCTTGGTCTACCAATATGAGACTGCAGCATTTCACTATGGTGCTTACGAAAACTAAAAATACGTTAAAAATTCGTTTTCCAAATTCTGTTTCTCTCGTCAATCAATACTTGTCGTATCTTCACAGGGTCGTAACCAGTGTATTTAAGAAAGGGCAGCGGTATTTACAAGTATTTGCCCTATAATGCCCCGCCCTAGGTACGACCCTGTATCTTCTTATAAATATTTGAATGTCGAGACCTACCTAGACTTCTTATAGTCTTCTTTCTTAATGTACGTGAACGGTTCGATGTCTTTCTTGTGAGTGGTCAACGATTTTCCGGAGTAATGCGACGATGAGTCGGGCGTCCACGCAGGCACGAAACTGGATGGTGGATGTGGTGCCTCATCGTGAGGCGGGTGTTCCAAGTAAGTGGGATGGTCGTGGTGCGTAGGAACCTCGTGGTGGGATGGATGCTCGTGGTATGTGGGAGGCTCGTGGTATGTGGGTGCCTCCAAATACGTAGGATGGTGGTCTGTTGAAGAGAAAACAGATGTTAATCTATTAGTATTTTGCTCTCTTATTATAAATGCGAAAGTGTCTCTGTTCCTCGCACAAAACAGGCGCCATATGGACGTTGCGGACACGCCCCTAGCAAGAAAAAGAAGAAGTGTGTCTGTTTGTCTTTCTGTATGTCTGTCTGTCTTTTACCTCTGCATGCTTAAACCGCTTGAGTTGTTAAAGTATTAGCCCACTTACACGACTCCGCTCCCATCCGGCAAAAATAATATAATTTAAATATGGGCTTTAAATATTAAGTCTTTAGATGTACTTTACATTGGCAACATACATTAGATGACAGCTCGCATACCATCGTCAGACTACTCGGTAGTGGACGCCTCGATTACTACGCGTTGCAGGCAAGCGGTCTGCGCGTAGTCCCCACATAGACCGGTAGTAGGCCATTCTCGCATATAATCTACCAAGCAATTCGCTGACAGCTAGCTTCCGGCTCACAGAGAGCTGGGTGCCTGTTAGCTGTCGCCGCAAGGATTGCGAGTAGTTGCCTTAGTTCAGGGCGGTGTTGGGTTATAGCGAAGTTGGAGCAGAGTCGTGTAAGTGGGCTATAACCTTAAATTTTGTATGGGAGACAGTTTGTGTCCTGGGAAGTATATAGGGTAGTTTTTTATCCTAGAAATCATCCCGCAGCGCCTGCGCTAAGTTAGCGGCGCTAAGTGAAGCGGGCTGCGTGA